GTTCGTTGCCAGTCCAGAGTTCCTTGTTTCTTGTTGTTTCTGGCCATCTGATCTTCAGCATCAAGCTTAGGCAGCTGTTGATGAATGTCTGTAGTTTGTCCAAAATGTGTTTCGTGACGCGCCAAGTTTCTGAACCATATGGAAGTTCTGACTTACTTGACATTAGTGTTAAAAATTCGGGTCTTGTTCTTTGCGCTGAGTGTAGTAGATCTCCAGGATGGCTTAATACGATTACTTATATGATATAATCCTTACTGTTTCTGATACATACACAGTTTATGCTTGATGTAACACTGAATCTTAATTTATAGCTTACGATCGGATTACATGATCAGCAAGTAGTCCCAAAATGATAAGGAAGGGGTGGAAATGTTCACAGCACAGTTTATGATTATTAGTTTGGCTATCTGGTATAACCATGGTTTAGCACGCTTGTATGGAAACTGGGTGATGATTGAAGGTGAAATTAAAATTATGCCGCAGCTGGATTCGAACCAGCGACGACCGGGCTTACGACCCGATGTTCTACCAACTGAACTGAGAGATCCGATTGTTGATCAGGGCTTCTCATCCCAATCCAAATCTACTTGAATTAAAGAGGATCTTGTGGCGTAGTTGATAGAGCTTCGGTGCAAATTTTAATTTCATATTCAATCATCACCCATTAACAATCTATGATACATGTAATTGGCATATATTCCTAGAACTAAGATTAACGTTCCTGTAAAGTAAGGACAACAAATATTGTGAGATGATTTGAATTCATTTCGTGTGCTCTAAGTCTTCCACATACGCACTAGATCTAAACTTGTATACAGCAAGCTATCAGTGTCCAATACGAGTGAAGTTCACACAGTGAACCTACTCAGATCTTTCAATTCTCTTCATTCAGACGCGACGTTCACATGTGAATAGGAAGCGTTCGATGAAATAAATTTCTTGGATTTCTTGAGTATTAAAAGAAATGAAGACGGTTCTATACCATTCAGAATTTATCATAAGGCTACTTGGACTGGTCAGTATTTGCCATTTGATAGTTTCTGTTCAGTCGCTTATAAAAGAAGTTCAGTCAAGACTTTATTTTTAAGGGCTACTAGACTATGTTCCATGGAAAATGAACTGGATAATATTCAAAAAACTTTGTTAGATAATGGATATCCCATAACATTCATCAATAAACACTTCAAACCTAAAAATGAGAAATTGAATTATATAATCGTGCCAAAAAAGAACGTGCTCATTAGACTACCATTCAGAAGCGATGAAATGAATTCACAAAATAATCGCTGACTGAATACATGCATCCAGCTGCGTAATTAACAGTTGTCTATGGCACCAAGAATATGATCAGAGAAACTAATATAGATATGAGACCACTTCATATTACTTCAATTGTATTTAATTATTCATCTGTACTTGTATAGTAGCCCTGACCAACAACAGCATCAACAATAAGCATCAATCACCATGAACGGGAGATACGTAAAGGAAGTAGTCTCTTTCACCTACACTTACCTAGGCAGAGCAGCATCGTTTCAACTACATGTGGTAACGACACAGATGAAGACGTCCAATCCGGGATGGGAAAGACAGTAGGAAAGGCCTTCATTAATCTGAAATAATCAGTGTGGAGATCTACTGCACTCAGCATAAAGCGTGAACATGATCCGAATTTTTAACACCAGTGTCAGGTGAGTCAGTGCTGCTATATGGTTCAGAAACTTTGCGTGTCACGAAAAGCATTTCCAACAAACTCCAGATATACATCACATCAACAGTCGCCGCCTAGGCTCACTCGATACTGACACTGAAGATCAGGTGGTCAGAATAATTAGAATAAGCAACAAGCAACTGTGGCTGGCCTGGTAACGAAGCAACCAACAAAGAAGATATCGCCCAACAAATATGCGGAAGATGAAAGTGGAGATGAATTGGATTGGCGATGCACTGAGAAGGCCGAATGGGGACATCACACGTCAGGCCAGGCCAGGCCAGGCCATCGAGTGGAGTCCAAAGGGGAAATGACGAGTTGGGCATCTGAGCCGAGGGTGACATGTAGGAGATGATGTGAGGAAGAAATGAAAGGTAGTGGGCAGTGGTGGAGGCAGGTTTAAAAGACTGCAGGAAGAGAGTGGAATGGAGGCATACCACTGAAACCGTATGTTCCACTAGGAACCCAAGGAAAAATGATAATAATGATACTTGCAGTAGCATGCATATCGGAAGAACGGAGAGGGTCCTTACTGAACGAATCCCTAAACATATACCGGAAAACCTTTCATTGAGAGATGGGAGGCTATCAAGCAGCGCCATTGGCAAGGACATCCTGGACACAGGTTATACCGTCGACTCAAACATAGCTTTTGAGGTAATTATGAGACAAGGGACTAGTAGACTGCTACGTTATCCAGAAGCAGCAGAAATCCGTTGACTGAAACCAAACTTAAGTGTGCGAAAGAAGTTTGTAGTCCACTTCATTGCCTTAGTGAGTTGTTCCCTTCCTACAGCTTTGTTTACTATTTGATTTTTTCATCTTATCATCTTACATGGTATTCTCAAACATTATTTATATTCTCATCAGTTTTGAATTTCTTTAATCCACTATATCTTAGTCATGTTTGTTAGAACATACTTTTCCGTTCCTCTAACATTAGTTCATATATTTTGCACACCATCTTTGTTGTTCTCCCCCTTCCATCAAAATTCCTATCACCTTGAGCTATAATCACATTCCTGTACTACTATCATATCGTGTTTTTTACTTTGAGTTTATTGATCGATTTTAAGGTCTGACTTGTTCCCTGTATTGGTTGATTAAAGCTGTGGATTTTGTTAATTAACTCTGTTCCCATGTATATATGTATTGATTTTTAGGTTTGGTGTTGGGGTTGTTTACTACTGAAGTGTATCACAAGACTTATACTGGACATTGATAGCTTATTGTACACAAGTTTAGACCTAGTACAAATGTCGAAGATGTTGAACACTCGAGATTAATTCAATTCATCTCACAATATTTATTGTTCTTACTTTGGAAAAATTTATAAAGGGAACTAATTGTATGAAATTAATGTTTCTATCTGCTACATTTCAGCCATAGAGTTAGGAATCGTTTCGAAATATATGTGATATAACCGTATCTTTTAGAAAAAATACTGACATATCAGTCAGTGGTGTGTTACGATGCTAAGTGAACTTTTAGAAGTTGATTTGACTTATCATCATTGCAAAAATCGTCCACACTTTCAGATAATTCCAATGTCTACCTGACAAATGTCACTCTCACTTCGGGTGATTTTAAAGGATCCTTATCGACTACTAGAAAAATAAGCAGTTAAGTTTCTTTATTTTATGGAAAAAACTACTTTTCTAGCCTGAAACAAGATATCTGATTGGTTATTTCTGTAGTTACGATGGTGGCCTTTGAAGTCACTTCTTTTTATACTTTCGACTCTGCTTTTATCACAAATTGCTGACTAAACTGGAGGAGAAGATAACAACGATCCTTTTACTCATGAGTTCGTATGTATGAGTAGCACATTGACAACACGAGTTTCAAATACTCATTCAAAACCATTTAAGGCTAGAAAATGGATCAAATATTTTGTTAAATGACTGCCACTTTTGAAATGGTAGAGAATATTTGTAGCTCAGATGGATGGTCTTGGTTGTATCATCATCAGCAGTAACTTCAGTATGAAGTGAACTGTCAGTATCTCTCCGTGTGTGATTTAGTGGCATGCCCTAACGAACTGGTTTATGATTGGTTGTTTCCTTTGATTGTTGTGTCAGTAGTCAATAAGTGTATAGACATAGACCCAATCTATAACCAATGAGGAAGTCGATAGACGACAGAAAGGTCAGAGGTCAGGCAGAGGGACATCCAATAGGAAAACTACACAGTTAATGACAACAATCGAAGGAAACAACCAATCGCAAACCAGTTCGTCAGGGCAAGCCACTAAATCACTCACGGAGGGTATTGACAACTCACTTCATACTGAAGTTAGTGCTGATGATGTCGTCTAGAAAGACGATGAAAGCTCCACGATTAAACAACCCATCTCAGAGAACACAATACAACCAAGACTGTCACTTTAAAACAATAATACACAACAACTTCGGCGTTATAAATGTTCTTCGAAATGACTGACTCATATATAGTTGGAAGGGATTCCTCATGTTTCTGTAAAGTCTTATCGTAGTTTAGTTAGCTCAACTTCAGACACGAGATAACTTTGCCCCCCGTCATCCTGTCAACTGGAATAGCTAGTAAATACATGGATGTGTGTAGTTCAGCTCTACATGGAACTAAACGTGATTTGAATAGCTTAATGGTACAGTTCTCAGCCTCAGTACTGAGTGACACATATATTGATCCACCAGACGACTTGAGTTTCTTCAGATTTGTAAACTTATTGATAAGTACCTAAGTTAGACTGGTATTCTTGCTCATTGACTTCGTGTATCTTTCACGTTCACGCGTTTTGTCTCGTCTAACAATTATGCTTATGTATCTACACATGTTAATTTTTCAATAAGTTAGTATTTTTGGTTAAAAAAATTTCATATTTCCCTAAAAAGATAGTAAGGGGTTCGCGGGACAAGAGGAACCAGTGGTTGGAGACCCTAGGTGATATGGCTCAGAACCGATGTCAGTGGCGCAGATGTATACACACATTATCCTTATCTTAACAACGCTATACCGAATCTCACCATTTTGTCACTTCTCTTTCGTTTCTTCTTGTACTTTATATTTCCTTTGACTGCATTCACTTATCTTCATCCTTTACCTCACTACCTTTCTACTTGATGAACTGACGTGAGGTGTGGCAACTCGGACCGTTACGCAGTAATGCCTGGTCCTATGTTGATAATGATGATGATGAAAAAGATAGTAAATGTTAATAAAACACATGCTGACATGTTTAAATGCAAAATTTAAATTACTTGATATTTTAAAATTAATTATTTATTTTGTTATAACTGTTCAATTTCAGCAAATTGAAAATCCTCGCACTCTTCAAAGAGCTCATAAACTTAGTAATGTTCGTAATGCTTTGGACTATTTAGAAAAAAAATGTAAAGTAAGTTTAAGAACGGTAAATTTATCCATTTTATTTGTACATCTCAAATAGTAGACTTTTAGGTTGGAATTTATCATGAATTGATATTTAGTTGGAGGAAAATCGGAGACTTGGGGGCACTGGAGATCTGTTTCATCCTAGTATAGGACTTCTCAACATTGCTCACCCATGACCCACCCCGTCAGGGGTCGGACGCATGACCTGCAGGTTCCAAGTTCAGAACGTTACTACTGAGCCACTGGGTCGGAATTCAGTGGTCCATATTTCCTACTTCTGTCAACTCATGATATAGCACGACCTACATCTAATGTCATTGAGTAACTGTCCTTATCTTGTCAGTTCATGATGAATTCCAATCTACAATCAATTGATAAATCTCCACAAACCTCCAGTTATAATAAACTTTTATTGATAACATCACATAACATGCCTTACTCCGTCGATCAACTCTGACTTTTAAGCAAGTTAACTAATCACTCCGTCACCAGCAGTACTATGAATACCTTTAATAATTCAAAAAATTAGTTTGGAGTTGACTTATTTACTGAGAGCAGAGCTAATAAATATCGTAGGAATTTGTAAATTCTCGTCGGATTTTGGACAATCAGTTTTAGCATATGGGCTATTATGTAGTAGTCTTGATATATGCAGTAGTTTCATTTTGAATGTTAAGCATCGCTAGTGGCTAGTAGTGGAATCCAAAGTATATGTTTCGTCTTATTTGGGGATCGTCAGTGGTTCAAGTAAACTTTAGTAACGACAAATCACTTTCACGTATACATTGACTAATCTCAATCGAGAATATGAAGGACAAAGTAGTTGTTAAGGGAAATAGTACTTTATTTGTAACCTACAGTTTCATTTCACATAAAGAATAAAAATATGTGGATTTTCAACTGGTTTATCATCTTTGAAACCATACCCATTGTCTTTATTGCCACTCCTCCATATGAGACCTTAACTTGATTATCATCCATCGAGATAGGATCAGGCATTGCTGTGTAATGGTCCAAGTTGCCACACCTCGTATCAGTGCACCAAAAAAAGGCAGTGAAGTGGAAGATAAGAAAAGAAAATTCAGTCAAAAGAAATATAAAGTACACGAAGAAAGAAACGAAGAGTGAGAAAGTGCTGAGATTCAGTATAGTGTCGTCAAGATGAGGATAATGTGTGTAGGGATACATCTGCACCACTGACATCCATTCCCAGCCATACCATCACTTAGAGTCTCCAACCACTGGTTCCTCTTGTCCCATGGACCCCAACCACTAGTCTACATCGCCCCATATGGCTCAAACCAACAGTCAAACACTTCATACCATGTTGATACCATGTTTTAGTCTGACCACTTCTAACTTTTTCCCAACCTCAACCTATTTCGGTCAACATTGTGTGACGAGGCAATCGATGACTAGGCATATGTAACACATGTCCCAGCCAGCCAGACAGCAATCTCAGTCGATGAAGGTTCACAACCATGTCAACTGTCTTACCTCTTCTCCCTGAAACTCTACTTCTGACTTCTGCGTTACTCGTCTGTTGACACCACGGAATACGGTCTAAACAACGAAGACAATGGTGGTCAAACACCTGAAGCCTTCTCATGTCTTCCACCTTCAGTGGTCATGTTTCACAGCCATACAGTAGAAGAGAGTGGAGTGGTGTGTAGTACACGTGACTCTTAATAGACAATAAGATATCACAGCGGCGCCACAGGTGGCGTAACTTAGCAAGAGCCAGTTGAGCCTTTTGTATTCGTGCAGAGATTTCATCGGCCACTGAGCCACTCACCCACCAGAGTACGGCTGATCCCACTTCCTAGATAAGTGAAGTGGTCGACACACTCAACCACTACACTCTCTATTGTTAGCCGCAGTGGGACACCGTTGAAGACCAATCCTGGAGCAACAATTTGCATGAGACCTTAACTTATCGCCTCATGATCCTGTTAAGGCTGTTAGAAACCTTCTGAGACGACTCCAATTGTTTTCAATATTGTTTGTGTGCACTTCATTTGTATGATCAACGAACTGCTTCTTGTGAATGGTGACGGATATAATGAATGACTTTTGCCTCAGTATTTTCAACTCGATTGGTCATCCTCAAGGTTACCCGTAAACTTAGGATGCTTGCCTACAAATAAGGATTATTATTCGCATATTGACTCGAATCCAGCACCTATTCCTTAAAATGAAAGGATGTTATCCACCAAGATATTGGTGATCCTTATTCGTCCTCACTGTAATACTCAGTTTAGAGTATGATATTTCAATTTGCACTTTTCGCTGACTGCTTCAATTGAAGGGATAAGATATGTAGTGTGTTGTACATAAGTGTAAGATATCGACCTTGGTGCTTTTAACGAGCTGCATTCATGTGTATAAAATGACAACGGCACTCTATTCAAATTGTATTTATCGTTTCCAACTTTATCGAAAGTTATTCTATTCTTCTACCAACAGCTGATCAGTCATTTACTTCAGTGTTACGTTTACTGTACAATGGCGGTTAAGTTTATCTTGTAACTAACTAAATAACTAATTGAAAACTGGCATTCTTTCAAGTATCATTTATTAGCATCTATTTTCTCTCATTCGTTTTCTTTGTTTTTCTCTTGTAATTTGTAGATAAAACTTGTAAATATCAATCCATCTGATGTGGTCGATGGAAAGCCAGCTATTGTTTTGGGTCTTATCTGGTCAATTATACTATTTTTCCAGGTAAGATAATATCAGAATTTGAAGGTTTGTGAAAATTTATTGATTTCAAGTTGGTATTCATCACTAACTGATATCATTTGGAGAACTATTCAGAATAAATACGCAACGATTGCGTGTGATGATAGTCGCGCTATATCGCAAACTGATAGAGAAGTAAATAAATATATGAAGCATTGGATTCTGATCCAATGATTTGCCGTAAAACTTGAAGGTCCGTGTTGGGTTCATGGGTGCGCAGTCCTGAAGAGTTCAGTCCTCCCAAGTTTTCATTGGTTCTGCAGCTGATGTTAAAGTCCATGAGGAATGCCTACTTAAGATAATATCAATTTGGTTATTTATGATTCGAAATAGATTTAAAGAAGTCTTTCTTCAATATTCTTGCGTATACGACTTTTTGCTTTATGAACATTACTGTTGTCAAATGAAGCAGAAACATGAACACCTTGATGGGAGTTTGGGATAGTAGACTTTTTTCCCCCTTAATATTGGATTTCTAACCATTTACTTTATCCTTAAAGTTGTATTGCGTTGAACTCGACTACGTTTACTCTTACGTATGAAATAAGCGCTACAATTGAATCTGCTTGAATACATCTAATGAGTTATGATTTCAAGCTAATATACTTACTAAAATAGTGTCTTCTTTTTGGTCGTGAACAAATGTCATTTGTAAGGTAAGATAGAAGAAAATATGAAGGAAACAGAGCATACCACTACTACTTCAGGGAGTTACTGATTTTTGACTGCACTTATTTTGAATAGGTTGCAAACTTTTTGAAACATTTTTCTCAAAGATAAAATCATTAGTTTAAAGAGAAATAACCCGAAATTCATCGTATGAGTGCGAATGTGCTACTGATCCAGACAAGTAGAGCGTTTTATGAAGTGTAACTTATCAAAAGGCATACAGTTTCCGTGCACCAGTTCACTAGCATCGACTGTTGTGCAAGAATTTTTTGTACTAAGTGACTGTTTACAGCTTGGTAAGTAGGATATCTTTGAACCTGGTCCCTTTTATTTGATATATGACCAATCAACTAGACGGATGAGCCGCACCTCTAAATCCACATACATGGCATTTGTAAGCCCCTCACAACAATTAGAAGCGATTACTAGCCAGATGAGTATAGTTTAAACACCACACATGTGTTTCACTTGTTTGGTAAATTGGTCACATTGTAGACTTTGGAAAGGACCTCAAGTTGATAACTTAGTGTTACATTCACATTTTAGTTTCTGAAAGAAACTGTTGTGGAACTGTATAGTTTCTTATCGCCTAGTTATAAATCAAAAAAAATATTGGCTCTGATACAGATAGACGAACAGACAGACAGACAGACAAAATCAGTGCACAACCTCGCACATGAGGGTATCGGTTCATCTTGACACACTTCATAATAGTACACAAAGAACAGGTGAATAGAAGAAGACTGATATCAAAATAGACAAAGTTGTGTGTAAGAATAAGCAATCTGAAGATAAGGGTTAGCGGAAATATTCAAGCTTTAGAAGACGTCGAAGAGTGAATATAGCTATGCCATTGTGACCGAATTTCAGTAATATCACCAAGATTTCCGAACCACTGATTCCAATGGTCTCCTGAACCTCAGCCAAGTAGACTAAATCTCCGAACACGGTTCAGATCAACAGTTAGGGACTTCATCCACTGATACCCACGTCTTGGTCTGGGCACCCTGAACCTCCTCCAACTTAATCCAACCTTTCCTAGAATACATTACGTGGTAGGCACTGGCTTGGGATGTGCAGCACATATATGTACATCATCTCAGTTTGTGAAGGTTCAAAATCTCATTGACTGACTTGCCTTCGTTGTCTAGTACTCTTCGTCTGATCTCAACATTACTCATGCGGTACCTCTACCAAACGCGAGCAACTTTATGAAGACATCTGTGATCAAAACCTTGTAACCGCTTCATGTTTTCTTGTCCTAACGGCTGTCTCACAGTCGTATAAACGAGGGAGAGTGGACCGCTAAGCAGTATACTCACCCTTTGATAAATAGTTGGGTTTCTCGCCAATCAGCCCACAGGTGATGCAAGTTGGCACTTGTAAAATAGGGTCTCTTACCATTCTCTTTAAAATATAAATAGCTATTATCTTGCAGTCTTATGACTGTTCAACAATATTTCTCACTGGTTTCCTCTTATTATATGACAGTTTTTACTGATAAAACATTTTTATATCAATTTACTCTGATCCATTCAGATTAATTTTTCATTTTGCAGACTATATACTTCTTAATACAGAATTTTTGAGATGAATGGACATTTTTAATTTAGAAGTAGTATTCATCGTGGACTGAAATCAGTTGGGGAACCATTGAAAATCTGGGAGCACTGGACAGCTTTTCATCCTAGTACGGGACTCCTCAGCAGTACGCACCCACGACCCAGCTAGGGGTCGAACTCATGACCTCCAGGTTTCACGGCGAACGCATTAACCATTCAGCCACTGGGTCGGTTTCCAGTGGCTGAGGAGTCCCATACTAGGACGAAACAGCTGTCCAGTGCTCCCAGATTTTCAATGGTACCCCAACTGATGTCAGTCCATGATGAATACTACTTCTAATACAGAATTGTTGACAACTACTGTATGCCGTTTTCTTCATCAGTGTTAACAGCTGTGATAAGATTAAGTCGATATGTGTGAGATCTCTCCAAAAAAGATATTTGTAACCTTTGAACCTCATGATGTAGTTGAGGAAGTTGACATTTCCGTCGTCAATATTTAGGTTGATGAATTACACAATCAACTTCAAAACTAGTATGTTACCAGTTGGCATGCTGTTGGAAGTATTGAGTAAGGTATGCGTAGCATACCATACTAGGTACTGTTGAGTTAGATAAATGAAGGCTTTAGGATACATACGGCTAAACGACAAGACTCATCTACTTCTTGCATAACTCAAAGTTTTAACTTGTCACCCCTAAATTATTCTCCTTCCTCTTTACTACTATTGACTTGTTATTTCGATTCTTTTGTCCACCACCTTATTCTCAGTGTTGATGAAAAGTGTTATAGCTTCAATCACTATAAAGTTATATGTCGGTTATTTCTATCCACTAGTCTATTCATGATAGCACTGAGTTTGTTCTTGTGAGCTAATTTGGATGCATTTCTCTGCGACTTTCGTCTAATAAACTGTCCAGTACACCTTTGGCTATCAATGTTTATTAGCTGTTGGTAAGAGCTAAATATTTTGACTGCATCCTTCTAGAATGGCTTTTCACTATGCGTTCAAGTCTAGGGAGTTTCTACTGATTGATCATAGTTGTGTGTTGACATCTGCGATAAATACGAGATGTATACAACGCCTTACTTTCATGTAGGCGAATCAGCGAACAGTGAACTATATAGGAATATGCTGAATACATTGTACATGTTTAACTCTATGCAAATATATCTTTATACACTTTGATATGATGGTAAACGCTCGTTGCACATGATATAGCTATTCAGACTTAATTATTCTCTAAACTTGAGCTCTGGAAATAGAAGCCTGAACCACTAATTGGTGATACCGGCGACTTTTACCACTCAAGTAATCAGGTCCCTACAGTGTGGTATCACATTTAGCTTCGTAGCCATATTACAAAAATCGGTCAGTAGACATACACTGGGACTCAACCCGCACTTCCCATATATATATATATATATATATATATATATATATATATATATATATATATATATATATATATAAGGAATAGGGTGTAGTTTCAGTCGTTGTTGAGCTAGAGCAATGAACAGATTTGCATCTATTTCTTTCTCTAACCTACATCTATTGAAATTAACAGTATTGAAGCATTTCGTATAACCTCGTTTATAATCCACTTTCTCGTATCAAGTCTGAGATCATGTCGTTAAAAGTTGTTCAGTTTATTTCTTGTAAGCACTGTAACGACCGATTGTTGGTAGGATTTGTCTTGCCTATTATATGTGCGTTGTTGCACGAGGAGGTGAGGGTGGGTGCGCAGAAGATTGTGCGTAAGTTTAGCAATCCACTCAACCAGCACAAGAATTTGAAAGGGAAAAGAAGAAGAGAAAATGTGAGTTGACAACTCAGCAAACACAAAGAATGTATTTACATTTAATGATAAAAGTCAACCGTTAAGAGTTAATAATGAGAAGACAAAGGAAACTGGAAGTCGAAACTGCAAAGTGAATGAATAAGGTTTTAAAAATGTAATAAATTCATCTTCACCAGAATATTTCTTTGTTGCCAAGTTTATTTTCACTTATTCAACTTTTAATCATTTTTCTGTTTTGCATAGATTCAAGGTCAACAGAAAATTTTAAAGCATGCCTTAAAATCTAGTCGTAAAAGTCTATCCAAATCAATTGATTCTGATACAAATAGTATCCAGTCTGAAGATATCAGCTTATCTGAACAAACAGATAGCGCTAAACATGGAACAGGTTCTAGAACTCGACAGACTTTATTGAACTGGGTGGAACAGTCATTTCGATCGCATAAATCGTAAGTTCTCCTTTTAATTCTGTATAAAAATAACCTAACATAGTTTAATTTCTCATCAAAGTTTGTAGTTTATTCACCTTGATGTAAGAGTTTTCGATATGATATAGCTTTTTAACTGCCATAGATTCAGTGGTGATTCCGACTAGGGGAGTCAGAAAACAAGACATACTGTAATTAGAACACAGGTAATATCGAGGCATCTGCATAGGAGCCCATATGCCAGTAGAGACCTACCAATTTGTTCCAGTCAAGCAATAACACTAAAATTATACCTGTCGCACAAGAAGTGGCTATCGTGGCTCTGTGGTGTAATGGATAACGCTTTGTCGTTTGGATCGGTCGGTCCTGGGTCCGAATCCCGGTGGAACGACCCCGCTCACTAAGAGGCAGGTACATCCAGCTAACGAGTCACAAATAGGGCGAAATATGCGGCCTGGATTCCACTAGTAGCCGCTATCCACCATTAATACTAGACAGCAGTTTATTGAAAAAATGAATTCAGTGAGAAATGAATATTTGCCAATTTATTCCGTATATGTTTGTTATATTCATGTGTGAACCATGTCGCCAGTTTGCCTACATATCTATCTGGTTTTAACTAACTTAAGCATGTGATTCGGCTAATTCAATTTTAACAGTGACCTTGAGCGTGATTGGTCTCAAATATACTTGCTCAATCTCGTATGTTCACTCCACGATCAGTCATGTGATTCTGCCGTACCAACCGTATACAACAAAACACGAAGTCTAATACTGATTGTCTATGGTGTATATTTTAGGGGGATCTCATTCATCTGTATATATTCGTTGGAAGTTACTTGACCACAACGCAATATAATTTATGTACGTGAAACAATCGATTTCAAGCACAAAATGTGGGATAATGTATAACAAAAGGGTTTTCATTCAACATGCAGTTAGTTATTTCCGAAATATGGGTCATATAGAAACGAGTAAGGGACCAATCAAGAGCTCTTAATCCAAGCTAAAATAATAATTTTATCAAAAAATTCCTATATCTTAGTGCAAATCTTGGGGGTTTTATTAACTTTGTTTTATCAGGAAGGATAGTACTAGGAACTTGTTAAAAAGTTCGTATAATGTTAGGACCTCAGTAAGTAGTTAGATTACGACTAGTTACTTACTAGCTTGGCTGCTTTGACATATTTGCTTTCAGCCATTTTTGTAGGATAAACGGCTTTTAGTACAATCACATTACACTCATGCTTTTGTTGATATGTAGGCAGTCGAGGAACTCATGTAAAGTAGAATGTTAAGACCATGATCTCCGATTATTCACTTCTTCTTCCTCCTCAAATCTATCCGTCTTAAAATGACACTGTTATTATGGAAGTGGGATTTAAGTCATGTGATAGAGTATGGTTCCAAGTTTGTTTGTGCGATATGGAGCATGATGTCGACTACTTGTCTCTGATTTACTAAGTTGTGGGTTTTGTTCACAATCAATAATCAAACTGAGGTGAATGATAATGACAACTCGTAGAAAGTGGAATTCTTAGCCCACTAAACTACATCTGATTATTTGGTTTATTTCCCTCTGAATACCCTCAACCTTACCAATAAATCTATAATGGATTGATTTATAAACAAACTAGTAACAGGAAAAGCTTATGAAATCTGTGAGGTGCAATGTTTTTAGAATATTTCTTCAACACGGCGTTTACAATACCTAATCGTTTAGTAAACACCGGGGGTCATTTAATTTAAAAACTCAATGTACATTATTATACTGAACAAATCAAATGGTTTTCTATGTTTGAACAGGGTGACTACGGGGGCTAATTGAATTCAATTACAGACGATTCAGTTGTTTCTCTTACTATCATTGAGTAAGTTTAATTAGGCAGGGAGGTGAGATCTTCATCTAAAGTGTTGATTCGTTAGGTATTACCACCGTAAACTGTGCTACATTTTGTACTGTATGGTTCTGTGCATGTTCAATAGTGGTTAAGAACATCTTTTCAACATTAATTCGATAAAATCGGAAAGTGGTGGGTGTACTTGAAGTGACCAATCAGATGTAAGTGAGCTGTTTACTGGTTTCTGACTCCTAAAAAGTCATAGTTCGTTTTCATTGGCAGAAAAATGTTGCAACATTTTTCAGTCGATGATTTAGTAGGATGCAAGGATTGAAGATTCTGTTAAGAGCTTTGTATTAGGGTCACGGAATGGACTAGAGCTCATGTATGGTGGAAATAACAGCCACTTTCTAGATGTTTGTTCGCCAAAGTTTAGTAGAAAATAAACTCACTTCAAGGACGTTTTGATTGTCCAATTCCGCGACTGTTACTCATAATTTCATCGATACAGGTGTTCTTATGATAATCTTCAGTCCCATCTATGTTGGAAGTAATTGAGCAACACCTCACTTTCAATATATCTGCTTGTTCAATCGTGTCGGGTACTCTTTTTTCTATTGGTTAATTCATGATTTGTTTAACGAATTGGCCATCAAGTGGTAACAAAGACTAATGATGTAGAAAATTTGAAGTCAAAATGAGTCTATTGTCAAGCTGAATTACTTACCCATAACGTGATGGGATCTCTTTAAGTAAGGGGAACTTATTTCCTTCCATTTATCTTACGCATTTTTTTTCTTCAGTGTTTACATTTTCAAAACATTTTTTCTGACTCTCTACTGATTACTTTCAAACATCTAGCATAGGTTTACTTTAATACCTTTGATGAATATCGCAAAAGTTCATCTTTCTTTTCTGTAACTATTTAACCTTTTTTATTATAGGACGCTTGAAATTAGAGTAACAGACTTTGGTTCGTGTTGGCGTGATGGTAAAGCATTCTGTGCTCTGGTGCATAATATCAATCCAAGTCTTGTGGATATGGAAGACGTTAAATATCGTAAAAGTCGAGAAAATTTGGAATATGCTTTTAATGTGGCAGAACAAAGACTTGGTATACCAAGATTATTAGATGCAGAAGGTAAATTTGAAATACTATTAAGTTCAATCATTCAACTGATATCAATACCGGACCGACCCAACATTATTGCTGTGTAACTGTCTTAGTTGTTACGCCACATATCAGCACATCAAGATAGGAGATCATAAGAAGAGAGAAACTAAAGGGTTAGATGATAATGAAATGCGATCTGGTCACTAGGAGTCTCCAACCTCTGATTTTGATTGGTATGCGAAAGCCCCTCCCTCTCGCATAACATCTAATTCAAATGTATTAAGATGATTTTAATTAATCTAGCAAGTGACTGCAGTGTTCCCTATCCATGATGATAGCTTTGCAAACAATCTTTTCAACTAGCTGATCACTTTTAGGGTTACTTTGGAAGGTTTTACTCTCTAGGTTCAGTTAACCCGTGTAAAACTATGCTCATTCACTTGCATTAATTCACACCTTTTTTTTCTATCAAGTATTAGGACTTTTTATCACGACCAAGTAACCATGCTTTTCTGAATAATTATTTACTTCACTTATGATAACGGGCACGTTCGCTTCGGCATACTGTACCCTTCTATGTTACGATAGCTACCACATAGATCAGTCATTCTTTTTATCGTCGTCAGTGATGAAGCACTCACTATTCAACATATTACCTATCCACAGATCCACTAATTAGAGTATTTTGTCATATCTCTTATGTATATCAAGGTAGTATTCATCACGAACTGACATCAGCTTTATAACCATTGAGAACTTGTGAGCACTGAACAGATGCTTGGTCCTAGTATGGGACTCTTCAACCATGATCTTTGGGGTCAACCAGTTGGGAGGTGAAGTGGATGCTGACTGAAACCATGATGGGTAGTCACACCATATCTTGAATTGTGACAGCAGTAGGAAACTATGAACCGTTAAACTCCGATCCAGTGGCTCAATGGTTAACGCGCTCACCGCAAAACCTGGAGGTCCTGAGTCCCATCTTTGGGAGCAGGAGGAGGGTTGTGGATGCGTGCTGTTGACGATTCCTACACTAGGACGAAACAGCTGTTCAGTGATTCCAGGTTTTAAAGAGTTGGTCTGTGAAACAAATAGAATCCTCATAAACTTCGAATTATCTTGGACATAAATAATACACCGTTTCACTATTTGGGATCAGCATTATAGCCTACTAACCTATCATCAACTAACTGATAGACGGATAAGTGTCTAGGTCGATGAGTTGTCTTTTGTGCCTGTTGATTTCAACAAAGTGATTGGAAGAATTACATGATCATCTGAAAATGTGGGAGGAATTCTTCGTTGTTCTGTTCGGTTGCATGACGTAATTTTCTCTTCATTCATATTTATAAACTAACAGGTGCTCGATCAAAATAGAACTAGAAAATTATCATATATCTGGATGTACATTCGGAAAGATGGAGAGGATCCTAAAGAAAGGATATCAATAAAAACGAGAAATCCTGTTTCATAATTGCAGTGAAGCCGAAGTTGAATATGTTTTTACCACTGAAATTGTTATTAAACTTTGCTAGTCGAAGGAATTACGGTTGCTGAATTACGCTATCATGTGAGGTTGTAACTATCAGCATGACATCTCTATGAGTAACTCAAACAGATAATCTGTGGGTTCCTGACACAATATTCCTATTTTGTTTAAGTCATATTAAGGCTTTTTCGTCCTCTTTGTAACTGTAGCTAACATTCAACTTTATGTTGGGTGACGGGTATTGATATCCAGCTTATGCTCCAACATATCTGACGATAAGAGTCCACAACCTCACCAAATAATCTATTTCCTTCACTTTAAACTCAGGGCTTATTTGTAACTATGCGCATTCAGTAGTTTAATCTCATTTACACTGTTGAATGAAGGTTCAGGTGTCAAATATCTGCAAATCTATCATACTGCTGGTTTAAAAAGTTAAAAATAGGCAAACTAAAACTTGGCGTCAGTTCATGAAGTCTCTGATCGTTGATATAAGTTGCACTGGAGAATAGAAACGACAGCCGAAATTAGTGGTTGGCGATTATAAGTGATATGTTTGAGAAACGATCTCAGTGGAACCGATGTATCTACATATTATTTTCATTCTAATCGTCATGTTTTATGACTTTCTATGACTTTTGCATATACTCTTGTCTATTTCTTCATCTTCCATCTTTCTGTGTTGTACCCTGATTTCGTGATCTGATGTGTGACAAATCGGGTCGCTACATTGTGACGCCAAGTCTTGTGTTGATGTTGACTGACCGCTTAACTATAACAGAATGTACTTTTCGCATGTAGAATACGATTTCCACTATCGACCGACTGTATTGTAGTCAGCTACTTCAGCAATCAAATATGCTCGCATTATACGTTACTTCGTCTTTTATCGCAATTCCGAACATAAATCAGTGTTTGGTTAGCACATGTAATGCGTTATTCATATGAAGCACCTTGCAGTAGTACATTGTGTGGTGCTGTAGCTCATTGACATAGACATTTAACTGACAACCAATGCGTCAAGTTTTCGGACCCTGTTCAGCTTACCGAAGTCTGGACAGCTAGGTGGTACAATTAGCCTCCAACTTCTTTAGACTAGTGCATTTTATGTCGACTATGCGTCGCACAAGAAGTGGCTATCGTGGCTCTATGGTCTAGTGGATAACGCTCTGGCGTTTGAGGCGATCGGTCCCGATTTCGAATCCCGCTGGGAACAACATCACTCACTGGGAGGCAGGTACATTCAGCTGACGAGTCCCAAATAGGACGAGATGTGTATCCTGGATTCCACTTTTAGCCACTATCCATCATTACTATATACGTGGAAGTGATTAAATGAATAATTTTGAGTATGAAGTCTTTTCTATAGATTCATCTGATCGCAATAACTTCTTCATACTGCCTGGAAACATAACACACATTTTTCAACCGTAAACCCCGAGCTTTTAGTAGCTGAAGTAAATAAAATGTTTTGAGGAATTAGATTATAGTCCCTGTTACAAATTTACTTATCATGAATTAACAAATGGCACAATATTTGAAGCGAATGTATGTCTTGATAATTGACGCCAATCATTCGGACAGATAAACAGACAATCATCGTGGGACTTGGCACAGATGTAAGTCGGTTCGGGTTGTTACATCTCACAGCAGCACGCGAAGAACAAGTGGGTAGAGAATGAGTGATATCAAGTTGGACAAAGGTTTATGGAGGCGGGAGTAGGAATTTGGTAATCCAGCTTGATGAAGATGTTCAAACATCAGAGAGTGAATACATCTGCGAAAATATGTTGAGAAACTTGCACTCTCTTCATATCTCCTAGCTTCAACGACGATCCGTCACAACCATATAACAAGACAAAGCGGAATACAGACCAGTATTCTCATCCTTTGATAGTTAGTCGGACATCTCACCAGGATCAAAAATGATACAAGTTGGCAAACGTCAAAATGGTCTGATGTATCCCAGTTGAGATTTCATCAGCAACTAAGCTGTTTCGACTCATACAACTAGAAGTAGCTGTAGACCACTCCTAAAACATTGTCTTACATTTGGAAGGCGCAAAACGTATGCCAAGCATACTCAAATTTCTGCTGAAGACGTTCAGAAGAATCTGTAGCTTTTCAGCATCTTCACCGGACAAGACGATGTCTGCGAACTCGTTTGAAAGTATCTACTATTTGGTAAATCATATAAATACGATATCTAAGTATGACTATCTACCTTTCGCATTATAAGAATTTAAATAATCAGTTTGTAAACTGAAATAGAGATCAAACTTGTTGTTTACAAGAAAATCTCCATATATATTTATTTGTTTTAGATGTTGATGTAGATAAACCAGATGAACGTTCAATTATCACTTATGTAGCACAGTTTATTTTGGCTGCCAATTCAAATCCACCTAAGGTTAGTTTAATATCTAGGTAACTAAGCTGTTTTGTTAACTAGCTTTCAAAGCCGTATATTTTCTTTTTTTCCCTATGTCATTCTAAGCTTATTAAACTGTTGGCAGTCATGTGTGTTATAAAAGTTCTAACAGTTTGGCAAAGTTAGTTATCGCCAAATATGGCTGTTTTGTTAATCGGTAATTGAGTACCTAAATCACACTGAGCAACATTTTTATAAATAAAACATTGGAATCCTATTAATTGAACATCGAGAAACCTTTTCGAGATAAAAAAAAATGGAGTGGTTAGTAGTAAACTGACTCAATTGTTGGTTTGTAGGGAATTCTAAAGAAAACTAGTTTTGGTCATGAATTGACAATGATTAAAGAGCCGCTGAAAACCCGGGAACACTGAACAGTTGTTTCATTGCAGTTTAGGACTCCTCATAAGTATACACCTATGACCTCTTTAGAAGTTTAGCCCATCAACGTCAGGTCTAGTAGTGGTCAATCAAGTTGGAGTTAGGACGGATATCTATGGATGACATTAGATGATGATGGTCACGCTTTATCGCGAATTGACAGAAGTGAGAATTTTCGGACTATTATGTCCTAACCCAGTGACTGAATGGCAATGTACTCGCCACGAAACCTAATAGCCCTGACCTCGATTCCCCACAGAATAGTAAGTGTGGACTGTTGAAGAGTTTTATACTGGGACGAAAAAACTGTCCAGTGCTCCCAGGTTTTCGATGGTTCAACACTACCTGATTTCAGTTCGTGATTAAAAGTATGCAAGTATACACAAAATGATGAAACCTGTTTGTTGAACCAAGTATGCTTCAACATTGCCAAAGTAAGAGGCGATAAGCATCTTATGCTATAATATCAGCCTACATTGAATGCATATCTTTGACTTCTTGCTTAAAGAAATAAAAGGGTTATATGCATTTCCGAGTATGACCAATGAATGCCATTCTTCAACATCAACCAAACGTTGCTTAATGATGGGTAGTGCCTAGCAGAGGAGCCGAGGATTCGCGTTTCGTCCTCTTTGGGACTCGTCAGCTGGAAATATCTGCTTCCCAGTGAACTATGTTGTCCAATCAACGACAGGATAATGCAATTAACAACATACGTTGCTTGTTGTAATTCCTATTTTTCCTCAAAGTACAAATGGATTCTGTTCAACGTCCATTTAATATTTTCTTGGCTTTAATGTAACCCTTGTTTTTTAAATAAAACTATTCAATGTAGAGGTGTTTATGAAATTTTCCTGCTTCAATCAGACATTATGCAACCTACTTTCTTTCTAGATAAGCAAATATTCAGAAATTGTAGGAATAGAACGTAAAATTACTGCAATACGTTTCAGGTTGCTACATTTCATATTAGAACACCAAAGCTGAAGGTAACAACCAGGGTGAAAAACAGAGAGGTGGGAAAAGTATAATCGGAAGTCATATAAAGCCATATGATGAAGTGGAGAGGGAGGTAAAACGAATGATAGAAGGCTATACTAAAGTATGGTAGGATTTAAGGTATGACTACTTCTGGAATACTGCAATCTATTCTTTAGATAAAACTTTTTGGGAAGCAGTTCTGATGGTCTCTCGGATTCTAATCATTAAGCTTACAGTCTCGTAAACGGCTTACATAGGCGGATAGTCGTTCAATGCATTAGTACCACTTCGTTCGTTGTTATCCTTAAGTTTTTTCGGGAGGTTTAGTTGAGTAAACTGACATATGTATATCTTGTGGTGGCTAGCAGTGGAATCCAGGACATAATAATAATAATAATAATAATAATAATAATAATAATAATAATAATAATAATAATAATAATAATAATAATAATAATAATTCACCTTATTTCAAACAATTCGTGATACAATTTGGAATTCTCAGCATGATATATTGCGACAACAACAAAATATAAGTATATACCTACACCTTGACAACAGTTCGAACTGTGTTATTATAAAAATTCAAGTTATGTAAAGAATATTAATAACGAGTAAAGTTTTACATTGTTAATCAAATTATTGAAATGAGATTGTTAACTGTCATATATGAGTTCTATTGTAACACGTTTTTCCTCACATAATATGCGTGCTGGGTAAGGTACAGTCAAATTCTTGTACTTGACTGTGCGAGCGCTTACAGTTTTATGTCGTTTCCTTTTGTCCCCCTCCTGAGAGGATACAAGGAGATAGCTGTGAATGAAATGGATGCTCAGTAGCAGTTAAAACTACTGTAGCTAATTGCTTGCTAGAATTTGAATGTGTATCAACTACAGTGTTAATCAGTTGGGTCAGAGGCACAACACACCCTCCTGACAGCTTTCAATGCCCTACACAATATAACATAGTCCTTGTTTAGTAGACCAAGAAAGATCAACGGGGAACAATAGAGAAGAATAATCAAAATGCAGGAACTAATAAGTTATAAAAGTAAAGGTTGAGTTATACCAGACAGCCTCAGTTTCTTAATGTAATACGTTCAACGAAAAATTTTTACAAGTCAACAGGACGTGCATTTCACTCCATTTGTCGTTGGTCAATTGGATGTAGCTTCACACCTGTCAGTCATGGCGTTCTGACTGGTCAATTCGACCGAGTATAGCAACAGGAAATTACAAGTATTAGTATTCATCATGGACTGACTTCAGTTGGGGAACTATTGAAAATCTGGGAGCACTGGACAGCTGTTTCGTCCTAGTATGGGACTCCTCCTTCCATGATGAATACTACTTCTAAATTTAAAAAAATCCCCATTCATCTCAAAAATTACAAGTACATTAATGAATAATAATAAGCCGTTAAGTTAGGTGTGACTCTCGTGCCTCAGTCGCCTAGTGGATAACGCTTTCGTGTTTGGAGAGATTGGTCCGAGGTTCGAATCTCAGTGGGAACGCCAACAGTCACTGGGGTACAGGCGAATATCCAGCAGATCAGTCTTAAATGAGACACGTTCTGGGTTTGACTGCTAGCCACCAACAAGTAAATTATGACCAAGAGTATTTCGGCAGTAACGCGGCATCTGCCAACAGAAGTCGATTAATTCGACTCGTTATAACAACAAGAATTTACAAGTATCAATGTGTAGTATGTATCTATGTAAGTGGTACTTATAAATCATAATATTATCTGTGATAGTTATAATTCCTATAGTGGTGTAATTTGTTGCGTTCTAAAGTAGTTAGTCTTTGATTTCCTCTTGAATTGTCACTTTTTGCTACATATTTCTATCAAGATCAAATCAAGATCCAATTCACGCAGGTCAAGTACTAACAGTGCAGAAAAGCTACAAGCTCAACAAGGATCGAACGCAGCCAATACTAACAAGCATGGTGAATTCCAACCAGAGAATGAACATCACACACCGCTTAGATTAGCCTCATTTGAACCGGATCCACAAATAGATCCGGCGTTAATTTTGAATGCTTCAACTACGGCTAATTTTCTTGAACGTCGTCGTGCTAGACGAGCAAGTTTAAGTGGTCCACAGACAATGGATGATGAAGCATTGCACAATTTAATCTTAGCTACAAGTCCTGGCAGCTCTGAGACTGGTGGTGCTTCTACACCTTCTGATGATGCTGGTGCTGGTGTGTTGTCTGCGTCAACACCTGCTTATCGTAGCACTATGTCAGGTTCACCTTCTCCACCTAGCTATAGTACATCGCCTCATCGGTCTGCTCGTGCACGTTCCTATGCTGGATTACGTTTATGTCGAGTGGCAAAGAATGTTTCTAAATGTCGAGCCATTGCAAACATTCGCGTAACAGCTGAACCACCGAAAGCCACTCGCAACATTGTTCCCGTTTTACATTTAGGTGGAGAGGTGCATACGTCTTTACTGTCCATTGTTATTTGAGTTGTGTTGCACAAAATAATTCTCATCTTTATGCATGACAGCGCACCAGATTAATTTCTACCGTTTTGTGCACATATTCTTTTGGCTTTCAAAAAAGAAACCGTTTAATACTTGTTTGTAGGAGGCGGTGCTGATCAGAATGGATATAAGTAGTATATGTTGAAAGGGAGGCAGAAATCATAGTTAGTTCCCAGCAAGGGGGAAAGATTCTGCCAAGATAAACGCAAGAGACAATGTTGGCTTATAAAGAACAAATCAAGATAGAAGCAGAAGAGGAAATTAAGCGCATTATGCAAGTGACTTTTTTAGTGGAAAGTGTACAATATTTCATGACTATGTACAAAATGTCACAGCACTTTCTGTCCTTCGTCTCGTTCTTGTCGTTTTCTCCAATTTGTGTCGCTGCTTCTGGATGTAATGAAGATTCCGTGGCCTGCAGTATTCGAGGGTGGAGACACCAAGGTCTTCCTCAGGGACTTCAAGTCGGTCGCGGAGCTGGTGGGTGTCCGGGATCCAGGAGCTAAGGTTGTGGTCCTTGGCACGTTGCTGAGGGGCAGAGCGAAAGCGGTATATGATGGCGTGAAATGTGCGGATGGGAATGAGACTTGGCAGAGAATGGTTGAACAACTGGAGGTGGAGTTTGACAATCCAACGGACAGGGATTTGGCGATACAGCAGTTCCAGAACACGAAACTTGGAAAAGACGAAGACTGGCTGGTACTGACTGTGAAGTTGACACTACTTCTTCACGAGCACTTCTCACTCTGGATGATGGCTCCCAGGAGCAGTTACTGGCTGCACAGTTCACAGAGAGTGTCCCGAATGCCATCCCTCAGCAGCTATGACTAGTCAATGCAGCACGACTCATGAATATTAGTGAGATGGCCAAGGTGACCAGACAGCTAATGGGTACAACAGTAGCTGTGGTCGAGTCACCAGAGATAAATAACTAGAAAAAAGAAGTGGATAATCTTCACGAGGAGGTGGCTGCACTTCGAATGAACATCAACAGACAGAGTAAATGCTTTGGGTGTGGAAAACTGGGACACTGGCAAAGAAAGTGTCCGGAAAGACGAAAAAGAAAACTCCTTGAACGATATAATATGAGTTGTGTTTTTCCAACTAGACTAGATTTCGTGGGAGCCATAGATAGAGGTGGTGTGTATGCTAGAATGCGAATAAGTGATCAGGAGATCTAGTGTGTAATAGATAAGGGATGGGGGTGGGAGTGGGGGTGAGGGTGGCAATTTCCCTGATAGATAAGAGTCAGTCTGAGGACATATAAGACCATATGCGCTAACGGTTGGTGTCCACACGGTTGGTGGGCATGCATTAGAAATCGCGGGCTTATCAGATTGTGTTGTCTAGATCGGAAGTCGGAAAATTAGATTTGTATTCATTGTGACGACGTGTCTACAACGGACAATGGTAGGTGCTGATTTTCTGAGAGAAGTGGGTGTAGTTAATAACATGAGAACAGGAATAGTGCTGATGAAGTACGGGTTGTTCACCCCAGAGGAGAGCAGTGAGGTAGCAGAGATTGAGGTGAGATATCAAAAGCACCACACCCGGAAGCATGAAACACGCCATGAAGTTGGTTAAGAAATACGACAAGACTGAGAGGCGGGACGTTTCTCTTGGTAGAATCTTTACCCATTGCAGGTAACTGCCTATAATTTCTATCACTCTCTCAATATATACTACTTATATCCATTCTGACCAGCAACGCCTACCACAGTTAATTCGTATACCTTAGAATATTTTGTTTTCCATTTGTCATATTAAGATGGCAGTGGATATCACCACTATTTATGTATTCATAGGTTTTTTGGTCACTTGATGAAACAGGTATCAAGTTGTTTCTTGGTTTAGTGAGTTGGCTTCCGGCCAATGAGTCACGTGTTGAAACATGGATCCTACTTGTTGAAGTTTGGACAGTCAGATAGTGTCATTTGCCCTCACACAAAATAAGTGTGGTTGATTGCCTACTGTACGAATGTACTCCAGGTGACTGAATGCATCTCTCTCGAATCGCAAACATATCAGAAGGTAACATGTGACATCAACGAATTGAAAACACTTGTCAGATTAAATATTTACTGTAAATTGTTTGCGATCATTATCCGACTTAGTTTGTCAAATGAATAAGCATATCAGTCAAGTGACTGCGTATTAATATTCTCACTACGAGAACTTATAGGTTAGTGAGTATGAACCGTTGAAGAGTATTCCGGTTTTGACGAAAACACTATCCTAATACTTTTTAGTTTTCAATTATTTTCTATTTGTTTACCTTTGAATGAACGTGCTGACTCACAGTTGATGTGTAGACCGATTATCTAATGTCAATACATATATCCTTTATTGTGTTGAATAGAACCCGTTTTCTTAGACAATCATAACTTCACTTTTACTGATGAATATAATGCTGTTAAATATCTGGATAACTATGTGCTTGAGGAATTTCGAACTAGTCCGAAACTTGTATATCTTATCAATACAAACTGCTTATCCATATTTTTACGGTGATTGTCATCACCAAGTGCATGCCGGTTTTTCCTACCTTTATATTTGAATATATGTTGTCTTTGAGTGTTGTGTGCTTTTTTTCTCCACTCATATTGTGAATTTCACGATTCACTTTATCTTCAAGTTTACTATCTAAATTTTTTATTTCTCAAGGGTAATGTTGAAAAAACAGAAGCTGAAAAAGAACGAGTTCTTCTAATCAATATCAAAGAGTTAATCGCTCGTGTTCGACATAATCCAATTGATTCACAAGATTTTATTACCGAATTCGAGGTTAGTTACACTTTCGTTATACTTTATAACTAGTAGATTTTCTATTGAGTTTGTGATTTTATTTCTTCAAGAAGTTGTTATGTGGTAATAAGTTAGTTGGATGTAACTATATCAAGCTGACTACCTCTCCATCTCATTTAGCGTCAACCAATAGTGTTCAATATGGAAACTCTTCATTTAGGGTATGTAGTAAAACATTTTCAAACTTCCTAAGTCAATTTTACAGTGTGATGAGATTTCTATCAAAGACATATGATTGACATCATTATTACTTTCATTCTGTTTATATAAAACGCGAAAGATATTACGGAGTCATAAGTGATTGTTAATAGAGAACTATTAGATAGAAACAAATGGAAAAAATAATGTAGACTGTAGTATAGAAATACATTGACTCAAATTGTCACACTACATAACACTATATAAAGAAGAGGAGGATAGAAAAAGTGTAGTGTGTATGTAAGGAAAGAGAATTGTACCATTGTCACCAATTTTCAGCTATCACACAGCCCTGGTCATACAGTTTGCACTTTTCTTACATGACTCAGATCGACATTTGAAGATTTCGTAGATCTTACCACCCTTAACATTGCTCTAATCTATTGCTACTTTGCTTAACATTGCACTTCAAGGTAGGTAGTGGTTTGGCATCCACCACATATGTTCAGGATCACTTCAGTTGGTCAAGGTTCACCACCTTATTGAATCACTTACTTTCCTTGCTTATACCAACCTTCCCTTAACCTCGGCATTGTTCATATGGTTAAAACATATTACGCAAATAATCTTACTATTGTGAAAAAAAATACATGCTTCACAAATCTTAACACTGTATCAATGATTACATCACATCCTATTGTCTTTACCAATTGACTTGTGTATATGGTCATACATACATACGGGGTAGTAATCGAACCATGCAGCTAAAGATGGGAGAATATGTACCTAAATGGCTTCAGAAACTAATGGAATGTGAAACTTTGATAAGCGCAGATAGAAGGTGACCCTCTTCATCTATAGCTAAACATATCATAGAAATAGGTCCTAAAATAAGTGCTGAAACAGCTTTCAAAGTTTTACATAGAATCAGTCAAGGACATATACTGAGGATTGTGGAAGTGATAGCCATGCACATGTTGAAACCACGTTTATATCTACAAAAGCAATTTACTTTTACACTACACACCTATCTTGATAAACTTTGTTTTCTTACGAAGATTATTATATTATATTGTTTGTCCCTTGGGTTCCTAGTGGGAACATATAGGGCTTCAGTAGCACGTCACCATTTCACTCCGTTCTCTACAGTCTTTTCCACCTGGCTCCACCACTGCCTACAACCTTTCATTTCTTCCTCACACCATCTCCTCCATGTCACCGTCGGATGCCAAACTCCTCATTTTTCGTTTCCGTTCCACTCAAAGGCCTGGCCTGACCTGGCGCGTGATGTCCTCAAACAGTCTTCTCAGTGTATCTCCAATCCAATCCATCTCCACTTTCTTCTTCCGCACATTTGTTGAGCGATATCTTCTTGGTTGATTTGTTCGTTGTTAGGCCAGCCACAGTTCCTTCTTGCTTATTCTTATTATTCTTTCTGGCCACCTGATCTTCATTGTCAGTATCGAGTGGACATAGGCGGCAGCTACTGATGTGATGTATGTCTGCAGTTTGTCCGAAATGCTTTCCGTGACTCGCCAAATCTCTCAACCATCACATAGAAGCACCAACTTACTTGACTGAATTAGTGTTGAGAATTCGGATGTTGTTCACGCTTTATGCTGAGTGGAGTGGAGTGGAGTGAAGTGGAGTGCAGTGCAGTGCAGAGCATCGCATTGCTGTAGATCTCCACACTGATTATTTCAGATTAATGAAGGCCTTTCCTACTGTCTTTCCCATCCCGGATTGGACGTCTTCATCTGTGTCGTCACCACATGTAGTTGAAACGATGCTGCTCTGCTTAGGTAAGTGTAAGTGAAAGAGACTACTTCCCTTACGTATCTCCCATTCATGGTGATTGGTGCTCGTTGCTTTTGTTGCTGTTGGTTGGGTATCCTCATCACCTGAACAAAGTCCCGTATTCATTCGTTGCCTCGCCTCTTCTCCCAACTTGTTAGTTTTCGCCTGTAGATCTTCGAGTTTGTGCCACAAGACATTAGACATAAATCATCATCGGCGTCGTCGAAATCCAAATCTTTTTCTGGGGTCTTTTCACCGATCTAGCCAGCGTATGCCCATCTCCTCGCTCCTCACAGTTGTCTGTTGCATGATCCTGTCCCGTCCAGTCCAGTCCAGTCGACCACAATCAAGAAAATCATCGGAGGGTGATAGTAGGCACCAACCTTGTCTTACTCTTCTCTTCACTTCATTTCAAAGGCATCCCTGAGCTTTCCATTGTCAATCACTTGGCAAGTAGCATTATATATCATATGACTGCTGTTGAATGAGGTTGGTGAAGGTTTATGGCACTCTGTAGTGTTAAAGCAGCTGCCAAATTACTTCTGGAAGATTAAAATGTTTAATTCGGTATTACCTTAATTGTTCTATTTGTCCTCCCATCATTCTGTTTAATATACATTGACTTGACAAGTAAATGTGTGACTAGAATGTTCGAAATGTGTATTTTGCAAATACATTACATTATTCAAATAAACTCTATTTTCTAATTACACTATCTTAATTTGTTAGTAAGGCGTATCTGCAACCTATACAAAACTGATGTCCCGTCTGGGATTCGAACCTGAACATTAGGCCCTTGAAGCTTCGCAGATACACTTTGCTGACGAGAGCGAACAACCACGAAACCTAGATCCAAGGCTTACTGCCGATATTTGCGATCTACCTAATAAGTGACTAAATTGGTATAATGACATTTGGATGTTTGATTCTTAATTGAAAGATATTCAACCAAATTTTATGCATTTGGCATTTAAAGAAAACATATCGTTTTAAGAACATATTCATCAACATTTTAATCAAATATTTTTGTAGTAAATAAACATAAATTATTTTATATGATCGTAATCTGAAAATCCTACTGGAATCGAGTATGTTTCATTGTTGAAGTTGACTGACGTCCTGTGATTTCTTATAAATAAATTACATTGAAAGTTTTTATTTTATCCATAATTACTGTTGTCTAACTTCATCTAAGTTCTTGATTTAGGTGGTAAACATTTTTCTTTTTTGTTCTAGAACTTCTAATGAACATAATTAATGAATAAGTTAAAGTTTATTATTTAGTGGGAGTATTTGTTAGCACATTAGTGGGCATTGAAACTCAATAGTCAGTTTTCTAGGAATCATTTACAATGGTCTAACAGGAAATGTACTTTCCACCTTGCATAACTTTTTTTCTGATCTCCGTAATTCATCTACACAAGTAGACTAACTTTATAGGATTCAATGTTAGTCTTGTAGCTCAATAGGAAAGAATAGTTACATCTTGTAATCAACTTGGTGACTAGCAGTGGAATCCAGAATGTACATTTCTCTCGATTTGGGTCTTGTCAACCGGATGTACCTGCACCCTAGTGAGTGATATTGCTTCCATTGAGACTGGAACTCAGTGCTCATTGTTTTTAACGCCGGAGAGTTACCCACTGGGTCGCTGAGCATGAGAGCTGCCTATTTCAAGTATACATCATATCCTTTGCATACACATTTAATTAAGGTAAAGAGAATAGCACAAGATTTAATTCGTTTTCAGTTATAGTTGAAAGTCATCTACTATACTTCCGCTTACCGAAATCATACCTTTTTAGAGTGTGAATGAATACATCGTCTGGTTTCTTTTGATATCAGTAGGCATATTGTGTATGTAGTTTTGCGATTCTTGTCAATATGATTTGATTGTTCTAGTTTACCTATAGAAAAGAACAACCAAATCATCTGTTATAATCTTGTTGATTTATACTGATCGAGAGACTTAACCTCTGTTGGTAGTTGTCTGAGCTTTTATCTTTTGTAGTTGACGCTTCATCATCAGGCCTGGTGACATCAACCGACAGGATGCCATGCTTGTATTTAGTTTTATGTTTGTTGGTACTCACCAACAAGGTGTATCCTGGAAAAAAATTATATGCCATCTGGGGTTCGTACCTGCATCACTCAACATTACAGTTCAGACTTTCGACCGACAAGTTATCCATTGATAACGTATATAAATTTAGACAGCGTAATGAGAAGACGAAGATTATGTGAAACATGTGTGATTGGTATTAGTGCTATACAACATTTCGAACAATCTGATCACACATAGACTTGTCGAATTATTCATATGAAAATTTACCATAAAAGGGTCAACTAAGTCGATAGGAAACATAAGAACATAGAGGCAGAGAAAAAGTAACCAAATCTAAATCATATCACTCTTGGTGTAAAAATTACAACCAATACTACTAAAGTGAGAAAGAGAGTTCAACGTGAGTAAAAATTGTTTTTGTGTATATAAAGGAGGTTTGAAGTTATGGATGGTAAGAGCTTCAATAAATTTAAGCACTCAGCCCTGATCACTTTTATGTAGTACTTTAAAAGCTGTTCTCCTGTCCACCCCCTGTGATTAGAATGTAGTATGAAGATGGACGGACGTTTATCACCTGCATTTATCAGCTATGTTGAGGTTTCTTGTTGCTGAAACGCCTTTGGTACATATTTGACCATCCTCAACTGCATACCACGATTACTCATCCTTATGTATGTTTGTCCACATGAACATGTGTGTACACGAAGGAGGAAGAAATAAACTTACTGACGACAACACTAATACAAGGCGGCCTGCTTTGAACCTTGGGTCACCAAATTTTGTCCATCGAACATTTTTCATCAAATCCTTTCTTTTCAGTTTGTTTTAATCATTTCAATATGTCTTTTGAACGTGTATCATTTACTCTTGTGTGTTTTTAAACTGTTTCCAACTCTCCGTTTATCGAGTCAGTAACAAAGCGTTAGGTTATATGGAAACTGACTTTTCGGTACAAAAAAGTACGTCATATTTCTATCCGTCAGATGCCTCGCTTGGGTTGCAGATTTTTGTACCATCTGAATGAACCGCCATCATCATCAAAATTACGCGTACATTTCTGTTGACTCTTCATTATAGACCGGATACCCATCCAGAACCAGCTGGCTGTTTCACATTATTGCCTTGAATACTGTTACTATTAACATCATGCAGATGCAGTAACCGTTTTGTCTGAAAGTATTGTTCTGGGAGTGAATTTGTTGGGAAATTACATGCTGAGAATTCCATGTTGTCATACATATTGTTTGGAATAAAGTGACTATTATTGTTATTAGCATGGCTGGTCATTCACATTTATTGGTCAGGTGCAAATGTTATGTAGCATTGAAAAGTATATAGTGTTCGGTTGCTAAGATAAATCTCCATATCTCATTGTCATTCAAAGGTGATTCACATAGCTTAGATCAGTCATTTGTAAAACATATTATGCAGCCAAGGTCATTAATGCAGAGAAGACAAAGTCCATGTCACAACACATAAACGATTGGATCACATCCTACTATGTTTATCAATTTACATATATGTGTGGACACATAGGTAGGTAGGAGTAATCGTGGTATGCAGTTGAGGATGGTCAAATATGTACCAAAGGCGTTTCAGCAACAAGAAACCTCAACATAGCTGATAAATGCAGGTGATAAACGTCCGTCCATCTTCATACTACATTCTAATCACAGGGGGTGGACAGGAGAACAGCTTTTAAAGTACTACATAAAAGTGATCAGGGCTGAGTGCTTAAATTTATTGAAGCTCTTACCATCCATAACTTCAAACCTCCTTTATATACACAAAAACAATTTTTACTCACGTTGAACTCTCTTTCTCACTTTAGTAGTATTGGTTGTAATTTTTACACCAAGAGTGATATGATTTAGATTTGGTTACTTTTTCTCTGCCCTCTATGTTCTTATGTTTCCTATCGACTTAGTTGACCCTTTTATGGTAAATTTTCATATGAATAATTCGACAAGTCTATGTGTGATCAGATTGTTCGAAATGTTGTATAGCACTAATACCAATCACACATGTTTCACATAATCTTCGTCTTCTCATTATGCTGTTTATGAAAGTGACTGGTTGCTTAAAATGTATAAATTCCACTAGTAATGTATATTAGGTCAAATATTTCCTACGCAACTTAGGAATTACCTTGTGTTAGTTGATCTCGCTGAAGCTCGGAACTATTATTCGCTAAATTATACGTTGGAGCGTGTTATTCACTCACCACAGCATACTTTCGTTGTCGTTTGTATTTGTTGTATTCATTCCAAACAGTTACCATGGATAGTTACCATGGATGTTCATTCACTAATTTGTTTGTTTGAATTATAGTGTTTTCTTCAAGCTCAACTTGAACATGAAAACATGGCCGCATATATTAGAGAACTGGATGAAAGAAAACGTCAAGGTTTATTGCTTGGTTTACGTCCTGAAGAATTAGAACGTGCTGAGGCTGAATGGAGTCGAGTGAAACCGGAGTTGGATGAATGGAGGTGGCGATTAGATAATGTACTACCGGGTGAATGGCGTAAAGTTGGCCAAATGTTATCAAAATTAGAGAAATGTCTTATTACTGATGCACTTGTAGCCTCACAACTTGGCCTTGAATTAGCACCAGAAGCGAAAAATTTAACTGTGGAAGAACGTGAAGAACGTCTACGTAATTGTTTGAATGAACATGAGGTGTGTTATTAACGGTGAAGTGTTATTTGTTCGTCTGTTAGTCTGTATTGGATTTATTTAATCAACATACTTTTGAAAATAATTATCCATTACAGGCTTAGTTGTGGTTAAATGCAGACGAAATGAAGTGGAACTTCATTGCTTTATTCAGTATAAAAAATATTGTCTTTGATAGAGTAACTAGATGAGAAACAGCATAATTCAAGAAGAAAAAAAAACATGCCAAGTAGTTAAATATAATGCGAAGTCCAACATGTGACTAAAGTCATGTCTGAGTGTGTGACAAACACGTCCAATCACCCCAAGGTTGTGAACGTTGAACAGATAGCAATTTGACTGGTCAATTATCGGTCTGTTGTGTGTTACAATTGCCAACCAGCATGTTTGCTTTTATTTTATTGCATTTCTTCCAGTGGGATATGCTTTCATGATGATGCTGTCATAAACCCAGTGCTACAGTCGTAGATATCACCACAAAGCTACTCGGGTGACACTGGTTCAGATCTCTGTGGTGATATCAATCCTCTTGAAGTTTCAAATGCCTCTTACTCACGAGTACCAGCAAGCCCGAGACCTAGGGCTCCCTGCCAATTACCTTCAACCGTCTGACACATTAAAGACTGTTACTTATGTAGAGTCTAATGATAGTTTACTTCTCCCCCAAGAAAGAAATGCATGTTTTTCAATTTTATTTGCAGATTTCTGTGGATTGACCTAAATTGACTAAGTCCCAATATGGTAGTTGTCGGACATAATGTATCTGAGTTCGTTCCTGAAAAGTATTGTGGATGCACACTAGGATGAAACTGCTGTCTGATGCTGCATGCTTTCCAGCGCTTTAGTTTATGTCAATCTGCCAACCAATGACCTGTAGCTTCATCCTATTTGAACAGCACATTGACAGTAGAAAAAAAGAATACTGAACAACCTTTCAGCTTATGTGGACCACATTTTTTAAACAGTTTTCATCATGGATTGACATCAGTTGGGAAACCATCAAAACCTTAAGCGCACTGGGACTCCACAACAATACGCGCTCACAATTGGCTGAGTAATCGACTCCAGGACTGTTAGGTCTCATGGTGAGCACGTTGCCATTCAGCCGCTGGATTGGAACTCAGCGGTCCACATCATCTTCCAATTTCTGTCAGTTTGCAGTATAACGCCGTCATCATCTAATGTCATCGATGGACATCCGCATCACTCCCTACTTGGTTGACTTCATAAATGATGAATTCTCATCTGAACATCAGGAAATCCAGCTTTGTTCTAAGATGAAAAAGCTTTTCAGTCCTTCTGGGTTCATGATGGTTCTCTGAGTGATGTAAATCGATAAATCCCTTCGAACCAAATATTGATTTTTTTAAAAACTATCAAAACATAGTCTATTGGTTCTGTAGAAAGTTAAGTTATTGGGTCATATTTCTATCTTGAATTTGGGGGGTTTATGGGGATTTAGAGGTATTTCAAGTTGGTATTCATCGTAGACTGACATCAGTTGGAAGAACAATGGAGACCTGGGAGAAGTGGACAGCTGTTTCGTCCTGGTATGGGACTCCTTAGCAGTGCGCACCCACGACCTCGCCAAGGTGACTAGCTTCGAGAAGTGACTCCCGGAGTTCCAGTGAGAAGTCGTGACCGGTGGAGCAAACCTGGCGACCGTGAGGACAAATACTCAACGATAACATTGGGTGGTGGTCGCGCTATATCGTGAACTGACAGATGGAAATATGGACTATTGGATTCCGACCCAGTAGCTCGTTGGTTACGTGGTGATCACGGAACCCGAAGGTCGCAGGTTTTGATCCCTGACGGGGTCGCGGGTGCGTACTGTTGTGGAGTTCCATACTAGGACGAAACAGCTGTCCAGTGCTCTCAGGTTTCCAATGTTCCTCCATCTTATGTCAGTCTATGATGGATACCAACTTGAAGTATTCCTATCTGACTGCAGCTACCACTCGCTGACTGATTATGACCCATTGGGTCATAATTTAGTCATGATTTATTAGGAAATCTATCTATATGGTTACATAAGAATTTTCACTTGTTTTTCTTAATTACATTTGTTTTCATTTTAGGATACTTTCAAGGATATCGATGATCTAGAAAGTCTGCTTTTTCGATTAACTGAAGAAAATCAAAAATTGATTGTAGCAGCTGAAAATGCAAGTCAAGAAGTTTTGGCTACCTTACCTGTTCGTTTACCCCAGAATATTGTGAATTCATTGAAATCACGTTTTATCACAGCATATTTAGATGGACAATTAGCGAAACGACGCTTGGAACGCTTAACTTTACGCTGGGATTTAGCGAATAAAATGACTACAATACGTGATCGTTTTGTAGAATGGCAAGCATTCAAGTGCAAAGAAAAAGTTGAAGTAGACTCCTGTATAAATAACATTAAAGTGAGCTTTGTCTTTCAGTTTAAATATTTCCATAAAAATGTTATTTAAAGAGTGATTGATCTTGATTATTGTTTCATTGATACCGCAGTCAGTCCTTTCAGTTGAAATACGTAAACTTATACTGCATAACCATGTAAGGGAGGAAGAAGAAGCAAGAAAAGGAATAAATCTCGACGGACACATCAAAGCTGATAGAGCAGAGGGAGAATGGTGAAGCAGAAGATAAACCAGTGCAAGGATGCACGACGAAAAGAGGAACTGAATACAACCTATAAAACACTACACTAGACAAAAAAGTGAAGAAGAGTGTGCGGAAAGACAAAAGACACTTCTACGACACACTTGCAACTGAAGCAGAACAGGCCGCAGGTAGGAGAGACAGAGACCTGACAACGTTTAATCAATTAACCAGGTTACTATCTGGGAGGGAAGAGATCAACACAGATGAAACCAATAAAAAGATGAAGAAGGAAATCTAATTACGAAAGAAGGGAAACAAAGGAAAGGATGGGTTGACCACTTCAAAAACATCTCGTGAATTGACCACCACCACCTGCCAATTGATTGGAAGAAGGGTTACCTTGTCAAACTCCCAAACAAGAGAGATCTAAGTCTTTGCAAGAACTAGCGAGGAATCATGCTCCATCCCTGTCCACCCCAAACAAAATATTATGCCGCATCATCCTAGAGAGGCTAGAAAATGCTCAGCATTCAACTGGATTACGACTGGAATAGGCTGACTGACTTCAGGAAGTACAAATCATGTAGGGGATTGACTCTACTCGTCATCGTAGAACAGAGCATAGAATGGCAGTCAACTCTTCACTTTAACTTTATCGACTTTGAAAAGGCCTTCCTTCGATGGTGGCGACCGAGAAGTAATTTGGCAACTGCTTTAGCACTACAGTTTTAGTGCCACAAATCTTTATCAACCTCATTCAACAGCAGTCATATGCTATATGATGCTACTTGCCAAGTGATTGACAATGGAAAGCTCAGGGATGCCTTTGAAGTGAAGTGAAGTGAAGTGAAGAGAGGAGTAAGACAAGGTTGGTGCCTACTATCACCCTCCGATGATCTTCTTGATTGTGGTCGACTGGACTGGACTGGACTGAACTGGACGGGACATGACAGGATCATGCAACAGACAACTGTGAGGAGCGAGGAGATGGACATACGCTGGCTAGATCGGTGAAAAGACCCCAGAAAAATATTTGGATTTCGACGACGCCGATGATGATTTATGTCTAGTGTTTTGTTGCGCAAGCTCGAGGATCTACAGGCGAAAACCAACAAGTTGGGAGAAGAGGCGAGGTAGTGAGTGAAGACGGGACTTCCTTCAGATGAGCGTAGCGAAGATAGAGGTGAAGAATACACCCAACGAACAACAACCACCACCACCACCACAACAACAACAACAAGCACCAATCACTATCGACGGGAGAAATCTAAAGGAAGTGGTCTCTTTCACCTATCTACCTAGGCAGGCAGCATTATCTTAATTATAGGCGGCGGTGGCGGCACAGATGAAGATGTGAAAGGTAGGATCGGAAAGATAGTAAGAATGGCCTTCATTAATCTGGAATAATCAGTGTGGAGATCTACTGCAATGCAATGCACTGCACTCAGCATAAAGCGTGAACAACATCCTAGTTTTCAACTCTGGCAACGAAGTAACCAAGATCCTATCACCCAACAAATATGCAGAAGAAAGTGGGAATGGATTGGGCATACACTGAGAAGGTTGATTGGGGACATCATGCGCCAGGCCCTCGAGTAGAACCCCGATGGGAAACGACGAGTTTGGCGTGTGAGGGTGACATGGAGGAGATCGTACGAGGGGGAAATGAGAGCTTGTGGGCTATCGTGGAGCCAGGTTCGACAGATTTCAGAGAAGAGAGTGCACTGGAGGCGCGCTACTGAAGCCCTTTGTTCCATTAGGAACCCAAGGAACATATAATAATATAATAATGTCAAGTAAGTCAATACTTCTATACGACTCAGAGATTTGGAGCATGATGTGAGGAAGAAATGAAAGCTTTTGGGCAGTGGTGGAGCCAGGTTGAAAAGACTATAGAGATGAGATTGAAATGGCGACGTACTACTGAAGCCCTATGTTCCTCTTGGAGCCCAGAGGACAAATAAGAATAATAACATGCTGATGGTGTATTGCACTGGAAAGTTATTCACAATCAGAAGGACTTCTTGTGTTTTATCCTCGTGATAAAAGTCTATCGTTCTTTATTTGATAAGTGTTACTTTCGTTATTACTTTGTCAGATCTTGATTGTCTTATTCACGTGACTCGGCTGATTCAGTTTTAACATTGACCTTGCATGTGATTGGTCTAGAACATGCTTGCCTATTATGCGCACAACTAGTCTATGCAAATCGTCCATCCTATCGGCTTGCAACGGAACACGAAATCGTGTGTATTTTAAGCGATCTGATTGGTTTCTGTAAACAACTGAATTAACCGACAGCAACACACCATAATTTATAAAAACGAGACAACCGTTTTCAAACCCCAAAAGTGGAGTAATGCACAATAATTGGTTTCATTCAACATGCAATTATATTCGAGGTATAAGCCATACGTAATCAGAAGCTCTTTAGCTAAACTGTACAGTTATGTTACCAATTAAGTAATACGTAGAATGACTTTTATAGGAAACAAAATCATGTGACCAACGACATTTATCTGAGATTCCACTTTTCGGCTGATATAATAGCTTTAAATTAGGCATTCAAACTGTAGGTGATACAAGCGCTAATGATCTTCTCATGTGACACACAATAGGTGATACAATATTATTCAGTGCCTGGTGTTTCCAGTACAATTTATTTCATAATCGTATGATTGGGTTAAAGTGAAAAACAGCCAATCAGAAAAAAGCGAGAAAATTGTGTTAAAAGATATCAGCTACTCTTAAGTAGTATAATTCAATAACATATAAGGTCCGATGATCCTGTGTGATACATGGTACACTGTGGCGTTAGATGTTAGAAGTTAATTGGTAGGGAGCCATGCTCCACTTAGGTCTTTTGCCTTCTAGAACTCATCAGAAAGGCATACTTGGAATCTTGAGGAGTCTCCTACCTCCCTAGGGATTCCAGTCAGTGTTGTATGGGAGGTGGATTTAGAGATTATGTCGTCGAACTATTCATATGATTTGGATAACTTATTGTACCAGGGAAACAGAAGTTACAACCCTACTTCCCTGATTTGATCCACGTGAAATTATTCTCCTACGATATCCTTAAGATCTTAACTGCCTTGATCTGAAGTGATAAGCAAATAGTGTGTTTTGTATTCACTTTGCGCTTGTAGTGAACAATGTTCAGATCAATTCGTGGGCAACGTACATTCAAAATTATTTCCCAATCCTATTATTAGAGCAGATATCGGGCTCTGTGGTAGTATTCAATTTCATATGAAATTTGTTGATAATTTCCCTCTGAAATACTAGGTCGAATTACTAGCCACCGAGTAAACTTCAACATTTTAAAGTATTTAGGCAGTATTTTGGCACCCACCTGAGAGCTCATCTGCCAATAGAGGTTGAACAATTCTATACATCATAACAACGGGAAATTACAACTGATAGTAAATAACTGATATGGATTACACTAGAGGTGGCTATCATGTCTCCGTATCTGGTGGCTGACGCTGACGTGTAAGCGATTAGTTCAAAACCTGTGTACTTTTGGAAGACATATTTAAGAGATCACAAAACAAACTGAAAGGGAGAAATTTGATGTAATATGTCTAGTGGGAAATTTCATTGGTAACTTTAAAGTTTAAACTGGCTGTCATACTCTTAATTACATTTGGTAGTAACAACTCCCATATGTTCGGTGTTAGCATAGCTCTGAATCATTCCTACGAGCTGTTACTTTGTATCTATTTTCGTTTAATTATTGTTGACACTGTATGTTGCAATGCATTAAAACTCTGTTTTGCTTATCATTCTTGTTTGTATACTAGGAATACTTGACATCCATAAATATGCCTGAAGATATGGAAAAAGGCATAGAACAACTCAAAGGATTAACATCTGAAAGAGATGATATCGCTTGCCAGATTACTGAACAACGTGAGAAAATGGGAATAAAAATGAATTCTACTGATTCTGTAACTCAGCAGGCTTCCGTCAGTACTGGAGGAGGAGCTTTTATTCTAATGGATTATGCTGAAACAGAACGTAAAGAGATCAACTTTTTCTTAGCCTCATTAAATACGCGTTGGAAAGACACCTGGTCAGATGTGTTGAATCTTCAAACACATTTAGGTGAACTTTGCTTAAAATGGGATCTATATGAAACGGTATGTTTTTGTATTGCATATTGATAAGTTGGAGTAGTTTTTTTCACATGACTCACAGGGGGGGGGAACATTCTGTACTTTTGTTGAGAACTGTCAACTGTTTCACTTGACTTGTATAGACACTGAACTGTTCGTTGGCTGGAGGCGATCTACTAATGTGCACCGCGATGCTCAGCCCTCTAGCTTGGTTGCCACATTGCAAATATGATTGACAGAATTCGGTCTGCACTCAGGACTAGACAACATGAAATTGGTTGCACTCCCGTGACCGATCAATACAGTGAAATGTTCATTTTTAATACTTTGTAACTAGAAATTTCAAGTGTTTTCTCGAATTGTAGAATTTTCGTCAAAGGCTGTTTTGCATTCACCTGTTCATTTGTGCGGCTGATTAAAACAATATCAACGGAGAAGATAAACCTCATGTTATCTGTTCATTGCCATAGATATATCTGGCAGAAAACTAGTGCTGGGAGTGGGGTTCGAACCCACGCGGAGATACACTCCAGGGGATCTTAAGTCCACCGCCTTAACCACTCGGCCATCCCAGCTCGTCACACCACCAAAAGTCAAACCTCTTATATACACTTAGACTTCAAGAACTCAAAGAAACTAAAATTGACATCAACCAACAGTGAAGCATCATGACATATCTTCGCTGATATCAATTCATATACACAGCCATGGACGTGAATAGAGCAAATATGGAGAATGCTAGCGAACAACTGTTAGAAACTACACACTCACACCAGTCAACTCAGAAATAGGAGTACTGACGTTGATCCAATAAAAAACACGAGAAACAGCGAAAAGATCGAAGTTATTTATCATCAGTAGAACAGCCAATCGAAATACACGCTTATACAGTGACAACATTTTAACAGAGCCAACCAATCACTTTGAAGGTCATTGGGAAGAGCCAATTAAGCCACTTGCAGAGCAATTCTTATATCTCACTTTCTGAAGTTTGTGCTGCTGGTTTTGCCTAGGATAACACTGAAGATCTAACAACCGAACTAACCAGCTCAGAGAATATACCACCACCACTACCACTACCACCACCACCACCACCATCGAAATCATTCTACTGAGCTGAAAATATTCTCCATCATCTGAGTAAAGTGAAATTGATTCACTGTACAGATACTGAGTGTAACCGGAATTTCATGATATATGTTGGCAGCGAGCGGTGAAATGAAAGAAATTTGTTTCATCCTGACTGTACTTATCAGCTTGATACATTTTTGATTGTACTACACTCTCCAGGACTTGTTATCAAGCTTGGCGATTGGCAGTTTGTCGACAACTCCAAATCCTTTGCCTCGATTTTGTCCTTGAAGCCAGGTTTCACTCTTATAGTCGATTACTTTTCCATATAGCTTAATCTGTTGATGATCAAACAACAGATACAAAGTTTATGCAGAGTATTTTCCATGTGTTGAGATTGATTGATTGATTTATGGTCTTATCATGTATATTTTCCCTAGAAAATTGAAGTTTACCAAGTATGAGAAACCATCATCATACTACCTTTCCAGTTTTGTTGTAGAGTAGCAGAACTGATTGGTTAGGAAATATTGTTCGTATTCTCCAACAGCGAAACATAAGCGATTGTAGTTCGTCATCTAACCACCTCGTTTATTTACAGACCCGCCTAATTTGTCACCGACAATTGGCATACCACTAAAGATGATGAATCCTCGTACTCAACCCTTATTCCATTTTTTAAGTGTACAAGTATTATGTAAATGCTTCCAATACCCCGGTTCTCTTCTCTTTTGATGTGTGCTGCTGGTTATACTACTACTAGTAGTATAGTGAATAGAAGCCTCATAACATGCCAGTTATTTAAGATCATCACAACTGATCTTGAACTATATATAATAAGTAGGGAGAATATATGTATGGAAGTAGTGGAATAGGCGATGGAAAACAATAAGTGACATACAAGATGTTGTATTGTGCTTCTTTCTTCTATGCTTTTAACCTCTATTTTTGTAGGAATATAACAATTTCAATAGAATGCTGATAAAAATGGTTATAGACGATTGCCAATCATCTAACACAAACCGACATAACTTTTTCACATCCTAGAGTAGTCACTAGCACCTTGCTTCCAGGTGAGATTGTTGAAGTTGTGACCGGTGGGGGACGGGGGGAGGGGGACCAAGCAAGTCGAATATGAAAACGGTTACTCAACGACGACATTGAGACTGACAGAAGTTGGAAATGCGGATCGTTGATTGGATTAAGACTCAGTGAATCAGTGGTGGCGAGACCGGAGGTCGTGGATTTGATCCCCTCTTCCACTGGGGTGGGGAGGGGGGGTCATGGGTGCGCACTGCTGAGGAGTCGCATAGTGGGACGAAATAGCTGTCCAGTGCTCCCAGGCTCCCAATGTTTCTCAAAGTAATGCCAGTCTGTGATGAGTAGCAAACTGAAATCAATAGATAAATCCCTGAGAACCTTAACAACAAATTACCTACATCTGTTATGTTGAAGTGAAAACGTACCTGTCAACAGCTATTCACGTTGAGTGAACAGAGTGGATTGTAACGCATAAAGCGATATGTGAATATCGAATGATAAAACCATTATCACTACATCTTCATTTGGTCTATTTATTCGCATTCGCATCACTTCGAAATGTCATTGATTAAGTTAAAATGGTAGAAAGGTGTTGTATTTATTTCGTCCATCTAATGTTGTTCAGGCTTCAGTGTTCATATTAGTTGTGTTGTGTTCTCTGAGCTGGATAGCTTAGTCGTCAGGCTTTCATTATCATTCTGGACAAAATCACTAGTAATAACTTCAATAACTACCTTCATATTTGTGTTAATCCTGTTGATTTCTGGAAATGTCCCTCCCTCCGTGGGGGAGGGGTCACTGCTGAGGAGTCCCATACTAGGATGTAACAGTTGTCCAGTGCTCCTAAATTCCTATTGATGACTACCAACTTGATGTCTGGAAATACAATGAAACCTTCACGACTAAGCTGCCGAGGTCAAAGAATTCAATACAATCGAGATCATCTACCTGAGCTACAAATATTGTCCACCATTTCAAAATCATACAAGTGTTAACATGATCGTATTTTCTCTTTTAATATTTTAATTTTAAAGGAAAAAATGAATTTAACTAATTGGTTAACAGATGTAAAAAAATTACTAGCTAATGAATCGACCAGTTCTGAAGAACGTGAACGATTGTATAATGAATTAAAAGAATGGCGTACACGTGTTTCAGCATTAAATGATCTTGGACATGAATTAATGCATACATGTGATATGACAGCAATCTCTACATTGGATAGTGAATTAGAGAATATGAATAAAACATGGACTGAAGTCACTTCTGAAGTAAGTTAAATTATTCAAGAGAAATAAATAATGAATATTGTGTGATTTTTATGAAACTACTCTTGGACTGAGGTGATATGTGTAATCCTATATTTATTGCCTTCCTCTTAACGGATGTCTAGTTGGTGAATTGATACATTCTACTTCACTTACTTAGGTTTGAGATCTTCCACTGTAGGCTTGAATCAATACAGCCTGAATAGTTGAGTTCTACGCAGTATCTTTTACAGACTAGCTACTTTGATAAGATGAAAATATTTGGTTTGTAAGACTGATATTTGAACTTGTCCACAGTAATCTATTTTTGTTCGATCATACTTACACAACTGGAATAAACCTCTCTGATCGTTTTGTCAATTCACTCACATAAGATTGATCTACGTTGCATATCACTATGTAATTGGATAATCATAAAGGTCACCTTGTGTACAAAAACTTGAATATCTTACTCGAAAACTCAATGTCGGATTCATACTCTTGGTAAGTATCATCCTAGCAAGATTGAAATGTTGAAGGATGGTGCAAAATATTTACTTAGTTTGTTATTTGTTCGGATATAGTACGCCGGGATAACACAAATAGCATACGCCTTATTCGATGGATTGATATTTGAGTTTCAGAACCATACTACTTGGTTGAAAAAGTTCCGTTTGCGATTCTTAGCGTTTTCCTTTGAAAACAATGAATTATTTACTATTCTGAACACAGACCTAACACATCCAGCTGGTATAACTGATCGAAACGTGTTACTTTTTAAAAGGAACTACACTAATAGCAGTTACTAATAGTAGGATGCTTACTTGCACTGCTGAGGCGACTCACGTCAGGACGAAACAGTTGTCCATTCCTCCTAGATTTTCAATGTTTCTTTCAACTGATGTCAGTCCATGATGAATACCAACCTGACTGGATTTCATCGTTCAGTTTTACAGCGTAGTCACTATGCTGGGGAATTCGATATCAGAATACACTTTGATTGATATTAAGAGATCGGTCTCATGTTTTTTGTCACTTATTACTAAAGATTAGGTAATATGACATCGGTTGCTGTTAAATAACCAATCAATGTTTTTTATTCAGTCCTACCAGAGGTTAATCATGACCTGGATGTGTTAATGATAGTGTCTCTGACTGCAGCGCTTGTTGATGTGAGTTCATATGTTTGAGGGAAAAGGTATCCGGTGCTATTGATTTGCAAATACACTAATAAGCAGGAAACTTGAATGAAGATTTGATTGCCGTCCATTGTTTAGATTTCTGTGATCTAGCTGGCCAAGTTTACGGATCAACCTGACTAGTTTTCAACTACTTTGATTGTTCAGTAGTATGTTCGTCACCTTCAACCATGCAATAAAAATAGTCGTCGTATATTGTCTTAAAGTTTTAGATATTTCAGTCAGCACAAATTCATACTAGATTCTGTTTATTGAAACTTATTTTCTACATATATTTTACTAGTTACTGTTCATAACTTTTACTGTGTAGAAATTTTTGCCTGATAAATTTTCATAGAGATATGAAGTATTGAAAAGCTATGCTTTCCTATGCTACTACACTTTACATGTCACTACACATGAAGTGGTTACTTCATTATAACATTATTGTTAATACACATTACCTATGCCTATAGCATTATTCTTGTTCCACTTATTATTTATACGGTGTGTCATAACTCTCATCAGGCAATTTAGTCTAGTCTAGTCCTATGCCCATCGTGCCATTCATTTAGAAAATCACTTGATGCATATCGTAAAAATGAATTAGTCTAAAATATACACTGAATAGAAAATTCAGACAAATAAAAATTTTAACAAGACACTTTTAACTAATGAGCTAACAAGAGCAGGATATCCTGGTTAAAAAGTTCACTATTCACTTACTTTTTCCTATATATTCTACTTTACATCTTTTTCCTTCAAAGTTTTTATCTGAGTAGGTGACTATACCACTTCGTATATGCATATGTATACACTTAAGCTTTACCTATCGTGTCAATAGGTTTCAGACCTAGTCGTGGGTGTATTGACCAGGTACTAGGACACATGCATACTTACCAGCACCTGACACAAGCTGTATTTCTTTACCAGAGAGTGGCATTCAACTCCGTCGGTTGAGAGGTCTTCCACTAGAAGGTGTAGCGGGTGAGTACATCATTCTATATGAAGCCTCTGCATTCGAACATTCATGGCCGTGTTGGAGCTCACGATGAGATATCAGAAGCGTTGTCCGGTGTCCGTCAAGGGTGTCCACTGACTTCATTCTTATTTAATTTTACTGTAGACATACTGTTGGTGGTCTTCTTCCCTTCATCTGACTACACCTGGATAAACCTTGTTACTGAAGACTCATTAATAGATCTGGAGAACGCAGATGCTGTAGTATTCTTATGTGATGTTGACAAGATGCTGTGCAATCCAGACGCAAACTGAGAATATTTAGAATGTGTCTCGTTTGTCACCATCTAAATGAAAAATGGTGTTTCCAGACTGGTTTGCGTTGACATTGTATCTGACAGTCGGGGGGTATATTTATTAAGAACTCCGACTACTTCACTTACTTGAGAAGTGAGATCATCCTGATTGGATCAGAGATCGACGCAATCTCTGCATGCACACGAAAGGCTCGCTTGGATTTCCCTATTAAAGGTAAAGGACATAAGAAGGCTTCAGGGTGTTCGACCACCGTTCCTTTGGTAGCGTAGGTCGTGTGTTGTAATGCCACCACGTCAGTTAGGAACACATCAGGAGTAAAGTTTTAAATAGAAAAGGTAAGAGTCGGTTGATTGGATTTTAGATCATCACCGACTCAGATGGCTGAACCGTACATTGCGCATGCCTAGTCACAATATACCCCATGATACAATTTTAGATGAAGTAGGTTTTTCCTGGTATACATTTAGAGGTGGTCAGCCTATGAAAATTGTCTGTCGGTTTGAGTTGTTCAGAGAAATGAAGACATCTTGACGACTAAAATCATTGGTCGAAGACTACGTCTTATGACTGGGAAATGATAGCATTGGTGCAGGTATTTTCGTCCTTATATCTCATTTTAATTGTATGTGCATTCTGCATTGATAAGCTGATATGATGAGTAGTAATATGAACAGTTATACAGTAATTCCTAGATCCTATGTTGCTGGTTGACTGACTACTGTGTCAACGTGTAAACTGCACATGTAATGTGTAGTATAGAGGTGTTGAGGAGAGAGAGTACTCTTTGCCAGTTGATAAGTGTAAACTCTATTTACATTTTTATTTGGTAGTCGTACAATTTACTTCTTTCATAAAACTGGTTCAATTGGTTATCCATGCATAATGAGTAACATATTCGAATCCGTCTCTATGCCTAATAGTTGGTGAAAGCAGATAATGCTTCTCCCATCTTTCGATCACATTGCGATGTACATAACGTAAATACAAGTTTATAGATAGCTAATTCAGTGGTAGCTAACTGTCAAATCCAGAGCACAATTTTCTGTCTGTCAGGGAATCGTTACCTACATCACAGTAAGTTGTTTATGTGTGACCTAACAGTTTCCATACCCGTCTCTTCTTCAACAGATTGTTCCCAATTCAATGATTTTCTATCTACTGTTAGATGATGGTCCTCCATGAGTGGCCTTATGCTTAATTCTTCAAAATGTCAGACTATAAACTTTAGTTCCAGACGTGAACATAACCTATGTAAGGTGCCTAGTTCTCATGATTCCTGTTCTATTGATAGTTGTGCACTAGAAAATGTTACAAGTATGATTTATCTCGGTGTGTTATTGTTCGAACCTTTCCTGGTCCTCCCATACACCTTACTCATTTCCGAAAGAATTTTCCGCCTAACTTTGTGTATTAAGAAGCTGAGAATATCTGGTATAACTCAATCTCTTCTCTTATATCTTATAAACTCATGGATCTTACCTGTTTTCCTCTATTGTCCCCCTTTATTTTTCTGCGGTTTGCTGAGAAAAGACTGTGCTATATTGTGTAGAACTTTGCAGATTATCAGCAGAACTAGTTAGTGGTGTACCTCTGAACCTTCTAGTTCAAAAAGTTGTGGATAAGCATATTAACTCATGTAAATATCTGGTAGGAGTTATTTCTTAGATGACTAGCATCCTCTTCACTGAAAGAATTTAACGTGTCAGTCATCTAGAAAGACAAGGAGCAAGTGCATAAGACTTTATGCATATACTACAAAATATAAAAACTCTACGTTATCGTATTTAGCTGGTCTGCTGTATGATGAAGAAAAGATTAGAAATGAACTAACTGACTAATCAACTTATGTTTTTGAAAACAAACTGATTTATGAGTACACAGCATGTTACTTTTTACGTATTATGAGTCTAATTGCTAATGTGATTGTCCACTTAAATTGAATGCACATTTTCAAGAAAGTTGTAGATGGAGTGAATACTCTTATCTTTTTTTATGATATAATTTGTACTCATTCCATTTTGATGTGTATACATGTATACTGTCTCTGTTCAATTGATGCTATATAACATGCTGAAAATTCTGTTGAGTATTCCTGATGAAATAGCTTTCAGAATGAAGCGATTATTATTATTATTTGGTTGGTTGCAGCTAACAGAGGAATCCAGTACGCGGGTTTCGTCCTATTTTAGGACTCGTCAGCTGGGTGTCTTTGCATCCCAGTGAGTATTGTCCCCCCCCCCTGAGACTCGAACCCCGTACCCATCATTTCAAACTCCAAGGTGTAGGAGCCTATATGCCAATAGAGGTCGAGCAATTCGATCCAATAAAATAACAGAGAATTACAAGCATATCAATAAACAGTATTATTATTGCTACTATTATTATCTAAACAGCCTAATGAGAAGACGAAGATTATCTGAAACATGTCGTGATGTATTAGCGCTATACATTTCGAACAATCTGATCACACATGGACTTGTCGAACTATTATGCGAAAATTTACAAAAAGGGTCAATGAAGTTAATAGGAAACAGTAATAGGAAGGGAGAGAAAAAAAACCTAACTCTTGTTATGAAAATTAAAATCACTACTACCAAGGTAGGTTCAACGTGAGTACAAATTACTTTTGTACATACATAAATGGGGTTTGAATTTACGGATGGCAAGAGCTTCAATAAATTTAAGTACTTGGCTCTGACCACTGTGTTTATCAATTTACATGTATGTGTGGACACATATATAGGGAGGAGTAATCGTGATATGCAGTTAGGGAAGGTTGAACATGTTCTTAAGTGGCTACAAAAACAAATGACCTCAACAGATCCGTTAAGTGCAGGTGACAAACATCCATCTTAGTCTATCGCTAAACATTTACTAGGAACTAACTATAGGATAGACATGAAAACATCCTTTAAAGTTCTATATAGAAGTGTCAGAGCCAAGTACTTAAATTTATTGAAGCTCTTGCCATCCATAAATTCAAACCCCATTTATGTATGTACAAAAGTAATTTGTACTCACGTTGAACCTACCTTGGTAGTAGTGATTTTAATTTTCATAACAAGAGTTAGGTTTTTTTTCTCTCCCTTCCTATTACTATGTTTCCTATTAACTTCATTGACCCTTTTTGTAAATTTTCGCATAAATAGTTCGACAAGTCCATGTGTGATCAGATTGTTCGAAATGTATAGCGCTAATACATCACGACATGTTTCAGATAATCTTCGTCTTCTCATCATGCTGTTTAAATCTATCAAAGGGACCAGTTGCTTTAAACTATTATTATTATTATTATTATTGTAACTGAATAAATCACACTACTCATCATAGGCAATATCCATGTATGCCTACAAGGAACTCATTTATTCTGACCGGAGGTTGAATAGGTGTCTTACTTGTCATAAATATATATCTGAGAGTTTTTGAAGTGTCATACTTGGTTGTGTGTGTGCTGATATTTTACTTCATTTATATTATTCATTTCCTTTTAGAATTTTATTATGATTCCGTCACCTCTTGATTTGACAACCTATTAAGTGTGTTTGTTTCATTTCGTAACTGATGTTTCACTACATAAGCATTTCGACGCTATATTTATTGATTTTTCACACATCTCTTTTATGCAAGGGGATTCTCTTCTTCTGGATAAACAGCATTAAAAGTATCAGTTGAAGTCTACCACAGGTTCTGTGGTTTGTTGTTGTTGAATTGTTTTATTTGAGAGTTCAGTTACTGATGCAGGTATCATCGGATGAATGATATCGTGAATGAAATGGAAGATGAAGAAGGGAAGAAAAGTCGGTCAAAGGAGGTAGAAGTAGAAAATAGTAACAGAGGGGAAGGAAGAATGAAACGATGATATTAAGTGTAGCCATTAAGATGCACTGCGCTACTGACATTGGCTCTGAACCATGTGATCACATGGAGCCTCCAGCTACTGGTTCCTCTTGCCCCACGGACCCCAATCGGCTAGTTTGCATCGCTCTGTATGGCTCAAACCAACAATCAGTGACTTCATGCATTGGTGACATGTTTTATTCTGGCCGGTCCAAGCCTTTTTCCACCCTCAACCTACTTCGGCAACATTGTGTGACGAAACAGATGGTGACTAGGCATACGTAACACATATCCCAACCTTCTCAGTCGATGAAGGCTCACAACCGAATCAACTGACTTACCTATCCTTCCTAAAACTCTACACCTGACTTCTACGTTACTCACATGGTGACATCACGGAATACAGCCTATACTAAGAAGGCATCGGTGGTCAAACACCTGAAGCTTTCTCATGTCTCCCATCTTCAATGGCCATGTTTTACAGCCATACAGTAGAACAGACCTCACTGCAGCACAGTACAGTACACATGACCCTTAATAGTCAAACGGATATCGTGGCCACGCCACAGATCGTGTAAGTTGGCAGAAGCCTTTTGTATTCGTGCAGAGATTTCACCGCTCACTAACCAATGCACCAGAGATGATCCGACTTCCCGAGTAAGTGAGGTATTCAACTCACTCAACCACTTCACTCCCTACTGTTAGTCAAGGCATCGTTGAAGGTCAGTCCTGGAGTGACAAACTGCATTTAGTTGGCGAGAAACGCATCCCAAACATTCTCAAATTGTCACTCAAAGTGTTCAGAAGACTCTCCATCTTGTCAGCGTTTTCACCTAATAGGACAGTGTCATCTGCATATTCTAGGTCCAAAGAAAAATCTCCTGCGATTAGATCAATCTCTGTGTAATCAGGTGACGAGAGGGAGACCTCCGTAAGAAGGTCTATTATAAAATTGAATTAGAATGGAGATAGTGGGTACTCTTGATGGACATCGCTTGACGAGTATAGCTTCTTGGACATCTCACTATAGGCTGTAACACGTCCACAAGTGTCCGAGTAGAGAACCTTCAACAAGGTGATGTACTTACTTGGTGCGCCTTTCAGTGAGAGACATTACCATAAGACTTCCCGACCAACAGAGTCAAATGCCGCCCTCAGGTTGGGAAATACAGCTATTGTTGGGTGTCGGTAAGTCTGCCTGTTTTCTAGAACCTGGCGTATTGTGAATATTTGGTCGATACACCCACGGTCATGTCTAAATCCTGCCTGGTTCTCTCGGACTTACTGTTCCCGAGCTCCAATCAGGCGTCGAAGAATTATGGGACCTAGAATCTTGGTTAATATGTTCGTCAGGAGAGGACTTTTCGCCTTTCTTTGAAGACTAGATAATCAGTGATTGAGACCAGTCAGAAAATGTTAGTAGTATTTCTTTTAAGCTGTTAGATTCAGAGATTGCGTAGAGCAAAGAAGATGAATTTCACTCCAATGAAGACGGCTTACCTCAACGGGATATATTATCTGGAACAGGGGCTTCAGAATAGACACATCAAGACAACACGAACCTATCAAGCTTTAGACTGTTGCCGTGCATTAGAGTCTAGGTATTGGCTGTAGTCGGCAAAGTGGTTTTAATTTGTAACCATACACTTTATGTGATTTGACTTGAAATCTGCCACAATAGGGGAAGGTTCACTTGCATCTTCATCTTAATCGTGAATATCTTATTGTTTAATTTCGTTAGATCAATGGCTTTAAATTGCTTGCTTCCGTTTTCATTACCACTATTGAGATCAGTATTTTCATTTGTTTTGTTTTCCGTGTCTGTGAACTGCAGCAACTTGAACTTCACGTTTTGTCTGTTGCTGGACTGTTTTCATCAAAAATTCTTGATGAACAACCATTTGAAGATCAATCATAGGACAAAGAACTTGCATCTCTCCATTGCTTTGAATTATCCAACATTTTGAAATCTTGAATTGAAACCAGCATCTATCAACATTTCTGTGAATATATCAACCTTGAATACAAATACCAATCAGCAGTCTCGCGGAAGACGTTTTTCACAACGAAAATATCCCATGTTGTTTGGTATTTGTCATCTGCCGTTGCTATACTAGGTAGAACTGCTCAACCTTTTTAAGCAGATGGGCTGCTATGCGGATGCCTCCATGCTGCTTGGTTATGTTGCAGTCTACTTGCTGGCTGGCAGTGGAATCCAGGATGCGAGTCTCGTTTTATTTGGGACTCATCAGCTAGATGTATCTGGATCCCGTTGCAAAGGAAGTAGCTATCGTGACTTAGTGGCCTAGTTGATAACACTTTGGCGTTTGAAGCGATGGGGACTGAGTTCGAGTTTAAGTGAGAAGAACATAACTCACTCGGTTGATTGTACAGTTAAGCTGATGAGTCCCAAGTGAGACAAATCACACGTCTTAGGTCCCACTGCTAGCCACCAAGCAGACCGAAACACACCCCATTTTCTGATATCTTTCACTTCTTTGTGGCCGTTTACACATAGAAGACGGAGAAGTTTCCTTACCAAAGACGATTTCGGTTAAAAACTTTGTGCATATTTTCGTTTCACACTCCCGCTTTTTTCTTATTATTATTTACCTAAATGATTAAGTCACTTCTTTTATTGATGCTTTTCACAATTAAAAACGAAGATTTTATCATTTCTATTTTGTTGAAAGGTTATCAAATTTGTCGATTTAGATCATGCTGAAGAATTGAAAAATCGTCAATCACAAGCAATGCTTAGAATGAATGCAGCTATTAGAGCAGCTGAACGTTTATTAACATCTGATTTTGTTCTCCCTGAGACAACTGATTTAGATCAAGCTCATGAAGCTACAGCAGATTATCGTAAACAACTAGAAGAGGCACGTAATCAACTACTCGAAAAAGCTAGAACTGATTATATGGTAAGTATAAATTCATTATTAAATAGTATTCAGATATATCAAATAGGATGGTAAACAGGGTGGATAAAATTACACATATACTCAACATTGTATTCTTTCAATTTTCACTAGCCTACAATGAAGATTAGTGTGATGTTAATTGTTCTTTCAACTTCGTTATTACCTTGGAGATGTTTCATTATCAAGCTGTTTAGTTTTGTCAGCATCAGCATAGCATGAGGAGATTATTGAATAACATTAAACTCTCCCTACACCAATCATTCAGTCACCCCTGATGCTGGTATAAAACACATTCTTAACTTAAACACCCATATGATCCGGCCATTTGTTTTAATATTGTCAATATGGTGTTCATTATGGACTGATATCCGTTAGAGAATCATTGAAAACCTGGAGGCATTGGACATCTGCTTCGTCCTGGAGTGGGACTCCAAAGCAGTGCACATTCAAGTATGGTGTATGCTTTGCACTACTGAAGTGCAAAGTACTCTTGCAAGATTGGTAGGAGCCTGTGCATGCGCTCACGCTTGGTGGTGAGCCACTGGAAGTAGCCGCAAAGTTCGTGTTTCGGGGTAGTTGTGTGAGTTCTGGTGGAGGTGTGACTGACGAGATTTCTAACCGCATATCGTAAACCAGAGTGGCATATATCTATTTAGGCCACCTTTGGCGCCGTCACAACGTTAGTCTGACCGTAAAAGGGTTGGGCTTACAACGCTTCGGTGTGACCAGTTCTGCTCTTACACCTTTGAAAACTGACTTCTCTAAGCTGAGGATGTACGATGACTCTTTGTGTTCAGTGATCGTTGTCTCTGTAGGATTGCTCGTATCCGGTGGCAATACCATGTAAGTAATCCTAGGGTACGATAACCTGTCTTTGGGCATGATGGATATCGTCACTCTATAAGTGAAGTCATCTGGAAACACTGGCTTCCATGGCTTGCACATGTGTTACGCATGTCGTCCCAACGGCTTCCACACCGTTCATAGTTTACGAACCCTGGAACTGAATGGAGGGAGGCATCGTCAGTGTATGACATGGGACGATGGGATGAAGAATAGTTGTATCGTGTTGACATCTGTTGGTTCATGACAACTCTTTGGGTAGGGTCCCAGAGATCATGCAACTCGGTGGCTTCAGACGTCATCAGATATGGCTGGGAATCGAAACCAGTGGTAGTCATGCTGTAGCTTCCTTCTATTTTCTGCTGCGGAAAAGTAATGAATGTTTCGTTTCGAATGTACCTTACTGGACTGTACTTCTAATCATTCTATTCTTACTGTGTTTTATTTTTATCCATTCCCCTTTGCTTTACGTCTTCATAGTGTTATGTTATTTTGTGTGACATTTTTTTAGTGCCCTTGCTTTACTGCGTTTGCGTTCTAACAAATAAATAAATACATTCAAGACCCTACCAGGGATCAAATCCAAGACTATCAGATCTTGCGACGATCACGATAGCCACTGAGTCGGTGGGTCGCATCCTTCGACTTCTGACGATTCGCGATATGGGTCAACTATCATCCAGTGCTACCGGCGAGTATTTGTCCTCATAATCGACTTAGCTGACCCCATAGATCATGGTTTCTCATTAGAAATTTCGGAAATTTCATCTCGAGGAATGTCACTAATATCACTCGCTCTGGTTGACACACTGAAGATACGGTATGCGTAAGATACGTAGACATTGTGTCTCACTGCCAGACCTGAACGTCTTAGGTTTGATTCCCGGTGGGGTTGAGAGTGCTGAAAAGTTTCATACTAGGACGAAACAGCTGTCCAGTGACCCCAGATTTTCAATGGTTCTCCAACTGGTGTCATTCCATGATGAAATACTACCTTGAAATCAATCAACTCCCCACAAACCTCCAAATCTGGGCAAAAACAGGATATTTTTGAAGTCAAGATGAAAATAATAGTAGTACATAGACCTTCGTTCTAAAACCAAGTCCACTCAAGGAGGTTTGATTTGATGACAAATTATTTTTGAACGCAGAAAATTGACTTAAACTCCTTGGTGTATAACGTCTTGACAAATTGAAGACACCTTCCCTACACCCGACTGAAAACTGCTATCTTGACGTGGTAGTGATCGGGCTTGTATATCACAATGATCCAACAAGCTACACTGACTTGAACGCTTGTTCCCTAGAGGTCGTACCATGCCAGAAAGGTCTGTCGGATAGTTGTAAGAGGAATAGTAGTTATTGTTGTGGTATAAATTACCACACTGTGATGAGCATCTGAGGCCTGCTAGCTGAATGGGGTGTGGCAGCAGTAAGGTGTTTCTCTTGGATGACCAGCAGTGTCATGGCGTCGGCAAAAGGGTAGGGGTTTTAAAAAAATAAGGTCGGTTTTAAAAATAGCGCACCCCCCTGCCTCATGGTCTTCTGGTGTTAGAACAACCAAATCTCATACTAACAATCCTGAAAAGGCTGTATGTGACAGGCCTCAAGCAGATGTCCCATGGGCATAGGCTCTGTGGCCACACATCTTTTTCTCTTTCAGGTACCGTAAGAAGAAATAGCCTTTCAAGGTGTATGCAACCGGGAAGTGTCAACTACCCTTACGCTTTCAGTAGTACTCAAAACACAATCAAACAACTATCCCCCCCAACTCTGTCTCCTCTTTTGCCTGCACCTCCTAACACTAATATTAAGCCTCTTTTACCTTCCTCAATCTCTCACTGTACGACCTTTCCAACACGTCTTCCAAATAGATCTAAAAGATTTGAAACATTAGTTCTGTGACCTATCTCATCCTTATGTTTCGCAATCGAGCAGCTTAAATGTTTTACTACCAGCGTCTATGGGTTCAGGTGATTTGGTTTGTTTTTGAAGCCACTTTCGAATACTCTCTGAGGCTCTTACTGACACGAATCAATGAGTCTTTCTTATATAGGTGTAACCTCATCTAGATCTAAATTGGTTAATACATTAGGATGTGACTTTATCGAATACTAGGATATGAGGTGCAGAGAGAAGTTGATCATGGAATCTACGTTTTTCATGCAATAGGAATGTTTCAACGGGTATATAAAGGATTTTACTACTGGTCAAATCAAAGGATGAAAGGTAATAGAACTATTTAAACTTGCACAAAAGTTATGTGATTACTTGAATATGATTATGAAACGTCATCCAGTAGATGACGATACATCAAATTGACTTATCTAAAGCCATGGTTATACTGATTCAATTCAATTTACATTTTGTATTTAGGAAGCCTTAAAAGCCGCTGAAGAATTAATGGAAGCTGCGAAAGCTGGCCAAGCTGATATGGCTCAGGCTGAAGCAATGATGGCTGCTGTTCAGGCTATGGGTAAACGTTTAAACAAATTAGCTTATGAAGATGTTCAATCACGATTGGATGAAGTGGAGGCAGCTACAAAAAAAGCTGTTGACTTAGCGCTTCAGTTAGCTCCAATTAATGATTGGGTACAAGATAGTGAAGTTCCAGAAGATATACTAAATTGTGGATTAATTGAAAATAACCTAGATCTCAGCAACTTGACCACAGATGAAGCTATGTCCAGGTTGAAGGTGAGTGTTGTAAAATTGTTCTAGTTGTATAATTTGTCTTGATCATTTCAACTTTGTTAGATGTTGCATGAAAATGCTGTTTGACATTGTTTTTTTTTTACTTCAAGAAAGGTTTTCTTCATGATACGTTGGTTGATCACTGGAGGGTAACCAACTTCATGTTGTCTAGTTCAACGTACTGACCGAATTCCATAGATTATTTTTGCACTATCGTCACCAGACTAGGTAGCTCTGCATCGCGATGAACTTTGATAGATATTAATTGAATGGAGGCACTCGGCAGGAAGCCCTGGACCCGGGTTTCGTGCTTGTTAGCACTCGTCAGCAAAGCGTATCTGCAACCTCAATGAGACCGATATCCTGCCTGAGATTCGAATCCGCGTCACCCAGTTTTGTAGTCAGCGACGTTACCGCAGCTATTTGAACTGCGATTGACCCCCTATAGGACTGGATTAGATACACTGAATGGTCACCGGAAGGTAACCAACTTCATGTTGTCTAGTCCTCAGTGCTAATCGAATTCTATCGATCTTCATGAACTAATGGACACTAGAGAATTAATGGAAACTAGGCAACATTGAAAGTCATCTGTTCCACTACTGTCTGAAGCTTCTCAACAGTTCACAACCATCGACCTCAAGCTTTTGTAGCGAGCACGCCTGACTGATATTTTCCAGCGTTAGTCAATGGTTCCTCAGTTGATAACAGTCATTAATGACAATTATGCTTAAGTTGTTATAATTATCTCAGAATACAAAGTTCAAGTCAGGATGAAACGTACATCTTGAATTCTGCTAACAGTCGTCAATTTGTACCATCGAAGTGAGATTAACTGTAGATTATATCGATGCGTCTAAATAAGGAATTCATATGTTAAGAGTAGTTTGATCGATTCAGTTTATTAGACTAACTTCAAGAGGGTCAATAAGCCACTATACATTAAAATTTTGTTCTTAAGTTAAATACAGATATTTGGTAAATTTGAAAAATGGTCCTTTGAAAGATTAAATTACTAATAAGTTGTACAGTCGATATACATGGATGATACTTTCTTAGTCTTTGATAGATGTCTATGTTTTAATTCTATTCTGAACCATTTCAAACAGTGCTCATCCATCAATTCATTTTCCAGAAAAAAGTGAAGCCAATGATTTGATACATTTTCTCGATGTGCTAATGAGAAGAAAAGAAAATGACTCTATACTGAGGAGAAGTATATATATCGAAAACTAATGTCTAAGGCATATTATACGCACTTTCTCAGCTTCGTACTGCTGAAGTACAAACATAATATCATCAGGTGTCTGGCTTTTAGAGTAAGATCAATTTGTTCTAAGGAGTGTATGGAAAAAGAACTACTGTGTATCCGTGATATTCTAAGTGAAAACGGATATCCAGACAAGTTCATCAAAACATACATCAACTACATTGGTCCTAAACGAGAACTGATGGCAGTGAGGAAGAAGCCTTTGTTTCTGCGTTTACAATTCAAGGGAGATGTTGCAAATGACATTCTATCACAACGCCTAGGTAGGACAGTAAATAGGACGTTTTATGCAGGTAGGCTTTGTATATCCCTCAGTAGTCGGCCAATGTTCAATCCGAGACTAAAGGAAAGCCTACCTAATCTTAGCTCTTTATCTTGCATATATCAGTTTAACTGCTTCTGTGGAACTGGTTACATAGAGCGTACGATAAAGCAGGTGCGTCTCCGGATACGAAAGCATTTAGTAGCTTGGTTTGGAAAGGGAGAAGTGAAAGTGGTGAAAAGCTGAGTCCTAACGCATCTAGTCGACATAGAACATCATGTAGATGCTAATAAAACTTACAATATCGATCATCAAGTTCCAAAAACGACACCACATGTACCTCACCAACGACTGCTCAACACACCTGAGTCTGTCACGATAATATTGATAAAGCTTGAACTCTACACTGGGAAAGAACATGTCCAAGTGTCACTTCTCTCTTGGCCTTCAGCTTTTTAAGTACATAGCGTGTTGATCAAGGGAAATCATAAAGTCAACATAATTTATTATTCATTTTAATTATGGGTGTGATTGTGCACCTCCTATATGACTCAGTAACGATAGCAATAACAACCACATGCGCTTTCATACACTAGGCAATGAACCACACCTATTATATGAAGGTTAAATGATATTACCTGGCTGCTTAAACCTCAACAGTTGAATCAGAGTTTGAACCTTATTACCTGCTGATTGAAAATCATCTGTTTAAATCAATGATCCACACCTCCACACCCTATGGCTAAATAGTGTTTGTTTATTTTATATATTCTCCACTTTTTTTTCAACTTCATATTTTCCTTCCTTAGTGAATTATAGTTCTATTGTTTTGTATACGCCTTTTATAAGAATAAAATCTAAGTTGAACTCTTTTTAACCTTAAGATAATTATTATACATAAAGTAGTAACCGTTGTTAACATAAACGTTATAGCCTTTTTATGGATGCGGTATTATACCTACTGATGTCTAATTGTCTTTCGTAGGCATCATGCCTGACAGTTTATGACCGTAGGGAAATCCTTGTCACCTTTGATTCTGTCTACCCAAAGGTTGAGGTTATCGTTATAATTATTGAAATGTAACATGGTCGTGGACTACATGATCCTGTTAATTACTGTTTACAAACTTCAGTGACTTATCTGATGACTTGACTGGTGTTGGTATTGATTTTATACAGGTGACAGTAACCTTTATTAGCCGTTCATTCCTTTTATTTCCATTGGATATTTATCTTTTTTTTTTTAGTTGAAATTATTAGTGACAAATATTTTGATGTTATGGTAGTTATCACTTTGATTATCTGGGATATAGACGGGAGTGAAGTCATTGAATATGTCAACCACTTCACTTAGTTGGGGAGTTGCATCGCCTCGAACAAGATGGTTGTTGACAAAAACTCAATTCGGATAAAGTGTTATGATGCGAAGTTGTGAGAACAAACGGAAATACTTAACGATTGATAGTTGAAGGTTGAGACGATTCAACCCGAGTGATTTGCAAAGAGAGATCAAAAGACTGGAAATCAGATGAGTTTATAGTAACTCGAACTGAAAACGTTTATGGGTGAAATCGGACTCTGTTTATAGAGTTTACAGTAGCCTTGAAAGACAGGGGATAATGGGTACATTTAAAGAGGCAGGAGCCAATCAGAACAATAGCGGGGTCATACGAAACATGACCCATGCGCGGGAAAAGAGCGCGAAGTAAAAACGGTTCAAATATACCCAGACTATGAGTATAGAATAAAAGGTATGTAGAGATTCCTAACATAAAGAAGGTCCATTTTGAATTTGACAACTTGGGTCATCCATGGCGCCGACTTTCGAGATATCTCACTACCTTTCAAAGGACGAGCATACTATGATGTAATTTGTTCTGTCCTGTTATACGGCTATGAGACATGGTCGTTAAAAAAGTCGGAGACATGAAGGGATCACAGGGTTTTGATCTTAGATGTCTTCGTCGCGTCGCTCGCGTTTGGTGGAATCATCGTGTGAGGTCAGGTGAAGTGTATTAGGCAAGACAGACAATTCGACTGAAGAGGTTGTAAACCTTAGTCTACTGAGATGGCTTCAACATGTATTGCACATGCCGAGCCGCCACCTACCTCGACGTGCCATGCTAGGGGAAGCTGGATTAGGTTGGGAGGAGGTTCATTGTGGCCAGACTGAGACATGGCATCAGTCAATCAAGTCTCCTACTGTTGGTCTGGACTGTGCTCGGAGACTACTTGGCTTGGGTCCCCGAGACGATAGGAATCAGTGGTTGAAGATTCTTGGTGACATCGCTGAAAATAGGTCACAATGGTACAGACCTTTTCACTCCTTGACGTCCTCTACTTCTTCTTTCACACCACTTTATCTTCTTTGGTATTACTCTTGTTCCATCCACTTGTTCTTTGACTACTACGTGAAGTGTAACAAATTGTGTGAGGTTTTTGTATATGTATCTTTTGTTCCTGTGATTTTTAAGGAAATTATATCAATGAAACAGACATTTAAGTATATAGCCAAAATAAAGTGATTATGATCTGACCTCCAGTTGGTCAATACTTAGCCAGAAGTTATATGAAAGTTGGGAATTAGTCATTTAGTTTCATTCAATAAATGCAAGACTGCAGTTTTATTCACTCTAGCAACCAGTAGTGAAGTAGTCTTTGGTGTTTGAAGCGATGGGTACGAGGTTCGAGTCCCAGTGGGAACGACATCACTGGGGTGCAGGTACATCCAGCTGACGAGTCCCAAATAGGACGAAACGCGCGTCCTGGATTCTTCTGCTAGCCACAACCAACCAATTTATCATAATTAACATTCAGGCAATATCGAGGTATCTGCATAGGAGCTCATATACCAATAGAGGTCGAACAACTAGATCCAACAAAACAACGGAGAATAACAAGTATGTAAATAAATAGTCCACTATTGTTTGCTTAAAATTCAATTTTCTGTTTCAACCTCAATCTTTTTCATCTAGAGTCATTTTACAGCTCTTGGGGAACATGAAAAAGCTCTGATCGAAGCTGAGAAACGACTGCATGACTTGAAGGAATGCGGTTTAAAGCATATTGACATTAGTCAGTTAGAATTGGCTACAGCTGAAGCTCGTCGTAAAGTTGAGGTGAGTTGTTTTGTTGCAATAGAAATCTCGCTACAATTTTCGTTTGTTTAATATTTTGGGCATTATCAGGTTATGGAACAGAAAGTATAGTACTTCAGAGGGTCGAATTTCCAAATCCCACAAAAACGATGAATTCCTCTGGAATCTTACGAGTTGTTTTAGTGGTTTTATTATTAGGCGTTTGTCCTCACTTGGATTCTGTTTCGTTACATTGGTAAGGACGCCTTTTACCAGAATATCCATATCACAAGATAAGTGACCACTTCACTCTTGACTGCAGAAAACACGGAACTGCTAGAATATTTGATGATTTACTGCTACTCATCCATCACAGACTCCTTTCGTCGATTTATTTCCTCTTAAAACTCTGAAAAAGCTGTTATCTATGACGTCATCACTATCTTGTGCAACTAAGATGAGTTACAGTTGAATTGGGGTTTTTTGTAGGTAGGTGCAAAGAGATGACAGGAACCTTACATGCATAATCAATTACTACACCTACTGAATTTAATATTATGTATCATTATTGTATTGAGCGTAAATGCGGACTGTTCGATAAAACGAATAAGATTGGTTCTAATCTGGAAGGTTATTCTAATTTATTGATGTGCTTGTAATTCTCCGTTGTTTTACTAGATCGAATTGTTCAACCTCTGTTGACATATGGGATCCTATGCGAGTGCCCTCGATATTGCCTTAATACGAATTATGGTGATATGCCTGGTTATGGCTAGTAGGAGGATCCAGGACGCGCGTTTCGTCCTGTTTGGGACTCGTCAGCTGGACGTATCTGCACTCCCGCGTGGAGTGATGTTGATCCCACTGAGACTCGAACTTCGTACCCATCGCTTCAAACGCCAGAGTGTTATCCACTAGGCCATAAAAGTATGGTAGCCACTCTTGGATTCCTGGATTTCTCTGCTATCCACAATTAAACACATTACCATAATTCATATACAGACAATATCGAGGCATCCACGTAGGGGCCCATATACCAATAAAGATAGAACAATTCGATTCAGTAAAACGACGGAGAATTACAAGCATATTAATAAATTACAATAACCAATATCCGTTCTGCAAGACGCAGCTATCGTTCCTCTGTGGCGTAGTGGATGACGCTGTGGCGTTTGGAGCTATTGGTACGAGGTGCGAATCTCAGTGGGAACAACACTCTGCGCTGGAGTGAACGTTATTGTAATTGTTTATCTCCTTTCGGACATGAAATAGAACATCCTAGCCTAAATGTGTATCCATCATACCTCATATCACAGTATAGAGGTGAAATTATATGGAAGGTTGAAATGATTGTACCAACACATCGAAAAAAGCTTTAAGGCTTAACGAAAATACGATGAAGTAAGAAAGTATGGATAATAAAGTTTCACAAAATGAGGATGGTTGGTAGGCAATGGATCACCCTACACCACTACAACTGACTCTGAAGTCTACAACTATTACCTTCTGTTGTCACACGGAGCCGATCCACAGAGTGCTTACGTTTTATTAATTCGCTCTAATCAACTGATAGCTTCTTCATAGATTGCTGTTATGTCTTAGTTTGGTCATCCTTCAATCTCTGTCAGCTTGATCGTACTCTGGCTGTGAAGTGTGATTGAGTGTGCAAAAGGCATATCTCAGTCACTTCATTCAATAAGCAATCATAATATCATCATCATCCTTCATTGTTGTTATTGTTGTTTTTGGGGTGGATGAAAAACGCGTCCCAAATACACCTAATGTTCAGGAGACTATAATCTGACATGAATATGGACAATAAATGATATCCGAAACGTTATCCAGTAAATAATACTGTTTCACTTATGATACATCTAATAAACAGACTAAAATGGAATTAAAATCTACCACAGTGCCCAGGTTTTATTAGCTTTACAAGTATCTTCTTTAAATATTCCCCCAACTATTTCAACTAATAATCTGAACTGTCAGTTAAATGGCCATAAACTATGCCTTTCTTTTCGTCTATCTGTTCTAGACTCCACAGGAAATATAGACGCCAATATTTTTAAGGTGTACATGTGTATATGTGTAACAATGTCATCAATGCAAGAGTAACCTGCCTGTTACCTCATATCTTTATCAATTATTGATTTTAAGTATAATGGATAATTTGTTAAAAATTTTACTGGACAAAGCTTTCATCTATTAACTAGTGATCATTTCGTATGGAACGTTAGTTGCAGACTGATTAAATCAATGGTAGCATGTTTAACCATGACCTTGAGCTACTTTTGGGATCCAGTTAGTCGTTAAGATCGTATAAGTCTTCTTGTGATAGCAGATACTGCTATGGTGAGGGTGACTAATATGCATGAAAGATGAATGGAGATTCTGCTCTTTGATTGACTGTGTCTTACTTTATATATTGAAAAGAAACTGTACCAAGTGACTGAAAATCGTGGTGTCCAATTTTCTGTATCACTAAGCTATTCATATTATGACTGATTCTTTGTAGGAATGAGTTTTTTTTACATCAATTGGTTAGCAGAGAGTAATCGATTTAGCCGTCTAGTCCATTGAACTCAGCTCTGACCGTAGTTTGTCAATCGAGTTTGCAATGAGGTAGGTCACTAAGCCAGGTGAAGTGCTACCACAGAGCACTTTACTTTTGTTTTACATGTTAGAGGTCAGTTAACAGAGAATTCTGCTCGATCTGACTTTCTTAGTTATTCACACTCATCAGAAAAGCGTATCTGAAACTACGAGGAAAGTGTAAGTTGTGTGGAGAACTAGGTATCATTGTCTTATCTGCTTAAAGGTGCAACTAGAACCTAGGGTGTGCATCTATTCTTGTTTCGAAAAACCGACCAGCTAGTTGCATCTGTATTCCAGTTTGTCTGTGTTCCTAATGCAACTTAAATTTAGTAACAAACAACTACTTCAAACACCAGACTATTGACCAGTAAGTAACCTACTGATGTCTACCCCTTACTTTAATGATTGTCAATTCAATTTGGAGGTTTGTGAGGATTTATTTATTTATTTCAGGTTGATATTTGTCGCAGACCATTATCAGTTGGACGGACGTCACTGTATGTCATGAACTGAGAGAAGTAGGAAGTGTGGACTATTGGAAACCAACCCAGTAGTTCAATGGTAACATACGTACTGGCCGTGGGATCTGAAACTTCTGGTGGGGTGGGGTTGGGGGGGCGGGGGGAGATGATTTCACACTGCTGAGAAGTCCTGTACTAGGACGAAACAGCTATCAGGTGCTCCCATGTTTTCAACAGTTCTGCAAGTGATGTTAGTCCTTGGTAAATATCCACTTGAGATTGTCACTTCGTGTTTTGAAGTATTAATCGTTTCTTTTTTTCTGGGATCACTCACACTGATTAGGATACATGAACATTCAGTTGCTGAATCTTGATATTGCTGGCTTATTTTTTAACAGAGACTATTCCATTAATTTACGTAGGATTATTAACGAGAAAGAGACGAGGAAATTAGGACTATATAAAGGATATCTCAAAGTTGTGTAGTTATCTTGCTATGAATGACTATGGACAATAAATTATGTCCGAAACGTAATCCAGTAAACAATACTGTTACACTATATGATAAATCCAATAAATCAATAAAAATGGAAAGATCAGAAAAGTTTCATTTTATTTATTTATTCCCTTGGGTTCCTAGTGGAACATAGGCCAGAGTTCCTTGTTGCTTATTCTAATTATTCTGACCACCTGATCTTCAGTGTCAGTATTGAGTGAGCCTAGGCGGCGGCTGTTGATGAATGTCTGTAGTTTGTTGGAAATGCTTTTCGTGACACGCAAAGTTTCTGAACCATATAGCAGCACTGACTCACTTGACATTGGTGTTAAAAATTCGGATCATGTTCACGCTTTATGCTGAGTGCAGTAGATCTCCACACTGATTATTTTAGATTAATGAAAGCCTGTCTTACTTCTTTAATCCTGGTTTTGACATCCTCGTCTGTGCCATCGCCACCTGTAGTTGAAACGATGCTGCTCTGCGTAGGTAAGTGTAGGTGAAAGAGACTACTTCCTTAACGTATCTCCCGTTCATGGTGATTGGTGTTTGTTGTTCATGCTGTTGTTGGTTGGATATCTTCATCACCTCCATCTTCTCTACATTCAATTGAAGTCCCGTTTTCTCTGCCTCTTTTATCAACTTGTTAGTTTTCAAAAAAGTTTCAATACTTTATGATATTTAATTATTCACTTGATAAACACAAATAACCATTGTAAGAAGCAAGGATCATAAAGACTGTAATAATATTGACCTTATGTATGCTTAAATAATCAAATCGGCAAAGTAGAAGAGGTGTATAGTGAGACCGTGGGAGTATTAAAGAAGGGGATGGGTTGTATATCCTTCTTATGAACGCAGAGTTAGGGATTGACTTAACGCATCATAAGTGTCCCCATAGGGCACGTAGATGGATAATGATTAAACCTTTATTCATAGTTGCGTTTAGATTACACGCTTTCTTCTGTTTGAACTACGATATACGTTTACTGAACAGTTTCTTAATGGATCATAGTCGTTCGAAGTTTTTTTTGCCCTTATCGCGTAGATGAGAAATACTCGTTTTTGACCTTCTCCAAGTCATAGCAGTCCACTTAGTTGTTGCTTTACTTTCCAAGCTAAATATTGAATTTCTGGTTGTTTATATCATAATTCTTGAAATATACTACTACTCATCTACTTATAATAATTCAGTTTGAACTCAAACTACATGACATTACGGATGTGCTGTAGTAGTGGATGGAAGAGGAGTAGTTGTATTGTATGACTCTCATTCATAAAACAACCAAGAATACAGTTCAGTGATTTCAATTCACTTGCAATCTGGTTGCATAGTAGTAGTCTAGTTTTGTTGTCAATCTCTGAGAACAACAGTCAGTCAGCATCAGTATAGGATATAGCATTGTTGCGTAACTGTCCAAGTTTTCACACGTTCCATAAACTGTTCAAGGTACAAAGTAGAAAGATAGAGAACTACCGAGTCATCCAAAGTAGCACAATGTCATAAGAAGAGAAGAAGAGTGAATGGAAGAAATAACAAAATGCAATTAATCATTTTGATCATCTGAGATACCCGCAGTTTTGCAGACTAGTACTTATACTGCGTGATGATTGAAGGTGAAGTGAAAATTTAGACTGTGACCGGATTCGAACCAGTGGCCACCGGGTTTCCGGCTTGATACTTTACCAACTGAACTGCGAAGTTTGACTGCTGACCAGATTTTTATTGGGCTTCAATCATCCAGGGTTTTATCCCACTACCAAGTGAGTTTTTGACGCGTTACTACCGCTTGATCGTGTTAATTGTAGTGAAATGAAAATTTAGTCAGCAGTCAAACCTCGTAGCTCAGTTGGTAGAGCATGGAGCCGGAAACCCGATAGTTGCCGGTACTAATCTGACCGCTGTCCAAATTTTCATTTCATCTTCAATCATTACCCAGTATCAAAATGTAATTTAGCAGTTAAGATGAATTCGAAACAATTAATCCCTTACCCCACTCTATTTTCCTTCCTTCATATAAAATGCCTTGATAAATAAATGTGTGACTAAACTGTTTGAAATGTATTGCGCGAATACACCATATTTCTGAGGTAACCTCCATTTTCTTAATACATTATGCACATTAAGATGGTGTTGTGTGTGGAGATGTATGTGCACCGCTGAGATCAATTCTCAGCCATATTATTCAGAGTATTCAAACACCAATATCGGTTGTCGCACAGATTCAAACTGGGGACTCTACATTTCTGTACATGGCTCAGATCAATGATCAGGATAATTTATAGAGTGATACTACGTTTTATTCTGGTCCACTTAAACGTTTTTCCAACTTCAATGAGTGTTACACGTTGGGGCAATTGATGATCAACCATATGTAAAACATCTCCCAGCCCTTTGAGTTGATGAAGGCTTATGACTTCAGCTTACTCATAAAGCATCGAGTTAACGATCCTTTTAACCTCAGCATCCTTGAATATCAGAGTCTGCTTACTATCAACATATTTTAAGTAGTAGGAGTATCGGTCTCTTGCATATTAATCAATTACAAACAATACTGTAAGATACATATGCATATTTACTAAATATTCATAGTGTTTTAACGTATTTAACTTGATCATTGACAAAACTTTCACGTTTCAATGGTTTACCTTAACTGATAAACTTGTTAAATACTTTAAATAGAATGAAAGCGTTTGTAATCGTAATCCATGAAAACTTATCAAACCATGGAATAATAATTTCAACAAAGAATTATCAGTGATAAATTCAGTGAATTGGAAAGATATACATCACATATTATATCTATGTATACCATTGGTTTCCTCCTTATAGTTACATTTATACTAAAATTATGTTGCTGTTGAAGAATGTTGAAACAATCCGACTGAATTTTCTGTTTGTTTTACTAATCTAATTCTAGTACTTCCGCTATCATAGTTAATCATAAGAATAATTGCTATTATTACTATTACCCTTAATGATGTATATAATTGCCTTTCATTTTCACTCATTCACTCACCAACATACTATTAATTAAATTTATTTGATTTGTTTAGCTAAATGATTAGCATAGTAACCGATACAAAACTTATACTATTGTGTACCTATACTTCAGCTGTCTAATGCAGATTTGCTTAAAGAATAAACCATAATAATAATAATCGCTTAATTCCAAATAATATTATGATACAGTATAGAATTCTGAGCATATTGTAGCGTTTCAACAACGTCACTCCTAGAACAATATTTTCATATGAAATGGATCATTACACCTGAAAAATGTTAATGATAATAATAATAATTGTTTGTCCCTTGGGTTCCTAGTGGAACATAGAGCTTCAGTAGCACGTCTCCATTTCACTCTTTTCTCTGGAATCTTTTGAACCTGGCTTTACGACTACCCAGAAGCTTTCATTTCTCTCTCACACAATCTCCTCCATGTTACCTCAGACGCTTAACTCACCGTTTCCCATCTGGGTTCCACTCGAGTGCCTGGTCCATGATGTCTCCGAATGGTCTTTTCAGTTTATCTCCAATCCAATTCAATCCATCTCCACTTTCATCTTCCGCATATTTGTTGGGCAATATCTTCTTTGTTGGTTGCTTCGTTACCAGGCCAGCCACAGTTGCTTGTTGCTTATTCTAATTATTCTGACCACCTGATCTTCAGTGTCAGTATTGAGTGAGCCTAGGCGGCGGCTGTTGATGAATGTCTGTAGTTTGTTGGAAATGCTTTTCGTGACACGCAAAGTTTCTGAACCATATAGCAGCACTGACTCACTTGACATTGGTGTTAAAAATTCGGATCATGTTCACGCTTTATGCTGAGTGCAGTAGATCTCCACACTGATTATTTTAGATTAATGAAAGCCTGTCTTACTTCTTTAATCCTGGTTTTGACATCCTCGTCTATGCCATCGCCACCTGTAGTTGAAACGATGCTGCTCTGCGTAGGTAAGTGTAGGTGAAAGAGACTACTTCCTTTAGGTTTCTCCCGTTCATGGTGATTGGAGCTTGTCGTTTTTGTTGTTGCTGGTTGGGTGTCTTCATCACCTCTGTCTTCTCTACGTCCATCTGAAAGAAGTTTCGTATTCCTTCGTTGCCTCGCTCCTCTGCCAACTTGTTAGTTTTCACCTGCAGATCTCCGAGTTTTGCGACAACACATTAGACATAAATCATCATCGGCGTCGTCGAAATCTAAATCTTCTTCTGGGGTCTTTTCATTGGTCTAGCCAGCGTATGCCCATCTTCTCGCTCCTCACAGTTGTCTGTTGTATGATCCCGTCTAGTCCAGTCCAGTACAGTCGACCACAATCAGAATGCATTACTGCTCATTAGTGACATGCTTCGAGATGAATACCCTGAAGTTGTAATGGGAAGCCGTGACCTGTGGGGTCAACCAGTAGGGAGTGAAGCGGAAACTAACTAACAACCTTCGTGGATAGTCACGCTATGTAGCGAATTGACAGAAGTAGGAAACTGTGGACCATTGGATTATGATCCAATAGTTGAATGGTTAACGCGCTCACCACGATACCTGAGGGTCCTGAGTCCGATCCCTGTCGTTGTCTTGGGTGCGTACCGCTAAGGTGTTGTCTCGTACTACTGGTGCGAAACAGCTGTCCAGTGCTCCCAGGTTTTTAGTAGTTCTCCAACTGATGTCACTCCGTGACGAATACCACGCCGAAATTGAAATTCTTATTAACCCGAAAATGCATAGCTATTCTAAGTTTCAGCGGTTATTTTCAACCCTCTTCCCAAAAATAACCTCCTGGTTTCTATTTTCCTTAACAACCAATTAGGCTATGCGTAATGTGGCCAAATGTTATGAACAGGAATTGGATAAGCGTAAATTGGCTGAGCAATCTTTTTCATACGCTCTAACAAACCTTTCTGACTGGCTAAATGAAGCAGAACGCTTATTTCTTATGGATCAAACTTTTGAATTCGAGGAACAATTGGCTAGTACAGAAGTGATCCAAGAAAAGTTGACAGCACATGAAGAATTTCTTCGGAAGACACAAACAGCTGGTCAAGCTTGTCTAATTGAATTGAATAGAACTTATGATAAAATTGTGGAATTATTTACAGTCAATACAGATGAGATGATAGAAAATTCTGCATCCACATGTATTCAGTCAGATGAAGTTAGTATGAATGTGATTTTAGACGCATCAAATCAGGTGACTATATTTCGCGATCGGTTCAATGTAAGTAATTATTTTAAAAACGAGTTTTTGATATATTTATGTATTTTGATTGGTCGTCTAGTCCTGACTGGTGATCGAATTCTATTGGTCATCTAGCAGTATGCTCACTAAGCAGGGAAACTCACCATCACGGTGTAGGTTTTAATACATGTAAGTTGATTGTGTTCCTTTTTATGAAGAAATCAGGGTTTTTTCTTTTTGTATTCATCACTCCTACATATAATGACATTAATGAAGCCTATAAGTTTAAAACTAAGGTCGTTTTAGCAGTTAGGTAGAGAATTTAACCCGTTATTGGGAATTGGGTGACAGTTTTCTGTTATCTCACCTTACGTCTGTGATTAGCAAGGCGAAGGTGTCAGTCAGTTGGTCAACTCGGTTAATATGAAAAAACAATGTAGCACTACCGTTTAGAGGTTTAAACCTATGACTGTCAACATAAGCAAGTTTATGTGGTATCTCAAGTGAGAGTCGAAACCGAAAAGAATGTTAAGATAAACAGTGAAAAACGGTTACATGAACAAAGAGGATCTATTCTAAACCATACCATTTAAAATCTCCAATCACATTTTTCGTCTCACAAAAATCCTCCGAAAACGTCACAATATTGCGAATGGTTCAGACAAAAATCTGTTCCATTGTTGGTTAGGATGCGTTCCAATTCTACACTCCTTTCTATGATCATCCATTTTGTTATCTATTCATGCTTCAACTATTATCATATTTACCTTTACTGTTATCACCATTACTATTATCATTATTAGTAATTATTATGTATTGTTTGATAGTAATTTATTCTTCCTCCCCCCTGATGATTCGCAACTCCAACATACTTTTGATAGTTCCACCTTATTAGCGCAACTGGAATTAGCCTCTCTAATTGATTCGCTAATTCACTCACCTACAAAATATTGATCTGTGTTCCATATCATGATACAATTGGATGATCATTAGGGTCACCTTCTGTACGAAAACTTGATGTCATATTCATGGGTTACTTTAATGGCCACCCTAGCAACTGATAAGACAGCCCATCGAATTTTTATATTTTATGGAAAAGTACTTTCCCAGGCGAAATACCAGAGCCTTATTGGTCATTTGAGTTGTTGCTAGGGTGACCCTTAAAGTCACTCCAGATTCATACTCTTGAAAAGGGATCTTCTTAACAGGATAGAAACGTTGACGAGGAATAAAAAAAAATTTATCTATTTTGTTATTTGTTCTAATGTAGTACGCCGGGATAACAAGTTAAATATATGGGATACAATGAAAAAGTTAGATACTTTATATTTTAGTCATTTTTAATTTTTTTTCCAGTTTAGACCTACTCCGGGAAAAATATTGAACTGGAGTTGATGACTCTTTAGCTTAGCTCAGTGCTCCAGCCAAATTCTGGTTTCATACTAATCCATTAAAGGCAGGCTATCTAAATAAACTGTGTTAATGGTGACAGTGACAATTGTCGCAACAAGGTGTAATATCTTTTCCGTTTTTCGTCCAATCAGCACAGATCTCCAGTCTTCAACTGAATCGCATTATCACATCATAAGAAATATCATGTTTTCAATATCGCTTTCCGTGATATAGACATAAGATTCACCTTTAAGTGAGAAATGGAGATTCGATACACTAAGATGAGCTTTTAATCGACCATCCATAACCTAAAGTCTTGCACTAATTTTGTTACATGGGTTTAACTACTTATTATTGATTTTCAGTAGCCGATTGGTTTGCCTGGTATTTCTATCCGTGTTATGTCAGGAACATTTTGTGTTAGCTCGCATCTTATCACACATAATCTTCAATGTTTGTGCAGAATGCCTTGTATTTTACAACTGATTTAAGTCATGGATGTTTCTGTAACCTAGCCATGTTTAGCTAGTTATTTAGCCTTTTAGGAACACTGATACTTATATACATCTAAAATCACACCTCGTTGATACTGAAAAGATGGCCATTTCGCTGACTTTTCAATGTTTTATCATCTATTGAGGACCATCAATCTATTGTAACTTAGGTTTTAGGGTCTAGGAAGTTAGAGTTAGGGTTAAACGTTAGAGTGGAAGTATCGGTAGTGAACCACCGAAGTGTGAGTTCCTCATACTCGTTTTTATTGACTTCAGGCAACATAAAAAGCAAAAGAATGTCGACAACTGGTACAAAACGATCATGTTAGGATCAATATCTTATTTTACTCAATCAATACTTGAAAAATATATCGGCTATATATTAACTATAATGTCGTAAAATGTTGACTCATGCATTAATGACATTAAGCTTAGTTTTATTGTGATTCGAGTATTGTCTTTCCTGTGAATATTACTAAAACTCGGGATAAGTAGCTCTTCAGTAGTTTTTGAACTGACTGGTTGTGTGAGGTGGTGCTGTGGTCGATAGTCTTCAAGTAAATAATCGTAATAGTACTATTGATACTAGATGGAGGAAAGTATTCTTACTTCCACAATATCACCAGCCATCGAATTGAAATCAAAATGCACTCAGTAACCGTGTGCACACTCGTGGAATAGGTAATGAGCTACGGGTTTGGAACCGGTGACTCACTGGTTGAAAATCATATTCCTCAACCAATAAGTCACAGCTCTTCCGACTACTTAGTGGATGTAATACAATAGTATTGATATACTGTCACAGGACCAAATAATTTGCTGCATAGTTTGAAGCTAGAAGACAGGTAAATTCAGGTTAAATCTAGCCTCAAAGTTCAAATAATTCTCTCTTTCAAAAATTACTGTTAGTTTAAACATGTTTGAACTGAAATAGTTCATGTCTTTCAAATAACATTGTCATCTTATTGTGTCCTTTGATTGGTTGTTTCGATTGATCTCCTGAGAACAAAGTTAACAACACCTCGTTTGAATTAAAAACTAGACAACTTTGAAATGTTTCTAATTTGATCGTTAGCATTGTATCTTCATTATCAATGATACAATTTCATTTATAACTTTTTGTTAAACTACTGATATTGTAACAAAACGACGAAGGATGAGGCGTAGGAGAGAATGTTTATTATGACACTGTACATTAATGATGAAATATGGTAACCTTTCCATTGAAATATTCATTTGCACAATATATTTCGTCTCCTCTTCTTTAACCTCATTCTGCTCTTAATACGCCATCATTGTCTTACGTTTCTTTGTGCAGAATATTTACCTATTGCTCTCAATTACCTATGTCTTTTGCACATCTCTCACTGTATACTTCTTATATCCATGCTTACCAGTAGCACCCACTATATACCTCATCAAGATTCCATGTAACAAGATATTATTCATTCATTTCAAAAAACTTTTAGGAAAAATTATTTTGTTTGTTTTCTTACTACTTTTTTATGAATATTATTTGTCCTTCGGGTTTCTAGTAGAACAGGGCGTCAGTAACACGTCACCATTTCACTCTGTTCTCTTCAGTCTTTCGAACCTGGCTCCACCACTGCCTAGAACCTTTCATTTCTTCCTCACACGGTCTCCTCCATGTCACTCTTGGATGCCCAACTTGTAGTTTCCCTTTTGAGTTCCACTCGACGGCCTGGTCTGGCCTGATGCGTGATGTCTCCGAATGGTCTTCTCAGTGTATGTCCGATCTATCTCTACATTATGATGGCCACTCCCTCAGTTTGCTCATGGTTGTAGTCCGGGTGACAATATCGGAGTAGATTATTGACTTTCCGGTTGATAGTTTAGAGAGTTCACTTCCATTCCATCTGCTTTCGCAGATTCCAAGCACTTCCATATCTCCTCACCTCTTTTGCAATCTGGGAAGCCTTGGTAGGTTCATACATGGTGCGGACATTCCATGTCTCCACGTTTACTTTCGCTTTCATCGACAGAGAGAAGACATATTGGCCAATTGCCTTCCCGAAGGCTTTCACCAACTGTCGTCATTTCGTCTCTCCAATTCCAGAGAAGGATAAGTTTAATTTTATTACTGATTGCAGTTGTCTGTAGAATTCCTTCTTTTCCTGATCTGCATTATTTGTTGGCTAGTAGCATTGAATGATTGTGACTTTCCTTCCTTTCGAGTTGAATTTTGCTGTCATGATCCTGGAGGAGATTGGATCCCACTGTATGAGAGCCATCGATGCTCTCGGGAACATCATGATAGCCACCCGAAAACTCAGTGTGCTCGTGGTTGTTGTGTGGATGACAATATCGGAGTAGATTATTGACTCTCCAGTTGACAGTTTGGAGAGCTCACTTTCACTCCATAACATCTGCTTTCACAGATTCCTAGCACTTCTGTGCCATACTTTCTCATCTCTTCTGCAATCCGTGCAGCCTTGCTAGGTTCATACATGGTGCGGACATTCCATGTCCATATTCTCACTTTCGCTTTTATCGAGAGAGAGAAGACACATCGGCCAATTGGCTTCCCGAAGGCAGGCTTTCACCAACCAGCGTCATTTCGTCTCCCGATTACTGCCAGGAATAAGTTTGTTTTTATTCTCTATATTTACTTTGTGCTTTGAAGTTTGTTTAGCGGTTAAATTGGTTTTCCGGGTTAGGGTTGGTAGGCCCTATTCCGAACCTTCCCTCTTTATCGGGTCTTAGGACCGGCTAGTAACTAATGTACTAGTAAAGTAGACGAGGTTCTCTCGCTACTTTTAATGATGTATAATTCACTTGAATAAACTTAATTCTGCATAAAATCTGTTTCTTTAAAAAAATTTCAATTTCGAAGGAACTTATGAATAAAGCTAACCGCCGACAATATGAGTTGAAGTATGCATTGTTAGAAGCTCGTCTTCGTGAACACTTGGAACATACAAGTAAACTGCTAAATGATGAAGAAACTCGCATGTCATCTGGTGAAGATTTGGCTAGCATACTGGCTGATCATGAGGTAATACTGTATTTTTTGCAATTACAGTTATCTTTTTTTTCGGTTTATGGATTAATTCCAGCATTTTACAAAGGCAAGGTGATCAAGATTTGCACATGTTAGCTTTTTTGTATTCAATAGTAATGAGAAAGAAAGCAAAGTATCGATTATCATTCAGCTAGTGGTTTCTAGGGATCGATTGATTTTTGAGTAGTTTTCGTCATAAAGTGAAATAATTTGGGGGAATCATTGACTATCTGGGGGCACTGAACAACTGGCTTCTTCTAGTGTTGGATTCCTTGGCAGTGCGCATGTATTCTCTTGCAATAGATCGCATCCAGGATTATCAAGTCTCTTGGGGAACATGTTTCTATTCAGTGATTAGGTTGAATTTAATGGCCTACTGACTCCTGCTTCTATGGATTTGCGAGACAGTTTCATCATTATCGGATGTCATCAATGATCAGCTGTCCTCACTCTCAAATTGGTCAACCTCATAGGTCGGGATTTCCTACTAGAACTTCGGGAAATTCATCTCTTGACGCATCTCTAACCTTCAACTGCTGTTCAAAAGTGTTTTCTTTTCCTACCTATTACCTCCCGCCACACTCACAGACATACACATGAACAGCAGTCTGTTATGTATTCAACAACTGACTATTAAGATTATATGTATGTCTGAGTTCTAAACGGAGTCAAGGTCTGGAAATTCTGAAATATCGTTATATTCATTGTATTAATAATAATAATAATAATAATAATAATAATAATAATAATAATAATTTCACTGATTGGATTCTCACATATCTACTCAGCAATCTTGTGCACATTCGCACAGTCGGCAGCAAACCAAACCTAATATGTGAGAGCTAGTCCTACTTACTACCTGGACCCTTAAACGTCGGTAGATGGAGGGCTGTTTAAACCTGTAACCTACCGGTTGGAAGTCATCTACCCAAAACCAATGACTCACAGTTCTACATTTAGATGAGATCAATCATTATAGGATCATAAATATTGTATTTCTTTTAAATATGCAGAAATTTTGACGAGCATAAATGAATTCTTAAAACAATCAGTTGAATATTGATCAAAACAATAAACATATGAGAGGATAATTAACTTCCAGTAATTTCATCCTCAGATTCTATGAATGTATATGCCAAGGTGTCTAGAAAACATCATTACACTTAATAAACAACCAAGATTATGGATATTCTGGAGGAAAGTTCGATTGTAAATTAAGGTTCTGTGATCGGTCGAGTGAAAATTATCTGAATGAAACATGAACAGTATTATACATGACTACATGAATAGTGAAGTTTAGATAATATTCACCACGGACTACTGACATTAGTTAGAGAACTTTTGAAATTGTTCAGTCCTTCAATACCTTCAATGGTTTTCCAACTGATGCCAGTTGGGGATGAATACTACCTTCAAAATCAACCGTTTCCCCCAAAAACCATTGAGTGAATTTGAAATGAATGTTGCACGTTGTAGCTTACAGGTGTTGGATCTAAGCGATCTGTTATTATTGGCAAATAGGATCCTTTGCGAACATCTCGATATTGCCGGTGATTTCAGTTTAATTGTTAGTGATGGAGACTAGCTAACAGTAGAATCTGGAACACATGATTCGTCATATTTTGTTTTTTCTCCTCTGGAGGTGCCTGTCTCTTAGTGTCAGTTGTCACTCTCAGTGGAACTCGAACTCAGCATTCACTTCGAACATCGAAGCATAATTCATCATGCTGTTGATTTCATCTACAACTTGCAACATGATAATATGTTTGTTATACAAGAGTTGGCTATTACAACCTTGAGCAAATCTATTACATTCTGACGTTTAAAGATATGAGAGTTAAGTTAAAATCCCATTTGAAACAAAATCACTCACTTGGTGGCAAATATGCACAACCGATGATTTCAATATGGAAGGAAATGTATATTTGGGATTCCAATGCTAAGCACTATCCATCATTACTATATGAGGTAGATATTTCTAAAACAAAGGAAGAGGAAGGTAGAGGTGAATCGAGGTGTGGATTTCAAAGATATTCCAGCAACTGTTAACTAGTTGACTTTCTTCATTTTGGATAGAAATGTAGTTTTATCGTAAAACAAAGGAACCCAAGTTGTATCAGATGTTTTCAAGCTGTGAGTTAGAATATCACAAGCTGCCCATTTTGTAGTCTAATCTTGAAATGGTCGAGAATATTTGTAGCTCAGATGGATGGTTTCGGTTGTATTATATTCTCTATGCTGACTTGTTTAGTCGTGAAGCCTTTATCGTCTTTCTAGACGACATCAGCAGCACTAACTTCAGTATGAAGTGAGTAGTCAGTATCTCTTCGTGAGCAATTTAGTGACTGACCATGAAGAAGTGGTTTGTGACTAGTTGTTTCCTTCGATGGTTGTGTCATCGACTGTATAGATTTTCCTGTTGACCATTCCTCTGCTTCACCTCAGACCTTTCTGTCGTTTATCATCTTTTCTTATTGGTTGTTAGATTGGGTCTATATCTATACATCTGTTGATTGCTGACTCACTGGGCTGAATGTTAAGCTTCTAGGAATTCTCTGATATTCTTTGTGATTCCTCTCCCCGTCCAAAATTTCCACATTGTCAAAATTGAATTCATGTTCATAGTTTCTATCCACATGCATTGAAATAAGTGACGAAGTGTCGTGGCGTTTGATAGCCATGTTCATGTAAATGACGAAAGCGAAGAGGGCTACCACTTTGTCCAATGTAGTGTTAGCCGTAGATATTGCAGCTGATTTTGTAGATGATATTCGGTTTGTCTTCTTTGGTTGTCGCATCCTTTCGTCTGCATAATAGTGTTCGGAGGGAATTTGTTGGTTTATGAGCCACACCAATTCCAAGCGGTCTCAGCAACCTTGTCGTTATTTCTGATATATTCTTTATTTATGGTAGGATGATGTGTTTATTGATTTCTGTCGATGACTTTGTAGTTGATGATGTACAGAATGGACATCTGATAAAGTTTCGTGGGTAGCCATTCTTCTTTAGGGTGGACATCAGGTAATTTTATTCGTTTCTCTGTGAAGTTGTTGTACTGCAGTGTGCTCTCGCTCTTCTGAATAGAGTTTGCACGCAACCAATCTTATATGTTGTTGGGTTCTTGCTACTGTAGTTGAGGATTTGGTCAGTGTGTGTTGGGTTCCTATACACTTGGGTTTCCAGCTTTCTGGCATTTGTCCTACTAACTAAAACACCCAGGAATGGCAGTCGTTTGTTTGACTCCTCCAATGTGAATTTGATGTAACTGAAAACGTTGTTGATCAAACTGTGGATGTTTTCTATTTCATCTTTTTTTTATTGGTGACAAAAGTGTCGTCCACATAGCGAATCCAGAATTTTGGCTTGATCGCGGGTAGGATGATGGCTTCCAGTCTCTATATCACTGATTCTGCAATTAATCCGGATATCGGTGATCCCATTGGAGTTCCCTTCATCTGTTTGTGTATCTTGCTGCTGACTTGGAAGTATGTTGTCACATAAAGGTGAATGAGTTCCATCAGACTTGAACATTTAAGTTTTGTGCATTCTGTAAGGCTTGTGTGTTCACTGAGCAGAACGGACATAGTTTCTTTGGCCAATTGGGGTTCGATGGACGTGTACAGTGCCGTGACATCGAATGATACCATTAATTCATCGTTTTCTATATGAATGCTTCTGATCTTTTCTAAGAATTTTGTTAATGATTTGATCGAATGTCTACATGGATGATCATGGACATGAATTCAATTTTGACAATGTGGAAATTTTGGACGGGGAGAGGAATCACAAAGAATATCAGAGAATTCCTAGAAGCTTAACATTCAGCCCAGTGAGTCAGCAATCAACAGATGTATAGATATAGACCCAATCTAACAACCAATAAGAAAAGATGATAAACGACAGAAAGGTCTGAGGTGAAGCAGAGGAATGGTCAACAGGAAAATCTATACAGTCGATGACACAACCATCGAAGGAAACAACTAGTCACAAACCACTTCTTCATGGTCAGTCACTAAATTGCTCACGAAGAGATACTGACTACTCACTTCATACTGAAGTTAGTGCTGCTGATGTCGTCTAGAAAGACGATGAAGGCTTCACGACTAAACAAGTCAACACAGAGAATATAATACAACCAAGAAGTCTAATCTTATTCATAACGTATCTGCTTAACTCTTGTCCGAGTAAATATTTTTGTTTCTACACATCTTCAGCCTTTCAACTTATATCTGTATGGTACATCTGCAACCTTTGAGAGATACACACCCCCTCTTCACCTACCACCGTCGTCATAAAAGACGTCATTAAGTTATTCAAGGTCAACCTGAATTACCATTTAACACTAACACTACTTCTCTTGATGATTTACGGACTATTCAGATTGTATTATCGATGTTTCATTCGTAACCATGTGAGAAAAAATTTCAAAGCTTACTGGCTTATTCTGACGGATAGATTTGTAGGTACCTTAATATTATATTTGAGTTCGTTCAGAGTGAGTTGCTGTCTGAGCTAGAGTTCCAGCTATGTGCGTTACAATGTCATACTAGACATCATAATCAATGCGTCAGAGCTTGATAAGAAAGTGAACTAATTGGTTGTGCATGGATATTTGTGGCATTCAAGCTTTGTAAGACGTTAAAGATTGAATACACACGTGCACTGCACCACTGTGACTAATTTTTTGCCATTTCAATAAGACTCCTCAACCACTGATTCTTATCGTCGTGTGGACTCGAGCCAGGTAGTCTACACCTCCCTACACAACTCAAACAAACAGTTAGAGGCTTTATACACTGGCATGACGTGACCTCTTGCCAGTCTGTACCCTCTTCCAACCTAATTCTACTTTTCCTAACATTGAATGTCGAGGTAGGCTTATCAGTGGGAATAAGTTATTGTGCTGTAAACCGAGCTCAAGCTGTTTCCGAGAAACTAAGATTGCGTTATACCATAAAGCGAAGACTTATGTCAGTGTGGAAGAGGATGAAGAATTATGATTTCAGTTGAAAATTCACGTGTATACTGCGTATTATTATTATTATAACTGATGTTCACATCGCTCTCTATCCATAGGCTGCATTTAACAATTCTCAATTTAACACTATCTGTGAAGATTTACTGCGTGAAATGCGTGAACTAGATGAACAAATGAGTTATTTATTTCACAATGATTCAAATAGCTATGGTAAACGGACAACACAATTACAACATGAGTATAATTTATTAACTGAACGTGTTGGTAAACTGTCTATCAGACTACGTAATCTACCTGAACAGTGGGCTGAATTCGATGACAAGTAAGTGACTTTTACGGGTTAGTCAGTTGATATTTTACTGTTCTGCTTGTATATATTTCTCTGGGTTATCATTGTTGTCATCAATGACTTATTACTTAACTGAATTGGTCTATACTCCTAGGTTTCATGCTTTCTGGCACTCGTCAGCAAGGCGTATCTACAACCTCGTCGGAACTGATGTCCCGCCTGAGATTCGAACCCACGTCACCCAGTGTTGTAGCCAGTGACTTTACCACTGAACTATTCGGGCGCGATTGACCTCCTATAGGACTGGCTTACATGTATTGACTGGTCACGGGAGTGCAACCAATTTCATGTTATCTAGTTCTGAGTGCAGACCGAATTCTATCGATCATATTTGCAATGTGGCAACCAAGCTAGGAAGCTCAGCATCGGCTTCCTGCCGATTGCCTCCAACCAACTAACATCTACTAATGTGCACCACTATGCTGAGCTTCCTAGCTTGGTTGCCACATTGCAAATATGATTGATAGAACTCGGTCTGCACTCATAACTAGACAGCACGAAATTGGTTGCACTCCTGTGACCAATCAATACATGGTCCATACTCCTTCATAAACCGTTACAGGATTTAACGCAGTTTCTATGACTGTTATGCCAACCATATATTTCCAATGAATCATTTAGTCCTGATTCAGTATTCAACAGTTTCCAAACCTTCTCAGAATATATGCGTATTTTGTAGTCTGTTATGACGTAATATATATTTCGATTCAGTTGTAAAGATATGCTTCCAGTATTGTCGAATAGGGATCGGTCTAAATGAAAATCAACAGTTTACGTCATCCGCTGCTAAGGCAGGAGATTTTCATATGGTCAAGAAAATGTGAATTTCATATAAGTTTCATTGGTCGTATTATTTTAAAAGTCATCCTACGTATAACTTAGCTCAGTTCAAGAGCTTTTGATTGGTCTCTCATCCACTAATATATCACCTAGAATTTTGAAGTAATTGCATGTCGAGTGAAATCCATTATCGTACATTATCTCATATTTTTTGCTTGAAATCGATTATTTCATTAACATAAATTATGGTGCGTTGTGGTCAAGTAATTTATTTATGTACATATATGTGAGTCAGATCGCCTGAAGTATACATCGTGGACAATAGGCATATGACTTCATGATCTGTTAAATGAGGTTGGGAGGGCTGAAGTGCGTGACTGATTGTGTGGGTGGGTTGAGTGTACGAGACTGGGCAAGTATACTTTAGACAGACCGATCACGTCTAAGGATAGTGTTAAGACTGAATCGGTAGAATCACATTATATTTATTATTTTTCCCTTTGGTTCCTAGTGGAACATAGGGCTTCAGTAGCACACCTCCATTGCACTCTCTTCTCTGCAGTCTTTTGGGCCTGGCACCACGACTGCCTACATGCTTTCATCTCTTCCTCATATGATCTCCTCCATGTCACCCTCGGATGCCCAACTCTCCGTTTCCCTATTGGATTCCACCCCAGGGCCTGACACATGGTGTCACTAGTCGGCCTTCTCAGTGTATGATTAATCGATCTCCAGTTTCTTCTGCGTATTTGTTGGGTGCTAGGTTCTTCCTTCGTTGGTTCGTTGCCAGAGTTCCTTGTTGCTTATTCTTTCTGACCATGCAGAATCACATGCTTCACACAATTACAACCAGACAGTTATAAAGCGTTGAAACTTGAAATAATACTTAGTGAACAAAATGAAAGTTAATAAAATTAACTAGAAAACAGTGTTATAAAACTTGTTTAAAATATCTCTTAAAATAAATGTAACAGCTAACCAGAATGTACTTGACTTCTGCTAAGGGGTTAGAAGTCAATATGCAGGAAGCGTTGTTGGACTAAGTTTCGTGCTTGTTGGAACTGACCAGTAGGTGTAGCTGCAGTCAGTAGGAAATTGGTGTTTTCTCAATGTTTCGGATCTACTTCTCTCAGTACTGAGACTATTCAGGCCACGGCTAACCCCTGAAAAACTGGATCGCGTACATAAATTGACCACTAATGCGGAACTCATGTAACCCCCTGGTACTTAGTGCATAATCCTGTATCTTGAATGCACATGGACTGTGACTATCTCATGTATACACGATTGAATTTCGTATTTTTCTTACTTTTAACAATAACAACAACCCCTTCTATCATATCATCTTATAGGTATCCATTCATTCAGTCCCAACTTTCTAAAATTCAACGATACATATGAGAGAAATTGCTGTGTTTTCAAACAAAAATTTATTTCTTTTCCATATAATTAAATTCCATAATTGAAAACATTTGTTGTTTTCCTATTAAGCTTGTGTATTTAATGTGTAGCAGCTTAAACCAATACCTAATTATGCTGTGCCAGATCTTGGTACTCTAATTCTATTTATCACTTTTGAGGACTCGTTTCCAATAAAATACTTTGATTTACGTGGTTTCAGAGAGACACTGTAGTGAGAGCTACTTATAAGAGCACATATCACTAGCATATATAGCAACATCGAAAGTGACGAAGATTAACTGATAAGCAGACAACCAAGAGGAATATACAATATTAATGCGTGAAAATACAAAACACAAGAAGCGTGCTGAGTGAAATACAGAACAAGAAATTGTTTGTTGGTGTTAGAGTGGGGGCTAGCGATGGAATCCAGGACGCACGTTTTGTTTTATTTGGGACTCGTCAGCTGGATGTACTTGCCTCCCATTGAGCGATGTTGTTCCGACTAAGACTTGAACTAGGGACTGATTTCTTCAAACGGCATAGAGTTGTCCACTAGACTACTGAGTTACGATATCCACCTCTTGTGCGACAGGTATAGTTTTTATGTTGTTACTTGTGTTATACCGTCGTTGTTTGGATCAAATTTTAATTGGTCTTCTTTGGAATATGAGCTCGTGCACGGATGCCTCGATATTGCGTGTGTTTCAATTGTGTGTTGATGCTGGACAGTGGTTAGCAGCTCTGGTGTTTGAAGCGACCAGTCCTGAGTTCCAGCGTTAGTGGGAATAACATCGCTCACTGACGAGTCCCAAATAGGACGAAACGTACGTCCTGGATTTCACTGCTAGCCGTTATCCGCCATTAATATAAAATCAAAACACAAGCAATATTGAGACATCTGAGCAGAAGCCCATATGCCAATAGAAGTCGATCAAATTCGTCCCAATCAACGACGGAATAACACAATTGACAACATGATTGTTTATTAGGCTAAGTATTTTTATCATTATGAGTTATGTTTTCTCAATAAACCATTTCAACTACTTCTCTGCTTCAGGACTGTGATGTTTGAGCTTCTCACTGCCGTTACACTCCGTAGTAAACACACTTAGGTACATAGTTATCATTGGTTTGTCTTTGAGGCTGCAGGAAATCAATTACTTCTATGCATAACAGGTGATCTGTTCATTCCTTAGATGACGAGTTAGTGATTTTCCCTATTTTGAAACAGTCCTCCATTGATCTACATACTACAGCCAGATATTGAAACAAAGTATGGGATTATTTAACAACCATTTTAAGTTAATTCAGGCTTACTAAGTCACTAACCCGTCTACTTTTCATATTTAGAATTCTATGTGTGGCTACAACACTGTTATATTAGACGGTTATCTTTCTTAGTAGTTAGAGCTTTCGGTTCCTTCATCTGTAATCGTGTATAATGTACTTTTTCTGTCGACCAATTTTCATAGTTGTGAAATAAGACATAAGATGCTACTCCAGTATGAATGTAGTTGCTGATGAATAGATATGCTGATATTTTATTTACACAATAGTACAGTTTTTTAAAATTTTGTAAGGGGAGGTGTTTTTTTAAACAATTTACTGGTTTTAGTAGTTGGATAAACTTATTATTTAAGTAAGGGTGAACATAGCATACATCACTTCTTGGAAGTTTAGTGTGTTACATGTTAAGAGTCCTTAGTGTGCTTGTCACCAACACATATCTTGAATTTGGGAGGAACTCATGTTCTCTTGGAGACTTTAAACCTATAATACTGAAGGGTGAAGTCACAGACTTTTCTGCTAAGCTATCCAGGACTGGAATATGTACACTGATTGGTTGCCAGAAGACAGTATTGATGAGCGCCAACAAAGAGAGAACCTGGGTGAAGGAAAATTTCCTGACAATTGAAACCTAACATCTGACGTAAAGGTACGGTACACCACATCACTACTTAACCGAGTAACACCTAGAAAAAGTCATCGAAAGGCTTCGATGGATGCACATCTAGGGAAGGATATCAACAATCATTCAAATGCTGATAAGTTTCTAGCAGGATTAAATGTGCAGCCTCAGAATTTCGCCGTTTCACTTCTTACTCCATATGACCATATCGACTTTAGTCCATATTCAACACATCCTGTATTTTTTTCTTTCATAGCATATTTTTATTATTGTTTTATTCAGGTTAAATCATCTATTGGATTGGACAAATGAAGTGGAGAAATTGTTTACACACCTACAAAGTGATCCAACTGGTAACACGATTACAGATGAAAAGACAGCTGTTGAATTGGCTACACGTTATCGTGCTATGTTGTCAAGATTTGAGGAAATGACTGGTATGGTCGGAGAACAGAATGCTTTAGGTGATAAATTGAATTTAATGCTAATTGAATTATCATTGGATGGTGGTATTTCGTCTCCAGACTTGGCAGCTAAACGAGCTGCGTTAGCAACAGCCTTAGGTGCATTGAGAGACTTGAGTGGTGAGATTGACTCACTTTTAGTTAGAGGTAAGTTGAATAATTTTTTAACTAAAACTGTTCAACTTATTTTGTTTTTCTATTCACAGACTTAATATTCCCCCCGCATTCGGATTTACATAGATAATCCATTCTCATTCCGATTGGTGGCGATGGTTGTTCTCTGAGTGTTGAGGTTTGTGCTTAGATGTTTCGTCACTAAGTTGGGCGACTTCATCAGCATTTACTTCTTGATGAAGAATTGAAACATTTTCAAGTTATGAAGAGTGACTTTGAAGGCCATTCTAGCAACTACCGAATAAACCAATCAGGTTCCCGTATTTCGCCTGGGAAAGTACTTTTCCGTAAAATAAAGGAATTTAATTGGCAATCTCATCGGTTGCTAGAATAACCTTCAAGGTCATCCGTTCGTGAGAGATATTTTTCGACCTTGAGTGTTATTGGCTTTTGGGTAGAAATGACCTCTTCTTTTTTTGTCAGTATGCATCTTACATCACATGAGAAAATCTAATATGGAGTTGTACTTAGTGTTTTGAAGATCAGGAGAAAAACATTACCATTCAGAAGACAAAGGATGTGTAGGTAATAACTTCAATCAAACTAGATAAATTCATATGAACTGTGATCAAGATTTGATGGAATAGTATCGCAAATATTAGGCGCGAAGTAAAAAGTTGGCATTAGATATGGGTTTTATTTGTATAAAAGTCTCGGCGTGTTTGAAATAAAATAATTCCAAAGTTTCGCACGGAAGTCTCATCCGAGTTTCTTCAGGGAAATAATCAAAGGTATATAAATCAGTTCAAAGACGTGTACTTCAATCTCCTTTTCTAATCCTCTTCGTGTAACCATTGTTTGATACTGACTTATGATTTTGGATGAAATAAAAAACTGACTCGACAGGATTCGAACTAGTGATCATCAGGTTTCCGACCTCATGCTCTACATGACCCGACTGGTAACCAAGTAGCTAGTCTGTAAAAGATACTACGTAGAACTCAACTATTCAGGCTGTATTGATTTAAGCCTACAGTGGAAGATCTCAAACCTAAGTAAGTGAAATAGAATGTATCAATTCACCAACTAGACATCCGTTAAGAGGAAGGCAACAAATATAGGATTACACATATCACCTCAGTCCAAGAGTAGTTTCATAAAAATCACACAATATTCATTATTTATTTCTCTTGAATAATTTAACTTACTTCAGAAGTGACTTCAGTCCATGTTTTATTCATATTCTCTAATTCACTATCCAATGTAGAGATTGCTGTCATATCACATGTATGCATTAATTCATGTCCAAGATCATTTAATGCTGAAACACGTGTACGCCATTCTTTTAATTCATTATACAATCGTTCACGTTCTTCAGAACTGGTCGATTCATTAGCTAGTAATTTTTTTACATCTGTTAACCAATTAGTTAAATTCATTTTTTCCTTTAAAATTAAAATATTAAAAGAGAAAATATGATCATGTTAACACTTGTATGATTTTGAAATGGTGGACAATATTTGTAGCTCAGGTAGATGATCTCGATTGTATTGAATTCTTTGACCTCGGCAGCTTAGTCGTGAAGGTTTCATTGTATTTCCAGACATCAAGTTGGTAGTCATCAATAGGAATTTAGGAGCACTGGACAACTGTTACATCCTAGTATGGGACTCCTCAGCAGTGACCCCTCCCCCACGGAGGGAGGGACATTTCCAGAAATCAACAGGATTAACACAAATATGAAGGTAGTTATTGAAGTTATTACTAGTGATTTTGTCCAGAATGATAATGAAAGCCTGACGACTAAGCTATCCAGCTCGGAGAACACAACACAACTAATATGAACACTGAAGCCTGAACAACATTAGATGGACGAAATAAATACAACACCTTTCTACCATTTTAACTTAATCAATGACATTTCGAAGTGATGTGAATGCGAATAAATAGACCAAATGAAGGTGTAGTGATAATGGTTTTATCATTCGATATTCACATATCGCTTTATGCGCTACAATCCACTCTGTTCACTCAACGTGAATAGCTGTTGACAGGTACGTTTTCACTTCAACATAACAGATGTAGGTAATTTGTTGTTAAGGTTCTCAGGGATTTATCTATTGATTTCAGTTTGCTACTCATCACAGACTGGCATTACTTTGAGAAACATTGGGAGCCTGGGAGCACTGGACAGCTATTTCGTCCCACTATGCGACTCCTCAGCAGTGCGCACCCATGACCCCCCCTCCCCACCCCAGTGGAAGAGGGGATCAAATCCACGACCTCCGGTCTCGCCACCACTGATTCACTGAGTCTTAATCCAATCAACGATCCGCATTTCCAACTTCTGTCAGTCTCAATGTCGTCGTTGAGTAACCGTTTTCATATTCGACTTGCTTGGTCCCCCTCCCCCCGTCCCCCACCGGTCACAACTTCAACAATCTCACCTGGAAGCAAGGTGCTAGTGACTACTCTAGGATGTGAAAAAGTTATGTCGGTTTGTGTTAGATGATTGGCAATCGTCTATAACCATTTTTATCAGCATTCTATTGAAATTGTTATATTCCTACAAAAATAGAGGTTAAAAGCATAGAAGAAAGAAGCACAATACATCTTGTATGTCACTTATTGTTTTCCATCGCCTATTCCACTACTTCCATACATATATTCTCCCTACTTGTTATATATAGTTCAAGATCAGTTGTGATGATCTTAAATAACTGGCATGTTATGAGGCTTTCTATTCACTATACTACTAGTAGTAGTATAACCAGCAGCACACATGAAAAGAGAAGAGAACCGGGGTATTGGAAGCATTTACATAATATTTGTACACTTAAAAAATGGAATAAGGGTTGAGTAAGATGATTCATCATCTTTAATGGTATGCCGATTGTCGGTGACAAATTAGGCGGGTCTGTAAATAAACGAGGTGGTTAGATGACGAACTACAATCGCTTATGTTTCGCTGTTGGAGAATACGAACAATATTTCCTAACCAATCAGTTCTGCTACTCTACAACAAAACTGGAAAGGTAGTATGATGATGGTTTCTCATACTTGGTAAACTTCAATTTTCTAGGGAAAATATACATGAAAATACTCTGCATAAACTTTGTGTCTGTTGTTTGATCATCAACAGATTAAGCTATGTGGAAAAGTAATCGACTATAAGAGTGAAACCTGGCTTCACGGACAAAATCGAGGCAAAGGATTTGGAGTTGTCGACAAACTGCCAATCGCCAAGCTTGATAACAAGTCCTGGAGAGTGTAGTACAATCGAAAATGTATCAAGCTGATAAGTACAGTCAGGATGAAACAAATTTCTTTCATTTCACCGCTCGCTGCCAACATATATCATGAAATTCCGGTTACACTCAGTATCTGTACAGTGAATCAATTTCACTTTACTCAGATGATGGAGAATATTTTCAGCTCAGTAGAATGATTTCGATGGTGGTGGTGGTGGTGGTGGTGGTGGTGGTGGTGGTAGTGGTGGTGGTGGTATATTCTTTGAGCTGGTTAGTTCGGTTGTTAGATCTTCAGTGTTATTCTAGGCAAAACCAGCAGCACAAACTTCAGAAAGTGATATGTAAGAATTGCTCTGCAAGTGGCTTAATTGGCTCTTCCCAATGACCTTCAAAGTGATTGGTTGGCTCTGTTAAAATGTTGTCACTGTATAAGCGTGTATTTCGATTGGCTGTTCTACTGATGATAAATAACTTCGATCTTTTCGCTGTTTCTCGTGTTTTTTATTGGATCAACGTCAGTACTCCTATTTCTGAGTTGACTGGTGTGAGTGTGTAGTTTCTAACAGTTGTTCGCTAGCATTCTCCATATTTGCTCTATTCACGTCCATGGCTGTGTATATGAATTGATATCAGCGAAGATATGTCATGATGCTTCACTGTTGGTTGATGTCAATTTTAGTTTCTTTGAGTTCTTGAAGTCTAAGTGTATATAAGAGGTTTGACTTTTGGTGGTGTGACGAGCTGGGATGGCCGAGTGGTTAAGGCGGTGGACTTAAGATCCCCTGGAGTGTATCTCCGCGTGGGTTCGAACCCCACTCCCAGCACTAGTTTTCTGCCCGATATATCTATGGCAATGAACAGTAACATGGGTTTATCTTCTCCGTTGATATTGTTTTAATCAGCCGCACAAATGAACAGGTGAATGCAAAACAGTCTTTGACGAAAATTCTACATTTCGAGACGGGATATTAGTTGCGTCGAGGTTGCAGATACAGCATTGCTGACGGGTCCCAACAGGCACGAAACCTAGGTGCGTGGCTTCCTGCTGATTGCCTCCAACTAATTAACAGTGACAGCTTCGGTGATTGGAAGTAAACGTAAAGTTGCCATTTTCTGTTGGCTACTACGAAACACTTCATTGTGTCAAGTTAAAGACTATATAACAAACCATGGATGTGCGGAAGGGTTTTCGTAGGTATTACACACAGAAATATCAAACTAAAACCTTCTAAAGATAAACCTACCAACATGGCAATAAAGATTTTTTGTGTGAATCGAAATTCCGCCTGACAGTTTAAAGAGGAAGACATTAAACTCTCCGAGTAGGACATTCTTGGAAACAATGCTGGGATTAGTATCCTCCAGGCATCCGCTGATTTCTAATAACTTGAGGGAAAAACGTTTTCATCTTAGCACTTCTATATCTGTATATCAATTCACCTGCTACAGTGGAACCAGATATATAGGTCGTTTAATGCGATTGTTATCCAAAGGGGTTCAAGAGAAGTATCTCATGGGGTTAAAATTGTCGATAAGAAGCGTTATAGCTGAACGCCCTGTCTCAGGAACCTTCTCATTCAAAGTCATTAATAAAGTGAAAAGAAACCTCTGTCTATTTCCGTATTCTCTGCGTCACCAAAGCTTTTCCCTTCTATATGAAGAAACCTGAGCTTTGTATGCAAAAGAAAACTGTTCAACCTTTCCACATTTCATGATCTTAATGTTCAGCCTTTGAGATCACCTCTCTCTTTTTACACTATTCACTTCTTACGTAATTTGGTATTCACTCTTGTTTCTATACGCTTTCTGATCACGCTTCGGTTTTCAAATGTTTTATCTTTTTACAAAACTTCTTATCAAAACTTGGTCATCTTTACACAACTTCAGGCATATTCTGATTAATCTTCAAGATTATTAAACACAATTTATGATTTTAATGGCTGCTTATATATTTTGTTTGCGATATATTTTGTCGGCATGTTTGGCAAACCATTTTTACCTATCAAACCATAGACCATGAAATATATATATAAGTTTGTGATTATACTTCTTTGAGAATGAACTCGTCGGAAAGAGTTTCTTCGCTGAAATAATTGTTCTTCTTACTGTAAAAACTCCCCAGTCTTTTGTTTAGTCAAGAATTAGAAGAAGTTTGACATCTTTGTACATTTCCGTGGTGGGGTCACTGGCCAATGAAATCTGTGCACGGAGACAAAAGACACAACTGACTATTACCAGCTTACACCGTCCATGGCGCTCCCTCGATATCTAATTACCTATTAATGGTCGAGTGCTATTTTGCTACACTTCACTCTCTTATACTGTATGGTTGTGACAAATGGCCATTAAAGGTAGGGAAAATGAGAAGGCTTATGGTGTTTGACCACCACCACCACCTTTGTAGCATAGGCCATGTAGGGTTTGCGGAAGGCGAGGAAAGTCAGTTGATGTGAACCTTCATTGACTGAAATGGTTAGGACATGTGCTACGCATGCATGCCTAGTCACCGTTTGCCTCATCGCTGATTTTTGGCTGAAGTAGATTCAGGCTGGAAAAAAGATCGGTGTGGCCAGACTAAAACATGGAATCACTGCATGAAGTGCAGACTAGCCGGTTGAGGTCCACATGGCAATAGAATCGGTGCCATTGGCCCAGGTATATTCACACTTTATCTTCATCTTAACCGTCATATTGAATCCAGCATTTTCTCATTCCTCCTTCATCTTTTCCGCTGAACTCTACTACTTTTGACCGATTTTTCTTTCTTCATTTTTCATCTCATCGCTTTGTTATTTGATGTGCTGATATGAGGTGTGGCAACTTAGACCGTTGTGCAGTAGTGCCCTAGTCCTAAATTGATGTTGATATACTGATTGTAAGCTATAATGTTGCGTAAGAGGAATGAGAAAATGCTGGATTCAATATGGCGGTTAAGATGGAGATAAAGTGTGAATATACCTGGGCTATTGGCCTCCATATTAGCTTTGTTGATTTGATTTATCATTGCTCATAATCATATCATGTAATCATACCACTTCCAACATCTGATTTCTATAGTCCTGTCACCTCTTATTCTTTGTTTCTATTGGTAGTCAACGTTTCCATATCTCTGCTATAGGCGTTGCGTCATTTCTATTACATATGTTGGGTCGGGTGTTGATTCGATGAAGAAAGATTCAGTAATCTCTCTCTCTCTCTCTCTCTCTCTCTCTCTCTCTCTCCATGTCTCTCAATATCCACCCAATTATATTGAACTTGAGTGTAGTGGTTGTATCCTACTCAGCCTATTGTGTGGTTGTGCGTTAATCCATGCATTGCAATAGCTTATATTTAGCTGGATTTCTATTTTCGGCTATTCTGAAGAGTGACCATGACTGGCTAGTTTCACGTATATATTTGACCTCACAGTGATTACATGGAATTTGATAGATTAGATTATTTTGCTAAATTGGATCTACTGGATCGTTAAGCCAGCCGACAAAGCTTATCTGTGAGTGAGTTTGTAGGTTTAAATGTCATTGTAATTCCACGTTTGTTGAGAATCCTAAGTGAAGTTTTGGATGTACCTTCCTTACATGATAACACAGTGGATGTTATGAACTCCTTTCTACTCGTGTTGTGGAGAAGGAGAGATTGATTAATGAATCTTTTGTTCATTGAATCTCAACACACAACACATGTAGTAGAAATGACGCAACACCTATAGCAGAGATATGGAAACGTTTACTACTACCAATAGGAACGAATAATGTGAGGTGACAGGACTATAAAAATCAGATGTCAGAAGTTGTGTGAGAACACTGATATGATTATGAGGAGTGGTAATGTATGCTGGGAACGTCATCAAGTAAATAATACTGTATCAGTGTGTGTTATAAATGAAACAAATCTGGTATAGAATTACATTCTACTATAGTGCTCAAGTTTTATACTTATATAACTGTTTAGGTGTTATCATATTACAGTTTTCAGTGTGAACGTTTTATGAATTTATCTTATTGAACTAGTTTTCTGTCAACTGGGCTGAGAAATACGTTCCTGCTTGTCTACAGCCGTTTATCTCTGTTATGGATTGTCAAGTGACGATGTTTATTGAATCCCATGTCTAAGTGCTCAGTTTAAAAAAAAACATGTATGTTCTTTCTCCCCTTGTCTGTTGGTTTGTTGGGAGAATATAGGGACATCATCTGTTTAGTTGAAAGTAGTTTAGATAAGCGTTTTTTACATATATGTAAACATGTGTAGTAAACTGTTTATTGTTTTCTTTTTTTTCGTTAAAAAAAACTTTCCTTGTATATCCTGACAGCTCCACTAATCGCTGAAACGCTGGAATTTCGTGCCAATGCTGTAACAGAACGTAAAAAAGCTATGGTTGTTCGTGAGGCTTTGAACAGGCTGTACAAGAAGATGCTGAAATGCTACCTAATGATTTAGAAGCTATAAAACGTTTACTTGCTGAACGTGAAGCTATGGTAGCTCGACTAGCTGAAGAAAGAGATGCAAGTCTATTGGCAATGATTCAACGTGGTATGAGTGTGAAAGCTGGTGAAATGTTGGACTGGATTGAACCATCTCAAACGGAATTGAAAGCTACATGGGCTGAAGTGGATAAAGTTGCTGAAACAGGATTAAGAAGTTTACGTCAAACTGCAGAAGCATTTGAAGCTTTTGAAGAGCATAAACAACGTTTAACTAATCTATTGACTGGTACAAAACACTTGATCAATGGACATGCAAGTGCAGCTGCTGCAGCTGCTTTCGCTTTAGCATTGGCTGGTAAAGATGGTACAATGGATATTGATAATGTCACCAATACACTGCAGATTGATGATGAAAAGAAACAATGGGCGAATGCTTCACTTGCTTCTGGAATTGCTGGTATTGTTGCTGCAAGTGTTGAAGAGGCAACTAAAGCAGGTCAAGAAGCTGTTCGTGTTCAAGCTGAAGCTGTTGCAGCTCAACTAGATGCATTGAATAAAGCTGAATCTGATTTAAAAGCATTGAGAGCTGCAGCTGAAACTATGAAAATGCGATCAACTCCTGAACGAGCTGCTGAACTTGATGCAACAATTCAACGCTTAGAAGCTCAACTATCTACAGCTAAACAAGAGTTAAGCTCAAAATTAGCTAATCTACGCGCTGCTGATGGTAGATGGGAAGTATTCTATACTAGTACAAGTGAAGTTGACAAATTACTGAATATAGCAGAATCAAATTTATCAAATGTAACAAGTGTACAACCGTTAGCTAGAGGAAATCTTAATCCATCAGAATTAGGTTCAGCTGAATCATCAGCTAAAGCAGCAGCAGCAGAATTAGCCTTATGGACTGCATCAGTTAATAATCATATGAAAGAACTTCAATCATCTGCTCAACGATTAACAAGTATTCAATCAATTTTTCAAGAACTTACTCATATTTCACCTTTAAATTCTTCTGATCAAATAGTGAATACATCTAATGAAGTATTAATGAGTTCAGAAATTATTAAAGCACAAAATAGAATTATTTGTTTATGTAGAAGGCAAAAAGCTTTACAAACTGCATTCACTACACATTCTGAATCATTAGCTACATTAAAAGATTATCTATCACGTTATCTTAATCTTGTACCTGGTATAGATGCACATATAACAGAAATTGAAAATATCGCTGAATCATTAACTCGTACATCACCAATTGAATCAATAAAAAATTTAGAAATATTGCGTGAAATGCATAATACTCGTCAAACTATACATAATACAAAATTTACTGAAGATCGTAATCAACTCCTTTGGTTGGCTGCTAATTTAACCAGTTGGTCTCATTTGAAAGTATGTTTTATTTTTTTTCATTAAATATTGATTTCATATTGATATTCATCACAGATTGTTATCAGTTAAGGAAGCAGTGTAAACCTAGGATAGCTGTTTCGACTCAATATGGCACTCCTCAGCAAATGATGCATACTACCTTGAAAGTATAATCCCTGTTACCTTCAAAATACATTACTGTGTAGTGCTCATTAGTGACATGCTTCGAGATGAATATCTTGAAGTTGTAATGAGACCTGTGGGGTCAATCAGTCGGAAATGAAGCGGATGCAAACTGATGACTTTGGGAGGGGGGATAGTCATGCTATGTGGCGAATTGACAGAAGTAGGAAACTGTAGACTACTGAATTTTGACCTAATAGCTGAACGGGAAACGCGTTTGCTGTGACACCTGAAGATTCCGAGTTCCATCCATATCGAGGTCTTGGGTGCGTACCGCTGAGGTGTTGTCCAGTACTAGTTAGGCGAAACAGCTGTCCGGTGCTCCCATTGCTTCTCCAACTGATGTCAGTTTGTGATGAATATCAACCTGAAATCAATAAATAAGTCTCCGCAAAACTCAAGATTGAATTAAATTTCTGAGTGAGATAGAAGAGTTATTATTCTAGACGATAACACTTCATGCTTTCAATGGTTCGCTTTCCCATAACCGGTTTAAAACAACCTTGATATCATTGCCATTCAACATACTACTCAGCAATCGTGTTCAAAGCAACGTTCACTAGGATGAAGGTACATCCAACTGACGAGTCCTAAATAGGACGAAACACGAGTAGTGAATTCTACTGCTAGCTACTATCCATAATTATGTTGTCTAAATGTACTTATGGTATAACGACTGATTATGTTACCTTGAGAGATGCAGTTGACTTTTAATCCGTGGTCCCATTAGTCGGAAGTCGAGTTTTCGGAGGTGTCAACTACAATGTTTTGCGTCAAATCTCAGTTGGAATAGAGATTAAGGTGTACTTGAATATCTTAAGGAAATATAAAACTTAACCTTAGATTTATCTATGTTTCTACTGTCGCAGGAATTTTCATACTTTGACGAAAGACTTTATTTATTTCTTCTAACATTGTTTAACGATTGGTTTTCATCCCATCGAGTTACAATTTATGATGAGCACACTCCATCTTCTGTACCTTTACTACACTGATCGGTCGACCAACTTAACTTACTTTGTAGTATGTACACTTTAGTGTAGTGTCGGAATTTCATTTCAGTGATCGACTATATTATAGTCAAGTATATCTACATGTGAATCTCAGTGAAATCGCATCAAGTAAAAATTTGACTTAGCACCATGTTTACTTATCTGTTTTGAGGTGAAATTATGCACACACTCATATACGTTTGAAATGACTGACCAGATACTTTTGTATGCAGTTAGCTAATATTCAGTGGTATTTATCTGATGTACCGACCAATTATGGTACTCTTCTGAAAGTAGTAAACTGAGACCAAGGATAAAGTTAGGGTTGCATTAACATGAGCATAGGCTTACCATTTTGATGAAATTAATTTGCAGTGGAATGCGACAGCCACCCACAGTTTATAGCACTACACTTATTGTCTCAACGGTAGGATTGCTTGCTTGGCAGTTGAACCTTGGTAGATGGAGTCGGGGGTTTAAACGTATGATGAATTGGTTGAAGGTTCACTGCTAAAGCTGATGAGCTACCGTATGTAAAGAAACCTTGGGTCATAGTTATCGTGACCTTCTAGGTTTCCATACGATGAATGGTATTAGAAACAGTTAGGAACCTGTATGCCAATACAGACTAATCGATTCAATCCACCAACGACGTAGAATTACAAGCCATAAAATTACAACTATCCGCGTCCCACAAAGGAGTGATTATCGCGACTCAGTGGCCTAGTGGATAACGCTCTGGTGATTGAAGTGACTGGTCCTGGGTTTGTGCATTAGTGGGAACAAAATTGCTCACTGGGAGACAGGTACATCCGTCTGGCGAGTCCCAAATTGGACGAAACGCACTCCTGTTACATCATTGGTAGTTTTGTATCTAGTTAGTTACAAGTGATGAAGACAAAATGTCACAACTTGCCTATGAAATAATAGTAATAATGGAAATAATAATAATAAACGTAATGTATTTTTGAGATGAATGGGGGTTTTTGTATTTTAGAAGTAGTATTCATCATGGACTGACGTCATTTGGAGAACTATTGAAAACCTTGAAGCACTGGATAGCTATTTCGTCCTGGCATGAGACTCTTCTGCAGCGCGCACTCATGTCTCCATCGGGGCTTGAACCCATAACCTTCAGGTTCCGCTGCAAGTACATTGCCATTGAGCCACTGGGTCGAAATCCAATGGCTAAATGGATTTGAGGTCATGGCTGGGCATTGCTGTAGAGTCCACATAGTCAGCAGAAATGGCTATTCAGTGCTCCCAGATTTTCAGTGGCTCTCCAACTCATGTCAGTACATGATGAATACTCACTTTAAGCGCAAGAAGATTAGATTAATTTATAAATGATAGTTATTTCACTGCAGTTTGGAACTCTCCAATAGTTCTTATCCCGTGATCCAAGTGGAAGGGGGAGGGGAACAATGGGACGTTTAACCGTCAGACCTCACGCAGACCACTTCACCACTTAGTCAACAGCATTGAAACGCAACAGTTAGCGCACATTCAGTCACTGTTATCAACACTAATTCATCCATATATTTGCATAGAGTCGAAGGTGTTGAAATGTTAGAGACTCTTAAAGTATGCAGTAAACACACCTCTTTAAGTGCTTTTTAGTTTTCAAAAATTCAGTTCATAATGAAAATCAGCTTAAGAACGATTGAATCCCCTGTAAATCATCTAAGAATATTCTCTAGTAACATATTGTATTCTTTTGTGTTTTTTTTTATTTCCACTTTGTTGTTAACCTTTCTTTGCCTCCATGGTCTATAAAGGAAGCCAATGAAGCATTGCAAACACGTTGGGAGAGTATCAATTATTGGTTGATTGAAGAATCTCAATATCTGGATGATTTATACAATTTATGGTCAGTATGGAATAAAGAATCAGAACAATTTGAAACACAATTAACTAATATAGAGAAAGAAGTTGATCAAGAATTGAATAATATTATTGAAATAATAAATCAAAAAGTGAAAGAATCCACTGATCCATCTTCTTCATCGTCAAATAATTTAGATTTGGATTCAAGAGTTAATAAAATTTCCACTTATCAAGATCGTATTCTAAGTGCAGAATCATATTGGAAGGCATTCAGTTTTAAAACTGAAAAATTGCTAAAACAACTACTTGGACAGAGTCAAATTCAATGTCGTACAATATTATCGATAGATGAAACAAAGTCAATTAAGTCAACTAGTAAACTTTCCACATCTAATAATTCACAGTTTACTAATGTTGCCATCAGTCCACATAGTATTGCAACTAGACATAGAGAATTAGAAGAACGCTTGAAACGTGTTAAATTACAATGTGAAAAATTGAATAATGAATTAGAAAATCAATTAGATGCTCGTGATCATTTGTTCCGTGATACTGATCGACTTGCTCAATGGGTTATGTCAGCTGAAAAACGTTTAACAAAGTTGACACGTGTATGGGTTGCTGCAAGACCACCACTTTTAAGTAATAAATCCTACGGTATACTGAATAAGCCATCATCAATAATGAAGCAAAGAAATGGTAAGTAACTACATCACCTACTTTGACTTATTATTATTGACATGCAACGGTTTCTTACAAAGGTTAAGCGTAATCATGTCATAGTCTCTGCTTTGGTGGAGGTGACTGAAGTTTATGTAATGCTGAGACTATAGTCTATCACCTTTGTGGTTTAACTGTTGAATTCAACTTAAACTAACTTCATCATTGTTCTCTCTGGTTCGCGCATTTCGAAATGAGTAACATCTCAAACCTCCATTAAAGCAGCAGGGTTTGAACCCGTCACCCACTGGTTGAAAGTCAGTTAAACCCAATGAAACGTGATTCTTCTCCCTATGTTCTCGTTATTGAGCATCGGTGCTGTATGTATGGAAAGCATGCGACCATCTGATTAGCCTCTGTGAGGTTCAACGCAACTAGAATGATACAAGTGTTGGGATTTTCAACACAGGCCGTCTGAATGTAGCAAACTAATCAATCGTTTGAAGATAAAATGCAAAGTCCAATCAGCCTTGAAAAAATGAAATTTGTCATCATGTTGAATGGTAGAAATAGGTCGATCCATATTTCAACCCTATGAGGAAATTCGTATTTGCTGTCTGTGAACGTGACTAATGCTCCCTCAGAGATTTAAACTAGCACTGCCTACTGTGATACACTTAAAAATATTCTTACTAATGTATTTAGATCACAACTGTTCCATTGTGGAAATCGACGGAGTAAGTGATCGTAAAGATACTTTAGGAAAGGAAGAATACCTCTATACGTTTACAACACTCTCTCTGAGGATGTTTTTTACTAACCAATATTGAAAGCGTTGGAATGCAATCATCTTTTTTTTGTTGTTAGGAGTCGATAGACGGCAAGCCGTTTCTGACCTATACATCATCAAACTTGTCACAATCATTAAAGATCTTTACTTGAACTCATGCAACCGTCTTAAGGGCTTATGGAGAGTTGATGTCTGATTTAACGAAAACTAGTAGTGTCCACCAAAGATGCTCACTATCACTGTCCCTGTTTAACCTCGTTACAGACGTACTAATTGACATAACTTTAGGTACATTTGGTGACACAGAGATTATCTACTCCATGAAGGTTATCTCGTTGACTTAGAGTATCCGGACGATATTGTCCTGCTGGGTGAAAACGCTGACGCAATGCAGGGTCTTGTGAACGCGTTGTGCAGCAATTTAAGTGTCTTTGGCTTGCGTCTCGCACCTCTCAAGGGTAACATGGTGCTCCAGGGCGGGTCCGCCGCAAGTACTCACGACTTAATGATTGGGAGTTAGGTGATGGAATGTGTCAACCACTCCACTAACTTGGGTTGGTTGCTGACAAAATCTCTGCTCGGATACACAAGGCCAGTTTGGCATTTTCCAAACTACGTCATCTGTGGCACCGACTAGTGAGATATCCGAATATCTGTCAAAGACGAATGTATCGTACTCCAGTTCGTTCTTCTGTGTTCTACGTTTATGAGAAATGTCTGTTAAAAGTCGAAGATATCAAGCGATTACAGGTTTTCGATCACAGATGTCTTCGTAGCGTCGCTCGCATTCGATGGAATCACTGTGTGAGCAGTCTTGATGTCAGGCGAAAGGTACTAGGTAGGACAGGCAGTTCAATTAATAACGTTGTCAGCCTTCATAGCCTGAAGTGTCTTGGATATTTGTCATGCTTGCCCATGCCGTTCCATTGCCTACCTTCACGTACATTACTAGAGAAAGTTCGATTAGTTTGAAAGAAGCTTCAGAGTACCCTGAGCAACATGTTGCACCAGTCCATGAAGTCTCCTACTGTTGGCTTATCAAGTCGTCGATATACCTGTTAAGCCCTAACTGATAATTGTTAGACTTCGTATGGCACTCAGTTCTTAGACCACATCAACTACATCGATTTTTATTTGGTAGTCAATTTCTGTAAACAACCTATCCCAAGGAATGTTGGAACAGTAAAGCTTTAAATTGATTTCAGGGAATATCAAGCTGATTTTTAGCACTTCTATCGCTCTATATTAATAAGTTACTGTCTTCTCTTTGCAACATTCACTATGACATAAGCAGACCCAGCTGACGAGTTCCCACTGCGACGAAGCGCGCAATATGTATCCTATGTTCTCCAACAGTCAAGTTAATTTCTATCCAAATAATAAAGCGTAGACAGATTAATTGTAGCTGAAAACGATGAATTATTTGAGACAAACCTTCGACAGGATCAAGTTCTCTGGAATATAACGAAAAGTCCGCACTTATTCATTGGAAAACAAAAGGAGGTTACAGCAAAGATTATCATGTATTCGGTGACTTATTTTCATAGCTATGTACTCGTAGATATATATAAACAAAGTGATAGAATGTCCCAGACAACTTTCGATCAAAGTTCAAAGTTAATCGACAAACGTATAAAGGGAATGAAATCATATTACGTAACACGACGTGGTCTCAGTAGTTCTTTTCGGTTGATAATCATCACGGGCTAATATCACTTAGAGAACCATTGGAAACCTGGGATCACTGGACAGCTGTTTTGTTCCATTGTAGGACTCTCTGGTAGTGCGCAACCATGACCCCGTCCTGGATCGGAACAGGAACCTTCTGGTTCCGCAGTTAACACTTTGCCATCGAACCACTAGGTCGGAATTCATTAGCGTGACCTCCATTTAGTACCGTTATTGAATAACTGTCCAATTTGGTTTTTCCCCACCAATGAGGACTAGAGAGTAATTCAATTTGTAGGTTTGTCGGGATTCATTTATTGATTGATCATTGAAATCTGACCCAATGACTCAATGGCAACATGATCTCTGCGGAACCTGAAGGTCCTGTGTTTGATCCCTTGTAGGGTCATAGGTATTCGCTACTGAGGAAACAGACAAGAAACAGGATGTGGTCAGTTTTTATGTTAAGTGCTGATTTTTGAAATAATGAAACTGATTCCAATAAAATATCATCCATCATAGCGTTAACTGAAATCCATAACAATTATCTGATGTTCGGTTATCGATGTACGTGTTATTCCTTACGAATAAGCTTCTATCTCTGTTGAATGCTGCGGAACACGTTATGTCTTAGGAATATACTCTGTCAAGAGATCACTTTAGCATATTTAATGTACAAACAGATAGACAGAGACGAGATCAAAGTAGAGCCTAGTGCACAAATGCATCACTACAAGTTACTACACTTCATAGCAGCATGCAAAGAACAAGTGGATAAAAAAGACTGATGTCAAAGTAAACAAAACTATGTGAGACAGTAAACTATTTGCCAATACAAGTGGGTTAGTGAGAATATTCAAGCTTTAGAAGACGTCAAGGAATGAATACATCTGTGCCATTGTGATCGATTTTCAATCATGTGACGAGGAGTCCTCAACCACTAATTCATACCGTCCCGGGGATCCTAGTCAGGTAGTTTACACCTCTCTACACGACTCAGGCCAACAGTAGGAGACTTCATGGACTGGTGCAACATGTTGCTCAGGGTACTCTGAAGCTTCTTTCAAACTAATCGAACTTTCTCTAGTAATGTACGTGAAGGTAGGCGATGGAACGGCATGGGCAAGCACAACACATGTTCAAGCCACTTCATTCGATGGAGGTTCACAACCTTTTTCACCCTGAACCATTTTGCAGCTCAATGGAATGGATTACAGTATTCAAAGTCAAATGATGTTCGACATATTAGAGGTGCTTAACTTTGGGTATTTAGGCAAATTGCTAATTTCTGTTTTGTCTTTGACTGATGGATAGTTGGTCTATCCTTATTTTAAAAATAGACATTTTCAGCAAAGAAGGTTTTTTTTCAAGGAATAATTTTCAATCGTTTTGCTGAACCTATTTATACTCATGGCAAACAATTCAGATAATTATTAGCCAATAGGTTGGTATCAGGTAATTATCATCCAGAAGGTCAACGATTCAAATGGTACTACTATTCAAACTTTCTTTTCAACTTATGTAATCGTTTCACGAAACATCCTTCTGGAGAACATCAAGAGATAGCTTCTAGTAGTTATGGATATTGGTGAGCAGTGAAGTCCGGGACACTCTTTTCGTTTTGTTTAGAACTCACCAGCTGAATATACTCACTTCTCAGGGAGTGATTTTGTTCTTTTGGGGGTTCGGAGCCAGAAACCATCGCTCAAATCTTCAAAGCCTTATTCACTAGTCTACTAAGCCACGATAGCCACTCCTTGTACGATAGGTATAATTTGACGATGTCTATATAATTGACGAATCCTAAGTAGGGAGAAACGTACATCCTGGATTTCGCTGCTAGCCTCTACCCATCATTACTGTCTGGAATTATCATTTATACAGAGTCATCCACTAAGGGAGTCAGATGACAGTGGTGACCGTTCACTTCGGTTCGATCAAAGACAGGAAGTTAAAAGTTATAGAATTGGTTAGAAAAGCATACTATCCAAGACAATGAAGGTGTCTATTGCTTTCAGAAGACGAAATGTGTTATGATGATTAGTTTTAGGAAATTGTATTCTAATATATGTATAGGAAAGAAAGAGAAGGGAAATTTTCATGAAATTGATAATTTCGCACAAGAATAGTAATGGTAAGACAGTAAAATAAGTAAATACGATAGAGCGATTTGACGTCTGGCTTTTGTACACATTTGAACTCAAAACAGAAGGGAAGGTGATTGACTCATCAGTCAGTCGTTTAGCATCAACAGGGGACCTAGCATTACTGCGTAACAGTCCATGCTGAGGCACATTTCAGCATATCAAGGTCGAAGACAAAACGAAGAGAGAGATTAATCATAAGTCGTAGGAAGTTGGAAAAAAAAGAACGTAAAGAGTGGAGTTCGATAAAACGATTAAGATGATGTGCTCTATGCATCTGAGCTCTCATGAAGTCGATTCTAAGCTATATATCGCATAGCATCTGCAATTATCTATTTCGGTCGTCAAGCAAACCTCAACCAGACAGTCTACATTTCTCGATGTGATTCATACTAAAAGTCAGAGGTTTCATTGACTGATACCATATTTTAATCCAGCCTCTTCAACCTCTTTCCAGCCTGGAGCTACTTTGGCGAACACTGCATGACTGGGTGGACCGTGATTAGGCCTGCGTAGCACAATTCAGCAGTGTGAGTTGGCGAAGACTCACAATCTCATTATCATCTGCCCCAAATTCTACGCCTGAAGTCTACGTTACTTACTCGGTGGGACCACAGTACATCGCCTGTGGTACAAAGTCCAAGATAGTTGAACTCCTGAAGCCTTTCCACATCCTATTTCTTTATTGGCTATATTTCACAGCTGTATAATAGACGACTATAACGAGCTGCAGCACAGTACACTGGGTACATAAGCATATCAACTGAAGCAACAATTTCTCCTGAATGCATCCTTGAAGTAATCACCAGTTGTATAAGATGAATCAGAGTTAATTAGCCAAGGAAGTCGTCCTCATTGCTTTCAACGATCAATTATTTATCTATATGGTTATTGAACACAATGTTTCATTCTTGATTTCCTTCTCAAAAGTCTTGACAGAAGGATGGATATCTCGGAGAAGTTTTTTCAGAGTTATTTTCTTTTGCAACTAATCTATTGGATCATTTGTATGCATAACCACCGTTGCCTTCGTTGTTTAGACCGTATTCCGTGGTGTCACCATGTGAGTAACGCAGACGTCAGGTGTAAAGTTTTAGGAAGGATAGGTAAGTCAGTTGACATGGTTGTGAATCTTCATCGACTGAGATGACTGTCTGGCTGACTGTGACATGTGATACGTATGCCTAGTCGCCGTGTGTGTCGTCACACAATGTATGTTGGCGAAGTAGGTTGAGGGTGGAAAAGGCTTGGTGGGCGAGACTAAAACATGTCATAAATGTATGAAGTTACTGATTGTTGGTTTTAGCGATGTGTGGCGATGCAGACAGGTGGTTGGGGTCCGTGATGCAAGTGGAACCAGAACCGATGTTAGTGGTGGAGATGTATACACACACTATCCTCACCTTAACAATGGTATACCGAATGTCAGCATTTTCTCATTTTTCCTTTGTCTCTTTTCGTACTTTATACTTTTGACTGAATTTTCCTTTGTTCATCTTCCACTTGACTGCCTTTTTACTTGATGATGTGTTGATATGAGGTGTGGCAATTTGAAGTGTTACGCAGTAATGTCTGGTCCCATGTTGATTTGGATGCATGGATGGATGCATCCTTCTGATTCTTTACCAACTCAATTTTATCCATATTAAGGAATTAATACACTGTTTAGCCTAAATCTAGTACTGTAAATCCATTCTTAAAGAAAACCATCATATGGGATAATCAGTTTACAAATGATTTACAGAATGAAACGGTTTACGTTGACATTTTTCACTGCTGAAAGTAGTATTTCAACTGCCCAACTGTGATGCTAGTCAACAAGGTTTCTATTGGGAGCCACTCCGCAGCTAAGATCACAAGGTTAAGCCTCCGACAAAGAAATGTCCAGATACACGCCTGATGGGCTAAGCCTCAAACTAACGCAATCTAACTATTGAAAAGTTTTTTTTGTAGGCTGGTATTCATCATGGACTGACATCAGTTGGAGAAACATTGGAGACTTGGGAGCGCTGAACATCTGTTTCATCCTAGTATGGGACTCCTTAGAGCCAAACTCGGTGGCCTTGAGGATAAAAACTCAATGGTGACATTGAGCGATGGTCGCACTACGTCGTGAACTTACAGAAGTTGGAACTATGGACCATTGGATTCCTAAGCAACGTCTCGGAACCTGATGGTCCTGAGTTCGATCTCTGGCGTGGTGGGGTCACTGATGCTCACTGCTGAGGAGCCTCATGCGGGGATGAAACGGCTCTTCAGTCCTTCCGGTTTTCCAATGTTCCTCCAATTGATGTCAGTTCATGATGAATACCAACTTAAAATCAATAAATCCCCACAAACTGCCGAATTGTATTGAAAAGTTGTTTAGTGGGATAAAATCACCATGTCTCTTCTTTCACAAAGCATCTACAAGGTGAAGATCCGAATTGTTCTTCATATTTATTATGAAATTAACCATGTTTAGTTTCTCTGAAAGACAAAAACTATGTGCATTTAGCCTGTGATGTGAAACATTTTCCTGGTAATTTTTATACTACTAACGAGTAATCTGTACTACCACTTCAAAAATTACTTTCTGTTGATACATTTTAGATCAAATTGAAACGGATAAACAACAATTGATTGGTGTTGATTTAACAGAAGCCTATGAACAGTTAAAAGCATTACTGACAGAAGCTCGTGGTCCACGAATGTCAGCTGTCAAAGAATTAGCCTGTCAAATTGAAGGTGAAGATGTTGATTTAACTGAATTATCCAGTAGAGCAAGTAGTAGTAATAGTCGTCCAGATAGTAATCGACCTGGAAGTAATAGTAGTCGACCAGCTAGTGGTCGATCACGTAACCGACGTTCCGTATCATTTGATCTATTAGGCAAAGAAGGCAGTTTTGATTCAACTACAGATGAATTAAATCGTCAATTACATGATCGATTAATTCGTTTATTAGGAAAATTAAATCGATTAATTCATCGTCTTGATCAACGTACTATACTTTGTCGTTTAACTATTGAATATGAATATTGTCGTCAAGGTTGGATACAAGAGATTAATGCATTAAATTCACGTTTAAAAACATTTACAAATAATTCAGTTGTTGTTGAATTAAATTTAGACAAGAAAAAAAATATTCATTGGAAAAATCTGGTGATGATGATGTATGTAAAGGTGATAATGAAGACAAGGAGTTTGTAACAGAAAAACGAGAGGAATTTAATATCACTAGTAATACTACTACTACTACTACTACTACTACTACTACTAAGGCGACCACACATGATGATGATAAGTCAGTTGATCCACTTAGAATTGCTACAGACGATGGTGAACGTATTCTATCATGTGAACAAACAACACCATCTGGTATTGCTTATCAATCAGAATATAATTATTTAAAGTTAGAAATTGATAAATTAAAAGATTTAATCAATAAATGGCAAGTAACCCTTAATTTTACTCAATTTGATAATATTGAAAATGGTTTTGATGAAACATTGATTACTTCTAATATAGTTGGACCGAAAGAAGTGGATGTAGCTGCTGTTTCAACTGGTTTAATGTTTGTTACTAATGTGGATTCAAATTGGTCATTTAGTTCAGGAGTTTCATCAACAACTGGTATTTCTATTTCTACATCTACTACTGGTACTACTTCGACTAATTTTGATCAAATTGCAACTTTACAAGTGGAACCATTTAGTTTTTTTGTAGATATTGCTAGGTTATCATCAGAATGTGATAAATTACACGGTAAACTTAAAGCTAATCTTCTTCATGTAATTGGTATCTGTGAAAATTGGCAACAATTGATTGAAGGTCGTGATCGATTATTAGATCAAGTGAAAGATTTAGAAAATCGATCTATAGAAGCATGTTATACTACTAGTTGTTTAGGTGATCCATCAAAAACAGATAAAGCTGTCGGGATTCGATTAATTCGTTTAGGTAATCAATTAATAAATTGGCAAAATGAATTAAATACAATAAGTGATGATAATAATAATAATAATATTTCACAGAATAATGATCATGATATTGTATCGGATAGAACAAATCTACCAAGTGAAGCTGTTGTTATTATTCAACGATTAAATGATCTACGACGTGCAGGTGATCGAATTGTAAGCTTAACTCCAGCTCGTGGAATAAATGTGGATAGTTTATATAATACTACAATTCAAACAATTCGTTTATGTGCTATTCATTTAGGTGAAATTGGTCGACAGAGTATTTCATTATCTTATGCTTTATCAAAACGTGAAGAATGCTTAAATCAGATAAAACAATTTCTAAATGAAATAGAAAAACAAAGTGGTCTTATTCCAATTAATGATTATCAATCAATTTTTGGTAATTTATTTAATGAAAATCAACAAATTACTACAGAAATACAATCAAATGAACAAATCAATAAATCAATTATAAAACAACCTATCCCAGAAGAAATTATATCTCAATTAACAACTTATGAATATATGGATATATGTAGATTATTAAGTGTAGATAGTGTAAATGAAATAGATCAAAAATTATTGCCTATTCAAATTGCTTTAGATTCATTATTGAGTAAACAAGATACACTTTTTCTTCAATTACATCAATCATGCTCAATTGCTTTACAAACTTTTCATGATTTTCATATAGATATGTGTAAATATGAAAGAAAAATATCCCTTACAGATAAAGATAAAAAAGAACAACAACAATCATCATCATTATCGGAAAATTCTTTTAAATTAGATCCATTCCGTGATTCTGTAATTAATCGTTGGCAAAGATTACGATTTCTAATGGAGACTGCTATTCAACAATTATCTATTAGACGTGGTGCTTTTATGTACATTGAAAAAGGCTTCAATGAATTAGAATCTTGGCTAGGACCTACAGAATCGATTCTAGAAACATGTAGTTCTCAGTTAGCAGCAAGTGCAGCAGCTACAGCTATTCTCTTACCTTTAAATATTCCTTCACAACTTCCTACTGAAGAAGAATTAGATTTTTCAGAAAATCCTCAAGCAATTCTTGATACATATACAACTGAAATTGTATATTACTCAAGTTTATTAAATAGTATAGGTGATCGTATTGGTGCTGATTTAGCTGATCGTTTAACAGTTAAAAAGTCATTCGATAGTCTAGAATGGCGTCTGCATAGATTACAAAAAGCAGCAGATCATTTATTGAATCAATGGAATAATGAAGGTGAACGTTGTGAACAGTTGAAAAGAGATATGCGCAATTTTGATTCACATCTTGAATCAATTTCTAAAGACTTGACATCTTGTTTTGATCCGACTGTTTCACAGATTTCTGAGGATTTAACTAGTATTTCACAATCACATGATACAAATGATACAAATAGTATGCGAATAATCATCACACAAGCAACTAATTGTCTTCATCAATTGTGTAAAGCACAGTGTATTCGTCATCGTTTAACAAGACTTCGAGATTATTCTTTATGGTTGCATAGTCGAGCACATTTATTAGCTATAGGGCCAAGTCGTTATCATCATCGGTCTATGCATACTATCACAGATGAAGAAGGATCCAATGTACCAGATGAAAGTAGAGTCTATCATCAACCGTTCACTGCAGCTGTACTCCTTGAAAGTGAATCTGTTTCATTAAATCATCGTTTATCTGGTCTTACAGTAAGATCTACAAAATCTGTTCATATATTACACACTAAAGTTAATCATTTATTTCTGGATGCTGCACAAAATTTTCGTCTTTGGTTAGATGATTTACAGTCGAAACGGAATGAATCTCAATCAACCACACTTTCAGTTTATATAATCACCAAGCCAACTGATATCAACGAATCAGTTCAGATTCTATCCTTGGAGATAATATCGTCTAATTTGGATAAATTATATGCAACTACACAAGTAAATGGCTTTTTCTTTGTTTATACGAGTATTTGTAAGCATTCCTCATGCGTGAGATAAGGTCACTATTTGGGAAATGTTAATATTTAGCGTAGTAAAGTGGTAGATAAAGAAGTTGGGTCAACCCATGAGATCATGAAGTTGTACCGACTGAGTCGACTTGAACATTCAGTAGTGTACAAGCCAGGTCTTATACACAAACTTGAATTAGTACAGCTACTTGTCGAGTTCTGTGCCCATCTATTTCTCTTAAAATATTCATCAAGTGTTACCGATTTGTGAATTTATAATGGTTTCACATCTATCCTTCTACAATATACAGGCATTATGGGATAACAGATGATTTATAAAATTTTTCCGAATAGACTGAGATTTTTTATTTCTTAGATAGGTGGGGGTAATGACCATACATCAAGAAATAAGAAGATTAACGTGTGATAACAGTGTAACTCAACAATTACATGAGGGTTTATTCGCTAGACAATGAGCTACACATTTATGCGAGTACTGGTGCTACTATCTAGATGTCTGAACCTCGATAGGTGGAGGGGTATTTAAAGGTTTAATGTAGTGCTTACAAGTCGAGTATCTAGGCCAAATGAGTTACAACCCCCACTTATAGTTGTATGCTTGATGGTAACAGTATCTATCCCTTTAAACAACATAGCACCGAATCTGTTGTATACAAAATTTACCACTGATAAGTTTTGTTGTTTCATACCTTAATCTCAATCACCTCTGTTATAAGGGTATACAGCTATTTTAACTGATTTACCTAGGCGTATTCTCTGCAGTATTCGTATACTGATTCCGCCTTTTCCCTTCACCACACACAAAAGTAGTTATGGAGATAGTGGTGATCGGCCACTCGTAGTTTTAAACTCTCCACGTTTCTTGCTATAGAGCAACTTTAAACGCAGCCTACTAGACCCTTCATAGTTATTGAAATATTACCGGTGCAACAAGTGGTACTCACCAGTTAGAACCACTTGTTCTTGTTTTTATTCGTAGCATAACTCCAACAACCATCAGCCAATCAAGGTCAATATGACTTGTGGAGTGAATGGAATTATTAGACCACTTTTGAGTTAACGATTTATACATAGTAAGTAGTGAAAGCATCCAAACTCTTTCATATTCTCGTTTATAGGTTTAAGATTCTGATCTGATTGACTACATAAAAATTCCAGTTTTAATCTATTCACAACTGATATCTATAACTTATAAATTTTCTCCTATATTTTATGATCTATCACCTACCTCAATGTGCAATTCTAGCAGAAGTTGAATTAGACTGGAGACGTTTCAGGATTGCCAGGCCAAAACGTGGTACCAGTCCATGAAGTCCGTGACTGTTGGTTTGAATCATTAGACTAGCCAGGCTTTAGACATGACCGTGGGTGTATCGACTAAATATTCACAATGCGCCAGGTTCTAGAAAACAGGCAGGCTTACCGACACCCGACAATAGCTGTATTTCCCAACCTGAAGGCAGCATTCGACTCTATTGGTCGGGAAGTCTTATGGCAATGTCTCTCACTGAAAGGCATACCGAGTAAGTACATCACCTTGTTGAAGGTTCTCTACTCGGACACTAGTGGACGTGTTACAGCCTATAGTGAGATGTCCGAGAAGCTATACTCGTCAAGCGATGTCCATCAAGAGTGCCCACTATCTCCATTCTTATTCAATTTTATAATAGACCTTTTACGGAGGTCTCCCTCTCGTCACCTGATTACACAGAGGTTGATGTAATCGCAGGAGATTTTTCTTTGGACCTAGAATATGCAGATGACACTGTCCTATTAGGTGAAAATGCTGACAAGATGGAGAGTCTTCTGAACACTTTGATTGACAATTTGAGAATGTTTGGGATGCGTTTCTCGCCAACTAAATGCAGTTTGTCACTCCAAGACTGGCCTTCAACGATGCCTTGGCTAACAGTAGGGAGTGAAGTGGTTGAGTGAGTTGAATACCTCACTAACTCGGGAAGTCGGATCATCTCTGGTGCATTGGTTAGTGAGCGGTGAAATCTCTGCACGAATACAAAAGGCTTTTGCCAACTTACACGATTTGTGGCGTGGCCACGATATCCGTTTGACTATTAAGGGTCATGTGTACTGTACTGTGCTGCAGTGAAGTCTGTTCTACTGTATGGCTGTAAAACATGGCCATTGAAGGTGGGAGACATGAGAAGGCTTCAGGTGTTTGACCACCGATGCCTTCTTAGTATAGGCTGTATTCCGTGGTGTCACCACTTGAATAACTCAGACGTCAGGAGTAGAGTTTTAGGAAGGAGAGGTAAGTCAGTTGATTCGGTTGTGAACCTTCATCGACTGAGATGACTGTCTGGCTGACTGTGACATGTGATACGTATGCCTAGTCGCCGTGTGTGTCGTCACACAATGTATGTTGGCGAAGTAGGTTGAGGGTGGAAAAAGGCTTGGTAGGCGAGACTAAAACATGTCATAAATGTATGAAGTTACTGATTGTTGGTTTCAGCGATGTGTGGCGATGCAGACTAGGTGGTTGGGGTCCGTGTGCAAGCGGAACCAGAACCGATGTCATTGGCGTAGATGTATACACACACTATCCTCACCTTAACAATGGTATACCGAATGTCAGCATTTTCTCATTCTTCCTTTGTCTCTTTTCGTACTTTATACTTTTGACTGAATTTTCCTTTGTTCATCTTCCACTTGACTGTCTTTTTACTTGATGATGTGTTAATATGAGGTGTGATAATTTGAAGTGTTATACAGTAATGCTTTGTCCCATGTTGATTCTGATTCCGGTTATGACTTAGACTAACTGACTGGGGTTTTCACATTCAACTTGGTTGTGACTCCACAGTCATCGTTTCTCGTTTGAACTGAGAAATTTCTTTTAATTTTTTCGGTAAAATCAGTAATCTCTTATGATAATTTTTGTCGTTCCAAGCGTCTGCAACCTCATACACAGTAGTATTATCCACTAGGCTAACAGTTTGTACGAGTCAATTTTTGTCCGATAGGTGTTATCTTTCACTTGGATTTCGTAACTTCATCTCACACCTTCCGCTACCAACCTCTCTTGTAAACAAATCAAAATGTAAATCATGGCAACATTGAAGCAATACGACAAGAATTGTGAATCACTAACACTGACCTCATCATTTCAATTGAATAAAGTGGACAACAGGAGTATACAAAATCTTAGCTACTCTTAATACACTATTTTCTCATAGGGAGCTATGGGTCACGGGTTCGAGCCCTGTTCAACCTATCGAGGTTTCGACAGACAGGAAGTATCACTAGCCCTCACACATTAGGTGTCGTTCATTGTCCACTATACGAAGGTGTATAAGGTTGCTGAGCACATTTCAATACTTTTTTCTTTCTAGAAGGCAATAATGAAGCAAATTCTTCTCTGGGTAGTGTTATAGTTCCCTTATGACATGGTCATCCAAGGACAACTAACTTCTCATCATTTACATTACTATCGTCCATTTGTAATGTATTTGCAACATGAAGTAATGTGTTGAAACTATTTTTTTTTATTAATATCTACAGGAATTGACTAAGAAGACTCAAGAGGGAGATTCTAAACTTGAGTACTGAAAGATTTAGCCAAAATTATGATACGTTCACAATTCATTGATACTGAACCGAATATGGATGATCAAGCAGAAGTTGATCACGTAAATGTAGACAGCCAACCGCAAACACCTGAATCAAATTACCTACAAATTGATAAAATCCAATCGCTAACAGCTGAATCACTTTTAGAGTCAGTAGAAGATCAAGTGGAGAAGTTCACAACAAATATTCCGGACACTGATGCCAACTGTAGCGACCCATTAGCGTTGTTAACAAACCTAACCTCCGATTCCTTGTTGTTTACTCACTCCAGTTCAGCGAGTCAGTTGATTCGACTATGGGAGAACCAGTTAACAAATATGTGTAGTCAATTGAAACAATTCGAAACAAGACTGGATGCAGCACGAAAAATTGCTGAACAATCTCGAGAATATGAATGTTCATTGGTCAGAAACTTGATGAATTATGAAAATCAATGCAAACAAATACTTTTTTGGCAAGAAACAATCAATATTGATCTGTGTAAAAACCGTCTTGATGAATTACAAGTAAGAAAACAGCCTATTACACAATTATATGAAAATTGTCTTTCAGTAAATTTACTTATGAACTTTAAGCTACTGAAAATTCGTTCAAGTAGACTGTCTATATTAACTAAACTATTAGATTTTTGATTCCCGGAATAAGAGACCAACTTCATTCGGGCTGGGAACCCGGAGATGGCTGGTTCAAATCCTGTTTTCGTTTGATGTTCATCGTCTTGTTATACGACTATTATTCGTCCAAAGCACAGCCTTATCAGGTCTCATCACGAGATACAGAATGTCATGTTGAGTTTTCTCATATGAAAAGAAAACATCATTGCAGTAATAGCTTTTTTTGTCCTACCTACCAATCTTAAACTGACTTTTTGAGCTGGTATAACCTCAAAAGGAGAGGACTGCACGCAGTGTGAGTCGTCTTGGTCAGCCTGGTAGTGAAGCTGTGCCCCACTACAGGCAAGTATTAGCTCGTGCTTGATAAAATCCAAACATATAGGTATGTAGATGACTTCCTCTCTTCACCACACGTCATTAAAGTTTATTATTTGATACTTGTAATTTCCCATCATTATTCAGAGGCGGACCACTTGATCTTTGTTGGTAGATGGGCTCCTAATTGCATGCCTCGATACTGCCAGACCGAGTGGATAACGCTTTAGCCTTTGAAGCGATGGGTACTGGGTTCGAGTCTCACTGAGAACAAAATCGCTCACTGAAATGGAGATACATCTGGCCGACGAGTCTCAAACAGGATGAAAACCCATTGTGGAGCCCACATGAAGTCACTAACGTGAATATCACGTCATTAAAGTCTATGTATTAAGGCGAAATATTGATCAATGGTGATTTTGTAGTGTTGCATTGTCTCCTACACATTTAATAATGGTTATCAAGTAGGTGGATGATGATTTTTTTTTCAATATTAAGGTATTTTACTTTCTTGCTATGCATTTGGATTTCTTACTTTTCATCTATCTCACAGAACCTACTTGCTCAATCAGAGGAGAGCAAAGCTGATTTGAAACAAGCCCAGGAAACATTTAATCAACTGGTTAAGCTCAGTGATATATCAGCAGCGTACCATGAATCATCAATCCAAGAGTCCGACATACTCATTGAAGAGCCTACTCAAACTGATGATAATGTAAAGTCAAGTAAATTATCGGTTTACAAGTCGACTGTTTTATTGGAAATCGAGTCAAGATTATTCACTGTAATCTCATGTCTGACGAAAGCTATTCATCACATAACCGAGTTGATTTCTGCACTAGACACTCAACAACGCCTATACGATGATGCTAATAGTTGGTTGGAGCAAGCCGCAAGTAAACTTCAAACCATTATGTCGGCGAAACAGAAAACATTTCCTGGGCGTGATACAGCCAAGGAATATCTTGATCTGCTACATGTAAGTTTGTAATGTTTCTACTAATTTGCTCATTGTTTTCTCAGTGAGATTTTCATCTTAGCTATTGGTTTTGAAATAGTCCTATCGAATAAATCGAGAGGTGACTCCATACTGGCTTAAGTTTTGTTTTGTTAAGTCGAAAATGGCTGTTCCTAAACTCCAGTCAAAGTGATACACGAACTCCAAAAATATAGAGCAAAGATATTAAGGTTTGGCAATTAGAATAATACTAATCACCGCCTCCAACTGTGGCGCTTCCATAGCGAAACCGCCAAATCTAATTACAAAGAAAACTAAGTAGGTAATGCACAGTCAAAATTTAGAGCTCATTACTGAAGCAAAGAGGCTAACCATACAAAAATTCAATCCAGGAGACAAGTATAAAGTCAATCAGAATGCGGGTCATATGTGCATAAAGCAGACAGGCATAAGTCTGTAAGAATTATATGAATGCGTCAGGGGAAGTGTCGATGGAACAGAAAGAATAGGATAAGTAAGGATCACATTTCAGATACAGCTTGTTGGGGGAGCGAAGTTGGACACAAAGAAGATAGATAAGCATAACATGTTACAATATGCCTTGTTGATACACAAACATGAAGTTGTTTCCACAATTGTTCCATTGTGGTGGAGTTAAATTGAAATAGTTCAAACAAGTACGGATACCTTGTTCACTGCTTCTCAAGTGGGTCTACGTGACTTTAAAGGCCACTCCAACAACAATTGAAATCATCAACTTGACTTTCCGGATTGATGAAAGCCTGACTTTTCAGCGGAAATAAGGAAGCCTGGATGGCTATTTTAGTTATTGCTATAGTGGTCTGAATGAAAGTCACTCACACCTCTAGCCGGTTAGTCATTGGATGGGATGTACTGGAGTATTTCTGACCCAATAATCCATCCATCCGTCAGATCAACCTAGGACCAGGCATTACTGCGTAACGGTCCAAGTTGCTACACCTCATATCAGTATATCAAGTAAAAGGCAGTGAGGCGCAAGATGAAGATAAGAGAATGCAGTCAAAAGAAGTATAAAGTACACGAAGAAAGAAAGGAAGAATGAGAAAGTGGTGGATTCGGTATAGCGTCGTTAAGATGATAATGTGTGTATACATCTGCGCCACTGACATCGGTTCTCAGCCATATCACCTAGAGTCTCCAAATACTGGTTCTTCTTGTCCCACGGACCCCAACCACATAGTCTGCATCGTCCCACATGGCTCAAACCAACAGTCAGAGACTTCATACATTGTTGCCATGTTTTAGTCTCGCCACCAAGCCTTTTTCCACCCTCAACCTACTTCGCCAACATTCTGTGACGAGGCAATCGATGAATAAGGATACGTAACACGTGTCCCAACCATCTCAGTCGATGAAGATTCACGCTTACTTACCTCTCCTTCCTAAAACTCTACCCTGACGTCTGCGTTACTCACGTGGTGACACACGGAATACGGCCTATACTATGAAGGCATCGGTGGTCAAACACCTGAAGCCTTCTCATGTCTCCCACCTTCAATGGCTATGTTTCACAGCCATACAGTAGAACAGCCTGGACTGCTGTGCAGTATACGTGACCCTTAGTAGACATGGGATATCACAGCAGCGCGTAAGTTGGCGAAAGCCAATCGAGCCTTTTTTATCCTTGCAGAGATTTCATCGACCACTTAGCCACTAGAGTATGGCTGATCCTACTTCCCAGGTAAGTGAAGTGGTCAACACACTCAACCATTTAAGTCTCTATTGTTAGTCGTGGCACCGTTGAAGACCAGTGCTGGAGCAACAATTTGCATGTGGTTGGTGAGTGCTGCGTCCCAAACATTCTCAAATTGCCATTCAAGGTGTCTAGAAGACTCTACATCTTGTGAGCGTCTTCACCTAACAGGACAATGTCATCTGCATATTCTAGGTCTAACGAAAATTCTCCACCGATTAGGTGTGGCGTGAAAGCGTCTATTGATTTGATGAGTGTCCGTAGAGGCGAGGCTGTAGATATAATGGTTATTCTCTCGTGATTTTTAACTAACCAATCATTTGTGAGAACGGATGTGAGGCAATTGATAGTGAGGTAAACAGATGTGTGAGTCAATTATGGTTTGTTTACTAATCTGATAACGTCATGTGAGTTGATAAAACTTCACCGATATAAATTATCTTCAGGATGGATTATTCTCTACAGATTTCATCAGTTATTCAATAGGTATCACTTTCGTATGAAGAATTATAAATCATCCAGTTTTTTTATTCTACTGATTCTGACTACCGGTTTATGAACCTAGTGTCGTTTACCTACATTCCTTCACCACTGCGATGAACGTTTTAACAAAAATTGCTACAGTGTAGAATAAGATTCCCATGATCTTCATAGAAAGCCCTAAATCCGTGCAGTTTTTGCAACCAATCATTTTGTGGCGAAGTTTCGAGCGAAAGCATGCGAACCAACGTATATATATCAAATAAGTGGAAGTGACAAAAATTAATGGGATATTTAAAGGGCCTAGAAATAGTCAAGGCCATTGTAAATATATTTAAACCATTGTATTTTAAGTTGTTATTCATCTTAAACTGACATCAGTTGGAGGAACAAAGGGAACCTGGGAGCACTGGACAGCTGTTTCGTCATAGTATGGGACTCCTCAGTAGTGTGCACCCACTACCACCCCGCTAGGGATCGGACCCGGACCTCCAGGTTCCGTGGCCAGCACGTTACCATTGATCCACTGGGCCAGAATCCAATGCTCCATATTTCCAACTTCTGTTAGTTCACGATTTAGCTCAACCGCCAATCAATGTCATCATTGAGTAACTGTCCTCACGACCATCAGGCTTTGACTCCACAGGTCACGACTTCTCATTAGAACTTCGGGAATACCTCTCGAAGCTAGTTAGCAATTAGCACCAGTTCAATTGAATTTTGAAGGGGTTTGTAAGGATTTGGAAATATTTCAAGTGTTATTCATCGTAGACTGAGATCAGTTGGAAGGACAGTCTTGAGCTAACAGAGGTTGGAAATATGGACGACTGGATTCTGACCCAGTGGATCAATGGTAACGTGCTGACCACGGAACCTGAAGGTCTTGGGTTCGATCTGGGGAGGGCGGAGTCGTGGGTGCCGCACTGCTGAGTCCCATACTAAGACGAAACAGCTGTCCAGTGGTCCCAGGTTTCAATTGTCCCTCCAACTGATGTCAGTCCACGATGAATAACCACTTGAAATATTTCCAAATCTCCACAACTCCCTCAAAATCCATTGTGTTTTGTTATATATTTTTGACGTTGCTATATCGCTTCTGTTATATTGCATTTTCCATTTGTCGAGAAAACTTAATGACCACAAAGATACATCGTAAACAAAATCCAGTTGACAATGTATACACAATTCATTTATGTACGAATCCTCAAAGAGACGAAGAAATTGTCTATTTCGATTGAGTTAGTAACTTACCCCATTCGATAACTGTTTCCCCTACTAGTTGAGGAAGAGAAGAGTTGAGTAGAAGGTGATGCATTGTTCATTACCTGTCAGCCTATGTTCTTGCATCAATTGCACCATTCTAATGTTTAGTTAGTGGTGTTGTGAACCGAGAACCGGAATGCAAGTGTACTACTGGTGTGCTCCAATAGCCTTAATATACCACTGTCAACAACCTTGTCTGGTTGTATTTGTCCTAAGCACGTGATTCGACTGATTCAACCTCAACACTGCCTTGAACGTGATTGGCCAGTCTCGTATGCTCGATCCATTCACACCTATGAGTCACGTGCTTCTACCGTCCCAACCGTGTACATCAGAACTCAGTCGTGTGCTTATCCGCTGTGTATAGTTTAGGCTATTCGATTCATCTGCATATACACAATTGAATTACCTGACTACAACGCCCCATAACTAACCTAGTGGGAAAATCAACTTTAAGGACAAAAATCGGATAATACGCAGTAATAGATTCCACTCATCAGCAATCATCCATCTCCGAACCATAAGTCATACATAAATGGATGAGGGATCAATCGAAAGCTCTTGAACCCAACTACACATTAAGGTTTTCAACGAAGTCATACATGGTACTGGCTTTTAAAGTAATAAAAAAAACAATGCGACCAAGGACACTTATCTGAGATTTACGTTTCTCACTTTTCGGTTAACATAATAGATACACACTTGATCTCAATTAAAAACTATCAACTCAATTCTTTTTTACTTTCAATAGTGTAATCACCTGCAAAGTGGAGTGACTCTAAAGGTGGCACCCTAACAACCACTGAAATAACCAACTAGTTAAGTTGGCAAGACATTTAAAATCATAGCCACGTGATAGTTTTGTTTGGAATGACTTTATAGGCTACCCTAGCAGCTGCTGAATAACCAATTACATCTCTTTACTCTATGAGAAACTGCCTTTCAAGCCGAAACACCGCAACCTGAATGGTTATTTTAGAAGTTTCTTAGGTTGACCTTTGAAGTCACCGGATCAACAACTGAAATAACCAATTCGGTTTCTCTGTCTTATGAAAATCAGCCTTTCCAGCCAAAATGAAGAAAATTAGTTATTTCGATGGTTGCTAGGATGGCCTTTAAAGTCACCCCGAAGTTACTAAGTACGTTTCCCGTTTTCCGTTTGCAACGGTAGTCTTTTCAGGAAATGAAGGAACGCGGTTGGTTACTTCAGATGTTAGAGTGACTTTTAAAGTTATAAGCTCCCTAGGGAGTCATAGGCGCGCACTGCTGAAGAGTCCACACAAGGAGAAAACACCTGTCGAATGCTTCCATGATGAATACCAACTTGAAGAAGATAATTCTTCTTTTAGCACTATAACAGTCTATTTTCCCCTGCTGTATACATTCCTATTTTATCCTTCTCAATAGAATCTCAGTGAAAAGTCTGATGTTGGACGGTCTAAAGTACAGTCAGCTCAAAGTGCTATTGAACACGCCTGTTGTCTACTGCTGACCTCTGAATCCTTCCACTACAAAAGTGATCCTGACAGTATTTTATCCACTGTTGAACAGTCAGCCTGTCAGAAATTAGATCAAACAGAATCAACAGAAAAAGAGAAAGAAGAAACAAATAAAGATCAATCATCTTTCTAACTTTTGGATATCGATCAAGATTTATATCTGATAAATATGATCATCTATGTAAACTTTCACATTCACTACATTGTCGTCTAAATGCTTACATAGATGAGATTGGAAGACATTTGAGTGAAATAGAATTAGATCTGGATCAGTGGACATCGTATATCGATTCAAAATCACGTTTAGAAAAATGGTTAGACAACATGGAAACAGAATGGCAGGTTGATCAATTAACTGAATTTGATGAAATTGGAGATGATTCAAGGAATAGAATGTACTACATCACTCTATACAAGGTATAATAGTCACTTTTATTGTTATCTTCATAACTTTTGCCAATTGGTATTTGTCTGATTTTATTGACCGTACAGCTAATTAGCTTCGCATATACCTATCATGTTCTTTGCACTAGATAGTGGTCTAAACCTACATATGCTTCTCTTCTTGACCTTGTATCAAGTAGGCTGCGTCTCCACTTCCTTCACATTGAGATGAAGTCTGTATAGTTTTTAGTGTCCATCTAGTGGAATTTAATCTGCGTCGCTTTGTGAATATCCTTGTATTTGTACACACTGACTCCAATCACCAAATCGTTGAATGCGCAGAAATCTGCAAACAGTTCTCCATTCTCATTCATTTCGCCGACTGCTTCTCGACCCATGATGAGTGCTCTTCCTGTGTTGTCTGCTCCGAGTTTGGCATTCATGTCGCCCGCTAGAATTTTAATGTCATCAACTAGAGTCTTGTCTAGTACTGATTGCAGTTGTCTATAGAATTCCTCCTTCTCCTGATCTGCATTATTTGTAGATGTATTGCGTAGCACATTATGGTTGTGACTTTCCTTCCTTTCGAGTTGAATCTTGCTGGAGGAGACTGGTTGCCACTGCTTGAGAGCCTTTGATGGTCTTGGAGACATCATGATCGCCACTCCGTAACTGAGTATACTCGTGGTTGTCGTCTGGGCGAGAAATTGGAGTAGCTTATTGATTCTCCGATTGACAGTTTGAAGAGTCCATTTCCATTCCATCTGGTTTCGCAGATTCGAAGCACTTCCATGCCATACGTCCTCATTTCTTTTGCAATCTGGGACAGCCTTGGTAAGTTCATACATGTTACGGACATTCCATGTCCCCATCCTTACTTTCGGTTTCATCGAGAGAGGACACACCGATCGATTGGCTTTCCGAAGGCTTTCATCAACCGGTGTCGTTTTCTTCTATCCGATTTCAGCGAGGAATAAGTTTGTTGTGATGTTTTATATTTTGTTTGTGCTTTGAAGTTTCTTTAGTGATTGGATTTGTTTTACGGGGTAGGGTTGCTAGCCCTATGCCCAACCTTCCCTCTTTATCCGGGCTTAGGACCGGCTATTAACTAGTAAGGTTAATAGCTGGTTAATTCACCCCAAACGTCGGGTTTTTCAATTTAGCCATCCCAGCCGCTAATGACAACGATGTACATTTTAAGCGATCTGATTCATCTGTATGCATACAACTGAAGTACATGTACTCAGGACACCAGTGGCTCAATGGTGGTGATATCCTAACTGAGAAACCTGAAGGCCCTGGGTTCACTCTCTTGCAGGGTCATGGATGCACACTGCCGAGGGATCTCACTACTGAGACGAAATAGCTGTCCAGTACTCCTAGCTTTTCAATGGTTCTCCAAGTGATGTCATCCTAAGATGAATGTCATGTTGAAATCAATGAAATCTCCACAAACTTTCAAATTGTATTTCAGAACTGTTTATCCGAGTTGTACAATAGTGTTACCGAATTAAAATACATTATAAAATAGACGAAATAATATAACCGATTATACTTATCTAAGACTCACGTTTTCCACCTTTCTATCGATATAACAGTTACTGTTGTATTGTAATATTGTTTCTTAAGGATTTTGGCGGTGTTTCATCTTGCTACTGATTGAAGTGTTCTGATATTGGATAGTTAACTAAAAATCCTGAACTTTAGTTCCATCCTTGATGGCTTTTATCAGTAAGGTCTAACCACCTCGCTGAAGAAGTCCCTGTACTTGAGAATAACCAGAGAATAATTTCGGATACTTAGTGTATAGGACATGTATAGGCTTTATTTGAGCCTAAAGGTAGGCGGTAATCTGGATTTGAATAGTGCGCTAATGAAAATTAGACCTTGAACTTTATGATAATGAATTCCAACTTAAAAAAATAATCAATTAATTGTCTTTTCATTACAGTTTTATATTTTCCATCATGTTCTTTATTCCCTTTCTTCTTTTCAAGCAACGTTTACATGATATTCATTCTCATGAAAATCTGTTAAACACTGTAGCAGATCGTGGAAATCAATTCACTCGAAATAATTCCAATACTACTACTACTACTACTACTACTATACTAATAATAATAATAATAATAATAATAACAATAATGATAATAATAGTGATAATGAACAATTATTTCTTCCAACTGACGAGGTTCGTAACTTACGAAGCGTTTTGAAAGGCTTACTGAATTTACAAATTCACGTCTAAAATTACATCAAAATCGTTTGGATAAATATCGTAAATTTATAGAACACTATCAGAGATTTGATGAATGGCTTATCAATACAGAAGTTAAGTTAAACTATGTTATAGAAGATATTGCTGGAAAAATTGAACATTTAATCCCTGAAATTTATAAAACTGAAAATGAACAATTATCTATGTCCATAGATAAAGAATACAATCAAACAGATGTCGATTCGACTATAGAAAGTCTATCAATCAACAAAAAAGACAACAGTTTATTATTACATATTGAAGAGATCAATAAATTATGGTTATCTATCATAACTAATGCAGAAAATCAATTAAACGTTATAGACTCATTATTTTTAACTATTCAAAAGGATATTCACAATTCAAGTGACCTTGAGACAAAAATCAATACCGTCAAAGATCATATATTCTCTACTTTAAGACAAAAAATTGATAATCTTTTAGAAAATTTAAAAGAATATCAAAATGTTAGTGAAGAATTTTGGAATGATATGACAAAGATGCAGATATATTTAACTGATCAAGAGAAAAGATTATTTCAATTTACGTCTATGGGACAAATGTGTTATAATCCAATCGATATTTCATCAATACAATCAAAATCATCTTCAATTATGATTGGTATGCTACAATTACCTGATAGTCAAGATGATAAACTATTCTGTGTTGAATCATTGAATAAAATCTATAATGATTTAAATAGTATTGAATGTTTAAATTTAATTCAAATATTAAATAATTCATATGATCGTTTAATTTCTATTCTGAATACTGTTAGACAAATGGGATCATCACATCGAAGCATTGTAACAAGTAATGATAGATTAGAAAAACATTTAAATTATATACATAATTATATGATACGTTTAAAGAAACACTGTGAAAATTTATTAAGATATTGGCAGTTGGCTGTTGATAATCATACAAATTTCAACAGACTTTCATTTCATGTCAAGATGAATTTTCAGGGATTCAAACAGTTTTCAATCAAGGCTATCCTATGAACACTGTAATGAAAACAATTACAGATAATAATGGATTATCTATATCCGAATGGAGTAGAGGTGATCAAATGTATACACATTTATTAGTATGGTTATCTGATTTAATGAATAGACTTGATCGTTTCACTGTAGTATCATATCAATCATGTACAGAATTATTTCAAACAGTCTCTTTATCAACTAGTATAAAAGGACGTGATTCTATTCATATAGAAATGCAACAATGAAACAATCAGCTAATCAGCTATCAAATGAATTAAATCAATATTATAATCAAATTGAATCAGCAATGACTGAACACTTAAGAATTGTTGAAGAAAGACAAGAACTTCAATGTTGGTTAACTGAAGAAGAACAAAAGTTGATTGAGATGAATAAACCATTACAAACTTTATTATTTAGTGCAATATCAACATTAAAATCATCATCTATGCATTCATTGAATGTTCTTTTATCTTCTTGGTCTAGTTTGATTAGTGAAAGGCAGTCAATTTTACAAAATATTAAAGTAAGTAGTACGTTTCATTCAAGTTGATGTGTAATTGATTGTTTTATTCATCAATCAGCATGAAAATTATATTATGTCATCCTTTAGGTAGAAAACACCACAGAGATAGTCCATTGAGAGTAAAGCTTATAGTACTGAAACATCTGAGATTGAAGTACAATGCTTTCAACACTAGACTCATATTCGTCGAGTTTTTGTTTTAGGGAATAAATTATATCTGCATCACAGAAGTGCTACTCAAGTCACGATTCCAAAGTGATTCCACATATTCGCTGATAATGTGTACTGGCATTCGGAGCCTATCTGAGTCAAAGCAGTTGGGTAGTTGAAGAGATTACTCACTGATCTGTTGACTTCTTATTCTTTTAGATAGCGGAGTAACGTCAGTTGGTGCTTTCCTCACGGTTACTGTAGATCAAAATACGTTTATACGCTTTTAATTCGTCTCGGATCCTAAACCATTGGTTTGGTATCAGGGTTTTCTAACTTTCCTAGATAGATTCACGTTATCGATGAATTTTGTGATCAGCGTTGGTCATTCATTATAGCTTATTGTCTTTAACCCAACGAACCAACCAAGAACCTATCACTCAACAAATATGCAGAAGAAACTGGAGATGGATTGGGGGATACATTGAGAAGGTCGACTGGGGACATCACGCGACAGGCCCTCGAGTGGAATCCAAAAAGGAAACGACAAGTTGGGAGTCCCACCTGAGGTGATATGGAGGAGATCACCATGTGAGGAAGAAATGAAAGCTTGTGGAAAGTGGAGCGAGGTTTAAAAGACCGCAGAGAAGAGAGTGGAATGGAGGCGTGCTACTGAGACCCTATGTCCCACTAGGAACCCAAGGGAGAAATAATAGTAATAATATTATCTTTAACCACCCCCTCCTTCCCTTCCTTGATTTGCAAGTAATTAGTCATGGATGGAATCCTATTACATGTACTCAGCTTCAGCAACCAGATAGTATCCTAAACTACCACACATTTGAACTTCAAGTACCTAGGCATGTAGTGGGTTGATGAGTTGCGTAGGAGCATTTTAGTAGGTATTCGAGCTCATACATCATTTCCTCAGTAAGATAATTGTTTAATGCTCTAAGTTTGTTTAAACATTAACTTCTAGCTGTGATAGTTTTATTCTAATAATATAACCTTTTATGATTTTGTTAATTTCACTGCTTCTATTGTAGAGAATTCTTCAGAATTTATCATCTCGTAGACAACAATTGTTATCATTTGAAGAACGTCAATCATTGGCACTGTTAAATTTTAAAACTTATATAATTGATCGTACAAATAACTGTGCTACAAATGACACTGATAGATTGATTCCTTATCATTCTTCAATGATCAATTTAAATCAAGATTACAACACTTTGATAAATCGTTGCAAAGAGACAATTAATGAAATAGAAAAAATAATTGAACATGATACAAAGTTTAGTAATTTAGCCAATATTTTATCGTTAGATCTGAATAATCTGTCTGATAGTCTATCTATTTATGAAAAACATCTTTTCGATGTGAAATCCCTACAGTAAACAACAGTACTACTACTGATCAACTTCTGATCAACTCACAAGATCTATGGACACGTGAATTAATCCAGAATAAGATTGATGAATTGAATCAACAGATACGTGATATTTCTTTGAAGAATATCTATGAAAAATTGAATACATTCAAAGATATATTCAATAATTCAATTGCTTCAATTGAACCAGAGAAAAATTTGGCTGTTGAAACAATCGACTTAATAAAGAATCAAATTGATAAATTTGAAGAAAGGCTAAATCATCAAACTGTTTTATTTCAATTGATATTAAGTCAAATGCAAGATATGTCGAAGGTGATTGAACTTCAAGAAGATTGGCGTTCACAGTTGTTGGCTAAGGTAGAGAAACTTGAATCTCAGTTACCTGTTGATTTGAAGTCAAAGAGGACGCTACTTATACAATGTCAGGTAAGAATATATCACTATAAACTTTATATTAGGGAAATGATTTATCTAGAAGTTTTGTTTCTAGGGGAATTGCAGGAAACCAAGGTGTATTGAGTAGATATATCGTCTTAGTTTGACTTGCTTGGAAGATACATTTTCACGAGTTTTGACTTATACGCTAAAAGCTGATGCTAATCACTGATATTTTTGTTGTTTCGGAAACTGCTGTGTTATGGCCACTAATGGTGCACAGATATCGACTGTCAGCCACCAACACTCAACGAATTCCTAGTTGATTCCCGACCCGATTCCGGCCAATAATTTTCACTAACCATAACTCTGGTCTATTGGACCATGGAAATGTTCTGTGTTAGCGAGACATATGCACAGGAACCAAGTGTGGTTATTCACTTAACCTCATTTTCCCAATATAGTGAATCTAACGGTTGCAGGTGTAGGTATAGCTTTAAGTGTTAGAGGAGAAAGTGCACTACTTTACTGGTTCATATTTGATAATTGCCTGTGCGCTGCCAGACTGAATAGCAAAATGAGTACTAAAAGGAGTAATAAAACTCTCCATTATTTGTATGTAATCCTTGCTTACGCACCCATTGACTGCGGTTTGAATTACGTGGAGGATGAGTTCTACTGAAACCAAACTAAGACGTGGTTGTCATAGTAGTTATTTCAATATAAAAGTAGGTAGGCTGAGTCAAACAGAAGGCCACCTAGGCGACACTGTTAGAATTCCAGCCAAACTGTCAGACAACAGCAATCGCCTACGACAACTGTACTTAGATAAGCGTTTATTTCTGGCCAGTACAAACTTCAGACATAAACAGAGACATTGTCTGATGTAGCGTCCACCAACATCGACTCAGTAGTGGACACTGGTAGACCATATTGTTATCAGTTATCTTTGGTGAGCATCAATAAAAGATAGGCACTCTTTCTGGAGCGTGTATTCGGACAGCGAAAACGTGTTAGGTAGAGCCGTGAATGTCTGCATCTAAATGGACAGTGGAAAACTTCAGCAACAAGACCAATACGAGTTCTACTTTGACACTGTGAATACTAAGATTGCTTTCGGTGAGAAATTGGCAAGAAAGTTATCGGTAACAATGTAGAACAACTTCACTTATTCAAAAGAAACCTGATGCCATCTTCCATCTGCTGTAAAAACAACATTGAAGACCATATCTGTTTCTCAGAAAGTGGTTCTCAGCAGCTTCTTCTGTATTATTGGATACCTGGGAACACATTTCTGTAGGCTTTGAGTAAATGAAGAGCGGATGCAATTCAAACATGGACTGACAAAATGTCTACACAATACCCGTGGTGTATACCAAAGGAAGAAGGGCAGCAGAGTCAAACGGACGCATTTAAGAACTTTAATAGATTATTGGCCAGGTTAACTGGAGTATTAGCTTGTGCATGGGAGTCAGATATGATCTGCTCTGAATGGTCTCAAAAAAATCATTGTATGATAACCACAGAGGAATCAATCTGACGAATATAGTGTCCACGTTTTTAGGTTCCATTATTATCAGACCGGACTCGAGAACAACAGTCATGAGAAAACCTGGCAGGTTTCAGACCTGGTCATAGGTGTTTCAGTCAGATAGATATTCATCCACTACATGTCAGGTTCTGGAACACAAGCACACTTACACCGACTCCCAACAATTGCTGTATTTCGCTACCTGAAGGTGACGTTTGACTCCTTCGATCAAGAAGTCTTATGTCAGTATCTTTCGGTGAAAGGGGCGCCGAGTAAGTACATCACTCTGTTGAAGGATCTGTACTCGAACACCCATGGAGACGTGTTAGAGCCGATGGAGAATTATCGGGTGGTGAGTTATGTACGCCGAGTAGCTTCTGCCAAAGATGTTCACCCTCTCAGTTTTAAAATAGACGTACTTATGGAGGTCTGCGTCTCGTCTTTTGACTTTACATAGATCGGTCTTGTCACAGGGTAATCTTTAGTAGATCTAGAGTATGCAGATGACATATTTCTGTTGGGTGAAGATATTGACAAGATCTAGAATTTTCTGGGCACCTTGAATGGGGGTTAGAGAATGTTTAGGACGCGTTTATTGCCACTTAAATTTAAACTGTTACTCCAGGACTGATCTTCACTGGTATTTTGCCTAAAAAAGGTAGTGGAGGTGAGCGGATTGATCACTTCAATCACCTATAAAGTCGCATCCGACCTGGTGTGTCAGCAAACGATGCAATCTCTGCGTTGACAGAAAAAGGTCTATTGATGTATGCCAACTAACGCCATCTGTGGTACCGCTGTGATATCCAATTGTTTATTGGGTGTTGAGAATAGTGTACTGCAATTCTCTCTGTTTTACTATATAGATGTGAAATATGGACATTAACGATGGAGAACGTTAAGTGACTTCAGGTATTCGACCATCATCATCCTCGTAGCATAGGTTCTGTTGTGGTGTTACCACGCGAGTAACTTAGACTCCAGGCGTAGAGTTTTAGAGAGAAGTGGAAAGTCAGTTGATGCGGTTGCGAACCTTCATCAAATCGGTTTGCTGGGACGTGGGGGGGGGGGTATGCATGCCCAGTCACCATCTGCCTCGTTACACAATTTTAGCTGAAATACATTCAGGTGGCCAGCCTAATACATCGCATCAGTACATGAAATCTTTGGTTATTGGTCTCAGCTGTGTAGGATAATGTAGACTTCCTGGTTGGGGTCCACATGACAACAGAAACCAGTAGTTGAAGACTCTAGATGATTTGGCTCGGAATCGATGTCAGTGGCACAGATTTACCTGCACATCTTCATCTTAATTATAGAACTGAATTTCGGTATTCTCCTATTCCTGTTAGCTCTCACTTGATGACTTTCTAATATTTCTGCCCGCCTTCCGTTTTATCTTTCATTGTACTGCTTTTTCACTCGACGTACTGATATGAGGTGTGGCAACTTGAACCGTTATGCAGTAATCCCAGCATGTACGTTGATATTGTCTATCTGTTGAATTGTGTTCAAGGAGGTCAGATTATTGACCGAATTTGACCTAGTCGCCATTTTTCTATTCCATCCTTCTTCTACTGATTTCATTCTTTAGAGTTGAAACAAATAGTAAGTAAATGTAAGCTGTTTATAAGTAATAAGCCACAGCTGTTCTATGATACAGTTCCCAAGCCTCAGTGCATGGAGCAGAGTTCGAACTTGTAATTCATTGACTGAAGGTTCGGTACATCTCCACGTATTTGATCGAACTAAACTTTTTATGTTGAAGCTGAATTTCTCCTTTCAAAAAAGTACAAGTCCACAATTCTTGGCGCTGTGTTTTATCTTTCATTGTACTGCTTTTTCACTCGACGTACTGATATGAGGTGTGGCAACTTGAACCGTTATGCAGTAATCCCAGCATGTACGTTGATATTGTCTATCTGTTGAATTGTGTTCAAGGAGGTCAGATTATTGACCGAATTTGACCTAGTCGCCATTTTTCTATTCCATCCTTCTTCTACTGATTTCATTCTTTAGAGATGAAACAAATAGTAAGTAAATGTAAGCTGTTTATAAGTAATAAGCCACAGCTGTTCTATGATACAGTTCCCCAAGCCTCAGTGCATGGAGCAGAGTTCGAACTTGTAATTCATTGACTGAAGGTTCGGTACATCTCCACGTATTTGATCGAACTAAACTTTTTATGTTGAAGCTGAATTTCTCCTTTCAAAAAAGTACAAGTCCACAATTCTTGGCGCTGTGTATAGTGCAAATAGAAGTTAAGAAGTGATAAGTTTAGGTCAGTGGAATGAATAATTTTAGGCTATGATTTACCATGTGATCAGTATTGGAGATATCTCACTACTTTTATGAAACATGGTCACTGAAATTAGGCTCCATTAACAAGATTATAGATATTGAAGATAAACGTCTGTTGAATCACTACTAACATGAATTAAGAACAATCAATAAGTGGTTCTAAGTATTGTAGTGGACGATGATTTATCTGCTATGCTTGGTCATGAACCTTCATTAACTGGGAAAAATGCATAGTAACAGTGGAAGATACAGAACTAATCTATTAATTCACTAACTGTAACAATCTGGTAACATCTAGACAGGTCATAATCATCCTAAATATCCTCTGTGCAACAACTGAAATCGGCGGTTCGAGTTAGCATATCCAACTGGAGCTCCCTTGACAACTTATTGTGTGCGGTTCTACATTTCTTATTCCCTTATTATCCGTATTATCTTATTGAAAGTTGAAATCTCAGTATTCTTAACTTCATAGGACATTTTGAAATATTTTTTCGTTGAAAAAAAATAACTGAAATTTTCATTTTCAATTTTTGTCGACAAAAGCAAATTTTTAAAATCTTCTCTGAATTCTTCTTTGAAGTGTTAGTTGCCTAATGTGGTGAAGATGTTTCTTTTTCTTGAAGATAACTTTTAGGTCCTAAGGAAATACTGAATATCGCCAACTGTTCCCTTGAAATCGCGCATTACGACTTAATCCGATATCTTATGACCGTGTCCTACAGTACATTATTTGAAAGTTTTTGTAGTCGGCTATCCTCTAAAATTGTCTCTAAGCAACCCTATACCGTTTCAATCTAGTCACCTACTTTTTTCAAGCCGCACACTTGATCACTGTAACTTATTTCTGTAGTTCAAATTCTGCTTAATTTTCCCTCCATATATTTTGTACATTTCTTTCTCTTTCTCAGGAGATTTCAACTGAAATTACAGAACATATGACGGAGATCAATGAAATTTTGAGAAATTCCAGTAACTGTCTATCACCATCAGTTATTTCACAAAAATCGATCACACAAGCTGATGACAATGATTCCAATGATGTTAACTCATCATCACTCCTTATAAGATTTATCCTGCTGATGTACAACTAGTGAAAAGTTTAAAATCACTTGATCATGAAGTGAATCAGATATTTGAAAGAGTGACTATGGAAATAAGTAGATGGAAACGTGCTATATTTCGTCATGAGAATTTACTAGAATCTATAAAGAATGTTGAAATTGCCCTAACGAAGTCTGTTAACAATGTGTATTATTGTGCATATCAGACTTTAGGCCCAGAAAATGAGTCGACTGAAGATATGCTACTTAAATTTCCTGAAAGTAGTATACTTAATAAATCCATCAATATTTTGCGAACATACATTGATCCTGCATTGATAGAAGTCAACCGCTCGTTAGATGATATCAATTTGACTTATGATACTGTCCTTCTAGACACCTGTCCAGAGAGAATGAATATTACCAAAGTACAGATTAGGAGTAATCAAGACCAGCTGAGAAATCTAGAGCATCAACTGCACACATTACAAGCTTACTTGTCTAATCTTAACGATAGGATAGAGTTATTCTCTTCTATTGATAATATTATCAATGAACGAATTTCAAATCTTTTTGATCGTATCAGGTCTGAAGGTGTGAATTTATGTTCATCTAATATACAAGAGGTTAAAAGACATAGTAATAGTTGGCATGGGATCAATGAGAAGGCTAAACAAATGCATCAAAATTACTTGGATGAAGTTACGTCTTTAGTTGAAGAATTGAAACATTTGAAGAAAGAACATTCACATTTCTTAGAAGCTTTCAAAAAGAATTTCTCCTTTTCATCTGTTGACAATAATGATGAATTTTTACAAGAACAATTATCCACATTTGAGTCGATTTTAATTCATTCAGTCTTTAAGCAACGAAGTGATGAGTTATCAGAAATCCTTCGTGCTCTTGAAGTAAGTTTTCAGTATACGTTCATGTAAACCTTTTTTATTCTAATTGAGCATATTGGTTTTTTTTTGTCTTTTATTTGTTTATAGTGCTGTTGGAAGTAAGGTGAATGACTTGTTCAAGGCGGAGTTTATATTCACCTGTCCGATTACTATGTGTCTTAATGGCTTTGGTTAAAAAAACAGGGAACTCTTGTGGAAAGTAATAAATGGATTTCTAGAGTGCAGATAAATATCTGTGAACCATTCAAAATGATATAAGTTCGTTTAACCCAATTGTAAGAGTTTAACTTGGTTTTCTGTTGGACTAAAATATGCCCTACTGGACATCAATAGCGGTGTCAACAGAAAAATTGAAAAAAACTTTGAAATAGACTACTGATTGAAATAAGTAGTTAGAACCTCCCTTTGACTAGCGAACTGACTAGTTTTAGGGTAGTTAAGAGAATATGGCTCATAGAGTTGAATCAAGAGGATGAGATCAGTCTTAAGCAAGAGAAATTGTCATTTGGTGTCTAGCTAACGTCAATTTGACTACTCCAATGGAGTTTAATAGATTGGAGTAGTTTCTGGCTACTCTGATAATCACCACTGTGCATCGTGAAGCTGTGGCTCATAGTTTAGGGAGATATCTATAAACTAGTTTGTCATGGGTTCGAACCCCACCCCATTTGCCGAGGTTTGGGCAACCAGGTCGTATTACTAGTCATCACACAATAGTTGTGGCTCATTGTCTACTAAGCGGATATGCACTAGATGGTTGAGTGAATTTCATTTGTTCGTCGTGGAGAAAAAATTCTAGCATGATAAAACCGACAGCATGGAGGTGTTGTTGAGTAGACCAATTACATCCAACAAAGCCAATTTCAAAACGTATTACATTTATACAACGAGTTCACAATACCTACTATGTAGTGAAGGGGGGAGGGGAGAGGATTATTGTTTATTCATTCCAAACTTCATATCATTTCACAGTTGCCATTCATCATGAATTGACATCAGTTGGAGAATACATTGGAAACATTGGAACACTGGACAACTGTTTCGTCCTGGTATGGGACTTTTCAGCAATGCGCATCCCGGACTTTACAGGACACACGAGCCTCCAAATTGCATTTTTTTAAAAATTAGGCTGGTGGATAAAACATGAGGGAGCAACTATGGATCCACTTCATTTTTTCAGTATTTGTATTTCCCAAAGCAAGATTGTTTTAATATAAGTTTAACACTGAATTCTACTAACCACCCTTTCCCCCCTAATATCAAGTTCAGCTCAGTGACAGGATTAGACAAAACTGAACTACCATTCCTTGATTATCCAGTTAGGCGGGTGGAAAAATGAATATTCGATCATGACATTTTTCAGGAAAGTGACATACTCGAATAAATATTTAGATTCTAATTGACCACCCTTCATCGATGCCAAGGTCTCTCTCTTACCGACATTTTTTGAAGTAGGATGAAAATCTGGAAGTGGGGGGGGGGGAGATTAAAGTGTGTAAGAAAAATCCTTAAAAAGGAATAATCTCCAAGTAAATATAGTTCACAAGATTGAAAAGAGTATTAAACTAGACAAGAAAAGTATTCCTAAACCCAAGGACTACAACAGTAGTCATCTCTTACAGATCATCCACTTCTGATGAGTGGTCTACAGAACACCAAGCACACTATAGATCACCTCATTCCATGTGAAGGAAGAAATTCGCCTAAATTTGTAACTGTGTTTACGTTTTTGTAAAATAAATTACTCATACTGCGCTGCATTACCTGTGAAACAAGATTCTAATGAAGTAAATGTGGGAAAAATTGAGGAAGATAGAGCTTCCTCTAGCCCCTTAGAAATCCAGTAGAGCTCAAAGAACTTCAACCATAGCTTTACACACCATTGTTTCACGTTGTAAGGTCGGTTCCAACGGTATCGAAATTATTCAGAAAGGCTTATAGTGGATGTTTTTCACATAAAATAGACTTAAAATCTGGTGATACTTGTCATTTCCATTTGCTGTGCTGAATCGACTTGCTCGACCTCTGTTAGCAGATGGGCTCCTGTGCGAATACTTCAATATTGCCTGAATATGTTACGACATAATGGGATCATCATCATCAATATTAACATAAGACTAGACATTACTGCACAACTGTCCAAGTTGTCACACCTCATATCAGTACAACAATTAACTATTTAGTAATGTCGGAAACAACAAGGCTGAGATGCAGGAAGGAATGTTTACCGCTGACATCTTGTACGGTAGTGATGAAATATTGTACACCTTCTGCTAAGACAGTCGTTTGTACAATGTGCTTCATCTCCTCTTCTGCTTCTATCTTGATTTGCTCTTAATACACCCACATTATCTCTTGCATTTCTCTTCGCGGAATCGTTACCTATTGCTGGTAATTGTCTATGATTTCTGCCGCCCTCAACCTGTACTACTTATATCCATTCTAATCAGCAACGCCCACTGAGGTAAGATGAAAGAGATAAAAACCAGTCAAAAGCAGTGAAAGAGATGAAGGGGGCTTGGGAGAATGCTGAAATTCAGTTCTATGATTAAGATGAAGATGTGCAGGTAAATCTGTGCCACTGACATCGATTCCGAGCCAAATCATCTAGAGTCTTCAACTACTGGTTTCTGTTGTCATGTGGACCCCAACCAGGAAGTCTACATTATCCTACACAGCTGAGACCAATAACCAAAGATTTCATGTACTGATGCGATGTATTAGGCTGGCCACCTGAATGTATTTCAGCTAAAATTGTGTAACGAGGCAGACGGTGACCATTTATTATTATTTTTCCCCTTGAGATTCTGGTGGAATGTCGCCATTTCACTCTCTTCTCTACAGTATTTTCAACCTGGCTCCCTGACTGCCCACAAACTCTCATTTTTTTTCCTCATATGATCTCCTTCATGTCACCCTCGGACCTCCAACTCGTCGTTTACCCTCTGGGTTTCACTCGACGGCCTGACCTGGCGCGTGATGTTCTGCAATGGTCTTCTCAGTGTTTGTCAAATCCATCTCCACTTTCTTCCGCATATTTGTTAGGCGATAGGTTGCTGGTTGGTTCGTTGCCAGGCCAGAGTTCCTTATTGTTTACTCTTTCCGGCCATCTGATCTTCAGCATGAAGTGTAGGCGACAGCTGTTGATAATGTGTATCTGCAGTTTGTTGGAAATGTTTTTCGTACCGAACCAAGTCTCTCAACCATCACATAGAAGCACTGACTTGGTTGGCATTAGGGTTGAAAACCCGGATCTTGTTCACGCTTTATGCTGAGTGCAGTGCAGTGGATTGCGGTAGACCCCCACACTGCTTGTTTCAGATTAATGAAGGCCTGCCTTACTGTCTTTCCGAATCTGGCCTTGACATCCTCATCTGTGCCGCCACCACCACCACCTGTAGTTGAAACGATGCTGCCTAGGTCGGTGAAGGCGACTACTTCTTTTAGATTTCTCCCGTTGATGGTGATTGGTGCTCCTTTTGTTGTTGTTGTTGTTGGTGGTGGTGGTTGGGTATCCTCATCACCTCTCTATTTTATACGTTCATCTGAAGGAAGTCTCGCCTCCCTTCGCTGCCTTGCCTCTTCTGCCAACTTGTTAGTGTCCGCCTATATATCTTCGGGTTTTGCGACATTAGACATAAATCATCATCGGCGAAATCCAAATCTTCTTGGGTCTTTTCATCGGCCCAGCCAGCGTATGGCCATCTCTTCGCTCCTCATAGTTTCTTACATGATCCCGTCCAGTTCAATCCAGTCGATCACAATCAGGAAGATGATCGTTGATAGTAGATGGCAACCTTGTCTTACTCCTGTCTTCACTTCGAAGGCACTACTGAGCTTCCCATTGTAAATCACTTGGAGACTGGTTCCCACTGCGTGAGAGCCTTCGATATTCTTGGAGACAGCATGATCGCCACTCGAAAACTCGGTGAGCCCGCGGTTGTCGTCAGGGTGGCAAATTGGACTAGATTATTGACTCTCCAGTTGACAGTTTGGAGAGTCCACTTCAATTTCACCTACTTTCTCAGATTCGAAGCACTTCCATGCCATACCTCCTCATTTCTTTTGCAATCTGGGACAGTCTTGGTAGGTTCATACATGTTGCGGACATTCCATGCCCGTATGCTTACTTTCACTTTGATCGAAAGAGAGAGAGAGAGAGAGAGAGAGAGAGAGAGAGAGAGAAGACATATCGGCCAATCGGCTTCTCGATGGCTTTCACCAACCGGTGTCATTTCTTCTTTCCGATTCCAGCGAGGAATAGTATTGTTTTCATTTTTTATATTTTGTTTGTGCTTTGAAGTTTCTTTAGTGGTTAGATTGGTTTTACGGGGTAGGGTTGCTAGCCCTATGCCCAACCTTCTCTGTTTATCGGGGCTTAGGACCGGCTAGTACCTATTGAACTAGTTAACCAGGCGAGTTTAAGTGGCTAGGAGTGGAATCCAGAATGCACATTTCGTCCTGTTTGGGACTCGTCAACTGGATGTACCTGCTTCCTAGTGAGTGATGGTGTCCCCACTGGGATTCGGACTCAAGAGCGATCGCTTCAAACGCCAGAGAGTCATCCACTACACCACCGAGCCACCAGAATCCATATTTCACATCGAAATTTTGTATACTGTAAGTATTATATGTTTGTCTGCGTAAACTCCTTTTATGTTCCACCTCTTAGTGAAGTAATGTTTGCCTGTAACAAAACTTTCATATAACACTCATCAATTCACATAAAAAATACCTTTGGTGTTGTTTTTCGAATCGATAAAAGCGTCCAGTTTTGCATTGTAATTGAGTAAAGAACTTCAAGTTGTGAATCTATCCAGTTACTTTAATCTCCTTCTTATGAGACTGACTGACTGAAGTCGAGTGAGATTGAATCACTTTAGTTGTCTATTTCCTTGAGACTACAGGCTATTAAAGTTCATCACTCAAGTTTTATAGAAAGTATTGAGAAGGTTCACTTTTTTACTTGTTAACTTACATCACTGTTATCTATATTTCCTTTATCATCTCTAAGGTAAATCTTCTCTCCATTTTTCTCTTTGTTATCCTACATTGCATTGATTAATGGAGTTTGATTATTACTTAAAATGTTCTTCATTTCTCTTCATTTATGAATCTACTGATGATTATTTCATTTTCTTTTAAAGATAATTTTAAAGACAATTGAAACAATCAGCTCTATTTGGTCTAATGCTGAACGAAAATTCACTGAGTATCGTTTATGGATCAGTGAATTAACAAAGAAATTTGTAAATATCTCACAAAATCATATAAAAGATACTGCTGTCATCAATCCTACCAGTGTAGAAAATCAATCAGAATCAGAAATCAATGTTAATCATTTAGATCAACTGGATCAGTATACAATTCAAACACGTTTATCACTTTTAAAGGTGTGTTCCTCCTTTTTTATGTGTGTGTGTGTGTTGTTTATTTAGCGAATAGGCAATAGATTTTCAATTTCGCACCATTTGAATAATACATTGTTTTTTTTTAGAAAAGCGCTCACACAAATACAAAAAGCATCTCTAAAATGATTTTGTGCAATAATTAAAGCAGATGGGCTAGGTTACATTTGTATGCTTAAGAAATGGTCGTTAACAGTAATTAACTGTTAAATGCCACATTCTAGTTGATTTGTTTTAATCAGTTGTTCAATATGGACCTACAAAGCTACAAAATGTGTTATCCTATTGTACCATGTTTATGGTTATATGTTAGGGGTCATTGAAAGAATATCCTGAGCCTAGTTTTCGCGCTTTTATTGGTATTCACCAGTAAAATGTACCTGTAACCAGCGAGAAACCCTATGTTTTATAAAGTATTAGGATAAACACGGTAATTAATTCATTAATTAAGAAGTGAAAGCTACGTTGGTCACCATCTGGTGATTGATTCATACACACGCATAATCTAGTCGTATATTTATGACCTGGGTAACTGATCGGTTAATTTTTAAATTCAACCAACATTCAGGTTTAAATCACTGTGGGGACTTAAGTCTCCAGAATACAGTACACTATGCTTGGTAAGAAAATTATAAACGTGATCGGCAGGCTTCGATCAACATATTTAGCGTGTGAGATTGGACAGTTATATTGGCTGAAATAACCTGACCAGTTTGAGTAAAGCTGAATTTAATTTCTGATGCGGTTTTTTTCTCTTTTATATTCCAAATGCGTCAAATGATCGTTGAAGTTCAGGGCAAGCAACTTAGATAAGAGTCTAGATGATAGTTGGATTGTAAACATTGAAGGTTAAGATGGCGGTTACAGAGGAAAGTTGTGCACTTTTGTGCTAGAGGCATTCGCATAGCGTTTGTCACTTTTCAAACCAGTTTGTATTAGAGATAAGTAGGGGAAATCAACATAGAACCTCGCAAACAAGTGTGTCGGTTCAAGTTGTTACACCCCACAGCAATATACAAAGAACAAGTGGATAGAAAAGGTGCGATACCAAAGTAGACAAAGTTTTATGGCCAAATAAGCAGTTTGAAGATAAAGGTTAATGCAAATATTCAAGCTTTAGTGGACATCAAGTAGTGAATACATCTGTGCCATTGTCACCCAGCAACCCGAGGCCTCCCTACACGACTCAGAGCAAGAGTAGGAGATTTCATCGACTGATGTAACGTCTTGTTATAGGCACTCTGAACCTTCTTGCAACCCAATCTAACTTCTCTCAGCATGACACGTTGAGGTTAGTGGTGGGATGGCATCCGCAACATATGTCCATGCCACCTAAGTCGACTACGGTTCACAACCTCATCAATTGACTTCCCTGTCTTGTCTAGTACCCTCTACCTGACCTTAACATTGCTCGCACACTGATTCCACCAAACTTGCGCAATACTACGAGAACACTTGTGATCAAAAACCTGTAATCGCTTCATATCGTCTTCTTTTACTAGTCATGTCTCAGACTCGTATAACAGGGCAGAACGGACTACAGGACGGTATGCTCGTCGTTTAATAGGTAGTCGGATATCTCACCAGTCGGTCGCACAGATAACACAAGTTATCAAATTTTAAACGGGCCTTTTGTATGTTAGTTGAGACTTCGTCAGCAACTAACCCATCCGAGCCGATACAACTCGCAAAAGTAAATGAAGTAGCAGACAAATTCAAAACCAGTTTGTATACCTGTATATGTTTGTGTTTATGCTATGATCGTTCAATTTGAACTCAAACTTTATTTGATCATATATTTTGTTGTTATTTTGTGTCCTTGACACTACTTCATAGGAGTTTCGAACAGAACTTAGTCAACATCATCGTTATTTGGATGGATATCGTGATGCTTTACAGACTGTTCAATCATTAAAAATCCCAATTGATCATCTATATGACATACTTGAAAAGCAATTTAATGTTAACCTTGTTGATAACTTGAAATTGAATAGATCTACATTAATTAAAAGTTTGGAAGAAGATCTTGTAAAGTATGAAATGGAATGGGAGAAGTTGGATAATCAAGTCGACAGTACACACAATGCTATGTATGAACATTTAGAGCGGATAGAACAAATTGAAGTGAAACAGTCAACAATACGCAAACTACTTACAGAACTTGAACAGAAAGCAATAATTGGTCCTTGTTCGACTGGTATCGATTTCACTGTATTGGAGAAAGGTCTAATGAATTGTTTACTTGAAAAGTCGACTGATGAAGATGATATCGACAATGATAGATGGTCTATTGATAGGACATTTGAGGAGCTTACAGTTGCTCAACAAAGCATTGTAGAATGGTGGCAAGTAGGTTATGCTTAGTTTGTGTACAAAGAGTTAAGTTATTAAGATGAGCTTGCTTTCTCACTTATTCTATCCATTTCAAGCGATAGAATGATCTTCATTGGATAGATACTCGTTAAGCAGTTATTGTTTTTATATGTTATGTGGACTTGCTTAAACAGCACTTCTGTTTTTCACCTGTTTCATAAGCAGCATATCATAGGTGAGCAGAAATAGTGATCACTGTGGACTGGGGATTTCTGATCTTTACGAATCAACTATTAATCCTAACTAGCGATAAATGATGGATAGTGGCCAGCAGTGGAAGCCGAGGAGGTTCGTTTTATCCTACTTGGAACTTGTCAGCTGGATATATCTGCCTCCCAGTGGATGTTGTTCCCCCTCCCCCTCCAAAAAAAAAACTCGAACCCAGAACGAAACATGCGTTGTCAATGTTGATAAATTTCTGTCACTTATAAGACTTGGTGGTTCGATAGATGAAAAATTAATGTTTAATACCTTCTGTTTCCTTTAAAAAAGAATCTTAATCCAAAAAAGCCTTGAGTGTTCACGATTATCTTATCACTAGTAGTAAAGGTCTACAGACATTCATCAACAACTGCCTACGCTCGTTACTGAAGCTCAGATGTCCAGAATAATAAGAATAAGCAACAAGGAACTCTGGGAACGAACCAACCAATAACCTATCGCTCAACAAATATGCAGAAGAAAATGGAGATGAATTGGGCACGGACTGAGAAGACCATCTGAGGACATCACGTGCCAGGTCAGGCTATCGAGTAGAACCCAGAAGGTAAACGACGAGTTGGGCGTCCGAAGGTGACATGGAGAAGATAGTGTGAGGAAGAAATGAGAGCTTGTGGGCATACGTGGACCGAGGTTCAAAAGACTGCAGAGAAGAGAGTGCAGTGTGGGGGCGTGCTACTGAAGCCCTATCTTCCACTAGGAACACAAGGGACAAATAATAATAATAGTGGTAGAGTTAGAACGTTGTTGCCTATTTCAATTGTTAAATGTTCAATATCGGCGTAGAATTAAGTTCATCTTCGAATGTTTTCGGTTGATCACAGTTTCGCATAGATGATGCTCATAACCGAAAACTCATTTTTTAAAAATTCCATCACTATTCTCCGGATTCTAATATAAGTGTAAAACTTGACCACTGTGGTAGAATATAATTCCGTATTAGATTTGTTTATTTGATTTATAACATACAATGAGTGATATAGTATTATTTGTTTCCGCCTTTTGATTCTTTACTAACTAACTAACTCATTCAAAACTTTGTACTTCGGGTAGTCTGATTTTGAACGACTCTTTGAGTATTGCAACTATCTTGATCACTTAGCCAGCAGATAAGAATTTCGGCAATGATCTTGTTCTTAGTGTTGATCATATTCTGTGGTTCGAATTCCTTTCATCTGAGATCACTAAACAACCTATTTACAACACTTGAATATCATATAAGATGTTAGAAGTTCATTGACATTTTTACTTGTAAATTAGGTCTATTGAAGTTCTTGTCAGTTAGTTGTCCATAGATGCATATTCTCTTTCTTTTGATGATTTATTATTGATTTCATCTTAAGGTGGTATGAAACCTGACCTTTTGATTTAGTTCTCTTTATAGGTTTTAAAGACTTTTGTTGTTGACTTGTTCAGAGGTGATACACTTTGACTTTCAGTGAGTTCTTCTACTAGTTGGATAAAATATATACGATGAAGTTAACTTTATTCTACTTTTTCATTTGAAAAAAAAAATATGTTGACAGCTTGATTTATAGGGTTATTTTGGTGGTATATTTCTGAAGTGGAGTTGTTCATCAGTGATGTATATCGATACACGATCCTCTGGCAATCGCAATACAAGTTCACATTTCACTTAGATTGTGTGTGACCGAGTGATCAGATTGTTTTTTTAGCCATCAAACAATACTCATACTTCCATATTAGATTTGTTTATTTGATTTATAACACAGTGATACGTACTATTTACTTGGTGATGTTCGGGGCATAAATTATCATTGCTCATAATCGTATCAATGTAATAATCACACAACTTTCAACATTTGATATTTACAGTCCTGTCATCTCTTATTCTATGTTCCTATCGGTAGTCAACATTTCGATATCTCTAGTATAGGTGTTACATCATTACTATTACATGTGTTGCGTGTTGGGTGTTGATTCGATGAAGAAAGATTCAGTAATCAATCTCTGTCTCCTTCTATCCCCACCTAATTATATTGAACTTGAGTGCAGTGGTTTTATCCCAGTCATCCCATTGTATGGTAGGGTGTTAATTGATGCTTTGCAATAGCCGAGTCTCTTTCGAGATTACTGATCTTATTGTGTTTCATTCTATATTTAGGTAGATTCCTCCCATGTTCAGCTATTGTGAGTAGTGACCGTGACTGACTAGTTTCACGTATGTATTTGACCTCACAGTCATTGTATGGAATTTGATAAATGAGATTATTTTGGTTAATTGGTTGTATAGGATCGTTAATCCAGTCGACGAAGGTTATCTCTGAGTGAATTTTTAAATTTAAATACCGCTTTAATTCCATCCGATGGTCTCTGGTTTAAACCACGGCTATCTCAGTCAAAATGATAATCGATTTTGTTTAGTGAGGCGTGAGATGTGAATAGAATATATAAGTGAATTGTTGAGAATGATTTGAAAGGCCACTGTAACAACAAGTGTGAAATAACCAATCCAAACTTCTTTATTTTACAGAAATCTACCTTTTTGATCGAAATAGACAAACCTAATTGGCTACTTCACTCGTTACTAGAGTAGCCTTTAAATTCATTCTTCGGTGAATTCCTCATTCACGTTTGCTTATAATAAATGTGCCCAAGGTCGTTTCTCGTGTTCGTTTCGAATTCGACCTTGAAGGGAACATGATTCATGGTATTAAAAGTGATAAGTAGGAAATTCAAATTTCTATGTTTGTTACCGTTTGAATAACAACTTTTCATTTTTCAGTTGACCAATCATTATTGCTTAAACAGATCATAAGCTACCCATTTTTGCCATTTCTGCGTATAACTACCCGTTGAATTGTTTCTATGGCGAAGGTTATACATGCATACTATTACTACGTGCAACAAACTCAGTGTTACATGCAACTGCAAGCAAAGTCAAGGTATAGGTTATTGGCCATATAATAATCAAGACTATCTTGCTAATTATTGGCTATACATTTTAATAATTTGTTGTCAGTAACTAGAAGGTGTCACTTATTAGCATACGGTTGTCAAGGGCTAGGGTCTGGGTTCGAATCCCGTTCGATTTATTAAAGCCTGGACAGCTAGGCAGTAAGTATCATAAGTCTTCGCATCATAAGTGTAGTTCATAGCCTAGTTTCAGTTTGCATTGCTGATGAGAAAGTTGCTGTAGTTGGTTTACTGTTACGTATGTATAAAGTTGTGTACAGTAAAGTTTGGTGATCCAAGCTTTTGGCTTCCTAAAACTCATCATCTACGATTCTGAGCGAACTGATGCTCTTTCACAGACTTGAATTTGCATCTATCGAGGCCATAGCCAAGAGCATTCCAGTTGAAGTGTTATAATTGCTTTTCGAGGTACTCTCAGTATGTGCAAATGCTTGAGTTCAAAATTTGAGGATGACGTTCCCTATGTTGGTGGTGGTGAACGCCGTCAATCATCAAATCTGAAGCCAGGGATTCCTATTGACTGTTTCTACCTATCTGAAGTTGTTTACATCAGTTGAGAGAGTATAACATATAAACGTATGTTTAAGATAACATGAACTGTGTTCAGACATCGTTCAGGTATATTTCCTAGGCGTACTTGTCGTGTGATTAGGGGATGGATTTTTTTGTTTTAACAAAATAACTAGTGGATAAAGTAAGAGACATTTTTTTTTGTTATTGTACTTTTCAACTTACAAAGATGTTTACTGATCAACTGGAGAAAGAAATCCCTCAGGTCAAAGAGGACATAAAACAAATCAATACTGTTGTCTTCCCCTCTCCAACTGGTCTATTAAATCAATTATTACGTATGGAAGAGATTTCGGCCAAAGCCCGTGTAAGTAGTCATAAGTTCACTTGTGTATGTGTGTGTGTATTCGCGCATGGAAATTTGTTATTTATTATCTTTATAAGTAGTTGAATTTTGAGGGAGTTGTGGGGATTTGGAAATATTTCAAGTTGTTATTCATCGTAGACAGAAGTTGGAATATGGACCATTGGATTCTGACCCAGTGGATCAACAGTAACGTGCTGGCCGCGGAACCTGAAGGTTGCGGGTTTGATCCCTGGCGGGGTCGTGGATGCGCACTGCTGGGGAGTCCCATACTAGGACGAAACAGCTGTCCAGTGGTCCCAGGTTTCCTTTGTTCCTCCAACTGATGTTAGTCTACGATGAATAATCACTTGAAATATTTCCAAAACCCTACAACTCCCTCAAAATTCAATTGAACCAGTGCTCGTTGGCGACTAGTTTCGAGAGGTATTCCCGAAGTTCTAATGAGAAGTCGTGACCAGTAGAGTCAAAGCCTGATGATCATGAGGACAGTTACTCAACGATGACATTGGTTGGCGGTTGAGCTAAATCGTGAACTAACAGAAGTTGGAAATATGAAGCATTGGATTCTGGCCCAGTGGATCAATGGTAACGTGCTGGCCACGGAACCTGAAGGTTGCGGGTCCGATCCCTAGTGGGGTGGTAGTGGGTGCACACTACTGAGGAGTCCCATACTATGACGAAACAGCTGCCCAGTGCTCCCAGGTTCCCTTTGTTCCTCCAACTGATGTTAGTCAACGATTTATGAGTAATTGTTCATGAAAATTAAATTTACTGAAAGCTAAGGTCTCAAGCAATATAAGGATCTATCCTTAATAAGTTTTGTAAATAAAAATAATAGACGGAAATGTCAACAATATATTACGTAATGGGATAACTTGGACATCTGTTACCAACGTTTATGAGTTCAGGTGATTCAATTTACCTTTGAATCCACATTACAATGTGCTTTCCAAGGCGTCTTACTCGCATAGATCTATGCAAGAATCACTTGAACCCATAATGTTGGTAGCAAACGTCTGAGCTGTTCGATTACAAAACATATTGTCGAGATGGACCACAAAATTAATGTTTCTACATGCTTTACACTTATTTACAAAATATATGAAATTCAACTCTAAAACCAAGTTCAATTTACTATTATTCTCACCTCTTTTACTTGTTAAGCAGCTAATTTCATAACAGTGACATTTTCAAAAGCATCTTCTAAGCGTAAAGCCTCGATTACGTCATTTCTAATCAACAGAATATAATAAATACCCTTGTTTGTATACACAGATGTATTCTGAGAGAGGTTAGTGAATCAATGTCAGAATCCTACAGAGAAGTGTATCATTTCAAGTTGTCACACTTCATTTACACTATCACAACTGTATGGGTAGGAAAAAGCTTATTGAACAATTTTGTCCTTCAGCTGACCAGTCAAAATAAAGTATCTGACTTCTAACCTACCGGTTTTATATTCTGAGTGAAAACTATCCGTAAACGATGTGTTTATGGTCAAATGAAGTGTCTTCCTAACAGTCACAGACCGATCTTCGTCCTCTGGTTTTTACATCTTAGTGAAGTACAAGATGTGAAGGAGAATAGTCTCTATGTTTATCTAGTCCAAACCTTCTCGTATTTCTTATTATTCTCTCAGTCACTTCACATGGGGAAATATGTGCATCATAGTCATCGATTTGACCCCTATCACCTAGAGACCGTACTACTACTCAGTACACAGTATTTTTACTGGGTTAAAGGAGGAGGAAGATAATAAGTTGTAATCTGCTTGATAGGTAGGAGTAAAATTCAGGACGTGCATTTCGTTCTATTTGGGACTCGTCAGCTGGATGTACCTGCAGAGTGATGTTTTTCCTATCGAAGCTCTAACTTAGTACACATCAGTTCAGATGATAAAATGTTACCCACTAGATCATTGAGGCACGAGAATCACTTCTTGTGTAACTGGCATTAGTTGTTATTTATCGATATTTGTAATCTCCAGTTACCATACTAGGTTGAATTGCTCCACCTCTGTTGGTTTACATTCTACTTATGAGTTTCCTCTGTGACTTTATCACACACCTTTAACAGTTAGTATACATTCCCGATGAAATCCACCTTTCCTTATCATTTACTGACAATCTTCGAGGAGCATATTTTTTAAACTGTACCTTCGAGGAAGTGTGTTGCATCCTCTTAGGCCTACTGTTATTTAACAGTCAAACAAGCAATCCAACTGTTTAATAATATCATTTATTGATTGAATTTTTCAAATATTCATGCATAAAATTGATTTTTTTTCCCTCTTAAGATTTATTATCATCTTGTTTTTATCATGTTATCTATCATCTAGGAATATTTAAATATCAATCGAGAAGGCTTGAATTATTTAAGTCAAATTATTAAAGCTTGGGAAATATGGTATAATTGGTGGACTGTTGACAGTGAAGCTAATGATATTTTAAATCATGGTGGACCATCCAATCTAATCATTAATACAACTATTTTTAATACAAATAATCATCTTGATACTAGTCAGTTGATTATTTTACAAGAAAAATTGAATAAACTTAATAAATTAGGTGAATCAGAAGGAAAATTAAAATTAATCAATTTAACTGAGATATTGAATAATATTCAAGTATTAAATGATGAACAACAAAAATATTCAATCAAATTTATTATCTCATCATTATTTAATCAACAAGTACAATCTCATCAATCATATTCACATTCAAATATATTACAATTGAGTATAGTATTTATTCAAAAATTAATTCGATTAGCACATTATCAATACTCTTTAGTTTTTGATGATTTATCATTAGTTATTGATCGTTTAAATGGAAAAATTTCTTCTATTCATAATTTTTTAAATGATTTTAATCAATTTTCAACAATACTTAATAATAATGAAAATTTAATTAAAAAATTAGAAAAATTTATTACAATATGTGAAGAAGAAGATCAAATGAATGAAGTGAAAAGAAATTCTTTTCAAAAATTACAATTATTAAATATTGATTTTAATCAGATAATGACGAATGATTATTTACAGTTAAATTTTCAGGATTTATTCAATCAGTCAATTAATGTATCAATAATAAAATGGGATGAATCGATTTTTATTGAATTTCTTAATCAAATTTCAACGTCAGTGAAATTCTTGACAAAAGTAATTCAGGTGAGTTGTGTAATAATATGCATGATATAACTGTAGGTATATTATCTGAGGGATTGACCTTGAAGATCACCTTGGCCACTGATGAAATAACCAATCAGATTTCGGGATTTCGTCTGGGAAGGTAGTTGTTTTTTATGGAATAACAAGACGTGATTGGTTATCTCGGCGACTGTTAAGATAACCTCTAAAGTCACTCTATCGGAAGCATGTAGAAACTTAGCATAATTTAGAGTGATCTATCACTGACATCAAACCGCATAACAGAATGAGACTGATTAGATGTCCTAAATATTTTCTATTCGTCGAATCATTTTCAGAATCTATGCACTCGTAATTATAGTTAGCTTGGCGGATGCGGTCATGGGCGCGCCCTGCTGATGAGTGTCCCACGCTGGGAAGAAAAAACTGTCCAGTGCTTCGAGGTTTCCAATGTTCCTGCAACTGATGTCAGTCTGTGATGGATTACAACCCAAAATCAACTAATAAATCTTCACAGACCTCTAGATAGAATAGTCTGTATTGTTGCAAGGAATGTGAATTCTAATTACTGCGAAATGTTTACGACTAGTTTATAAGTTGTCAACGTAACTGACAGGATATTCTAGACGTAGAACTGAGAACCATTGAGCCAGACAGTCGACTTCCGAACAGTGGGTCATGGGTTTGAATCCCTCTGCACAAATATAAAGGGCTCAGTTGGGTTGTGCCAACTTGCGCCACCTAGAGTGCCGCCGTGATATTTGTTTGTCTATTAAGGGTCGAGTGTACTACACAGCAGTCCGCTCTCTTCTACTGTATGACTGCGAAACATAGCCACCGAAGGTGGAAGACATGAAAAGGCCTCAGGTGGTTGACCACCGTTGCCTTCGCAGTATAGACCGTATTCCGTGGTGTCACTGTGTGAGTAACGCAGAAGTCAAGTGTAAAGTTTTAGAAAGGAGAGGTAAGTCAGTTGACATGATTGTGAAGCTTCATCGACTGAGATGGTTGTCTGGTTGGCTGGGACATGTGTTACATATGCCTAGTCGCCATCTGTCTCGTCACACAATGTTGGCGAAGTAGGTTCAGGTTGGAAAAAGGCTTGGATCGGCTAAAATAAAAGATGGCACCAATGTATGGTGTCTTTGACTGTTGGTTTGAACCATTTGGGGCAATGCAGGCTAGATGGTTGGGGTCCATGGGACAAGAGGAACCAGTGATTGGAGACTGTATGTGGTGGTATGGCTGGGAACGGATGTCAGTGGTGTAGATGTATCCCCCCCCACACATTATCCTCATCTTAACGACGCTACACTGAATCTCACCACTTTCTTATTCTTCGTTTCTCTCTTTTCGTACTTTATATTTCTTTTGACTGCATTCTCTTATCTTCATCTTCCACTTCTCTGCCTTTTTACTTGATGTACTGATGTGAGGTGTTGCAATTTGGACCGTTACACGGTAATGTCTGGTTTTATGTTGTTTTGGATCGATGGATGGGTGGAATGAGGTTTGGGTAGCCGGATGGTATCATTAGTATTCACAAAATAGGTGTGGCCCATTGCTCAGTACATGAACATCTAAGTGGTTTTGAGATAGTTTAGTTTTAAGGTTTTAAGACTTATTGAACGTCATCAGCAAGGTTTCATTGTAACACCAAAAGGAAACTGGTAGTACTCTCTTAGAGATTGTAACCAGTATCATCCAATGGTGCAGTCGAAGATATTCGTAGTGAACTATTGGAGACAATTATTTCCAAGTATTTACTATCGAATACATGACACCATTACACCAAGTCACTCAACTTGGAACCATCGAATTCATCTAGCACCTACGAGTAGTTAATATGACGTTATTTACTATTTGTATGTATGTGTATATCCACTTACCGTGTTTACACCTTTCCTTTTTCCCACATTGGAATAGTCGAATAGTGAGAGGTTATACTCTCTGGAGAAGTCTGCATGCTTACTGAAAGTTTCAATCGCACAGACTTCGCAACAATCGACCAATGGACAAGATCAAATCAAACTAACTGAATTGGAGAATGTTAGTTCACATTATTCAGAATTAGTTAGACGTGTTCAATTGATTTTGAAAAGAACAGACATTTCAAGGGAGGCATTGAATAAACTAATACAAACTGTTAATTCAATTGAAGAATGGATGAAACAATTAGAGCAGAATATTTCAAATTATACTAATCTTTCTGGAGATAGGCATACACTACAAACACGACTTGAATTGGTCAAAGTAAGTCAATGTATTTATTCTGAATTGTCTTTTGAAACAAACCTCATGAAAACTTTTCTTTTTTAAAACTTACTGACTAATCAAAGTTATGATGTTTTTCTTTCTCCCCTTTGAATTTCATCTTGAAGAAGAGACTAGTAAGTTAAGTGTTGTTTTGAGAACACTTTGTCTTATGTTTGTTGTTATTGTTGTTGTCTTCGCCGTTGTTATCACCATCATCATCATGAGTGGTTTCAACTTTAAATCTGATTATTATGCCCGGTGTGTGTATGCAATGCCTAATTGATTCCATTCTGTATTTTACCAGTCGCTTGATTTTTCACGAATTATTCGCTTTCACTATTGCATAATTTGAGTTACTCTGGGTAAAAGTTTTGACTTCTTGTAAAGTATTACAGATCTTCTGGTGGGTATCAAGCGAATGGTAGAAATCATTGTTTGAAGACTGTAGATGCTAGTTCCCTGATGCAATGAGATTTTATGACCCAGATATATCTCTTTACATGTTGTTACGCACAATGGCTTATCTTATCATCACCTTTTTTTGGCTAACTAGTTTCTTAAAGTTGTTTGGTTTGCATTAAGCTGACAACGCTTATCTCCGAGTAAGTTTATAGGTTTAAATCCTACCATAATTCCAACGTTTTTGAGTATCCTATGTGACAGTAGATCATCTCAAAGACGAAGATGTTATACCCTAGCATAAAAGTAGTATTAAGCTCAGTTGATGTAGCAACTACTGAACATATTAGAGCATAGTGTACATTAACACTGAAAAAAAAAAAGAAAATGCAACAACTTGAAAATTCAGCTTTGAATAATCTACAAAATGATAACATAGTAATTGCTAAATCTGATAAAGTTAATTCAACAGTAGTTATGGACAGATCAGATTATTTCAACAAAATTAACGAACATATCCAAACAGGATCATATGAAGTGATGAAGGAACCTTTAAACACGGTCATGAATTAACAGTCGATATGATACTTTAACTCAAGCCATCTCTAGATGAATTGAAATGGTTTAATTTGAATGCGAAATACTAACAGTCCTAGCGGAATTTGTGGTACTGTTGAGGTTCATAAACCAGGTTATCCCATTAGACCCATAGTTGACTTCAGAAATAACCCCAATGTATGATGAACTAACAGAGTACTTAGCATCGATATTGTGTCTATTCAAATTCTAGACTAGTAAACTCTTACAAGTTATTGCTAAGGCCTAATGACCTACCTGTAGAAAAAAATGAGAAAAACGGTTAGTTTTACTGAAAATTCTGTTTTAGGATAACTTGCAGCAGTTTTGTTATTTGCACCATACCTTAACCTTCTCACTTATCAGTTGGACAGTCAGTTCACCATCCATCAACTACTTGAAGGTAAAATTCTTTGTCGAAAAGACACATTCTTCAATGTCATATAATTTATTCCTCTAAAAACTACTGGAATTGTATTTGTATGCAAATCTTTCTGTTATTTATGTTATAGTATATGTTAGTCGTTGTTCTACTTTTAAGGTAGTATTCGTCATAGACTATTAAAAACCTGGGAGTACTGAACAACTGTTTCGTTTTACTGTGGGAGTCTTCAGCAGTACACTGATGACCTCACTTAGGTCCAATGGTGAACGCGTTAACCACTCATGATATAGCGTGACTATTCATGAAGCTGTCAAGCTGACACCCGCTTCACTTCCATAGATAATGACTTTCTGTTAAAATCTTGGGACATGTATCTTGAATGATAATCTCACTATATCGTGAATTGATAAAAGCAGGAAACTGTGAATCGCTGAACTTCAATTCAGTGACTGAAAGGTTAATACTTTCCCTGGTCCTTTCTGTGGTGTCACCACGTGAATAACGTAGATATCAGGAGTAGTTTCAGGGAGAAAAGGTAAGTCACTTGACACGGTCATGAACCTTCATCGACTGAAATGGCTATCTGGCTGGGACACATGTTAGGTATGCCTAGTCACCGATTGCCCCGTCACACAATGTTGACCGAAATGAGTTGGGGCTGGAAAAAGGCTGGCAGCAGCCACACTAAAACATAGCATCAAGATGGTATGAAGTGTTTGACTGTTGGTTTGAGCCATATGAGACGATGCAGACTAGGTGGTTGGGGTCCATGGGACAAGAGGAACCAGTGATTGGAGACTCTAGGTGATGGCATGGCTGGGAATGGATGTCAGTGGTGCAGATGTATCCCCACACACATTATCCTCATCTTGACCGCTATACTTTCTTCATCTTCTACTTCACTTGATATGAGGTGTGGCAACTCGGACCGTTGCGCAGTGATGCCTGGTTCTATGTTGATAGATGATGTTGCTGACGACATAAGACCTAAATGCCTTGAGTCCCACCCCTTATAGGGTCACCGGTGTGTTGCGGTGGGGAGTCTCATAGCAGGACAAAACAATGTGTGCAATACTCTCAGGTTTCTAATGGTTCACCATAATTCCCTATAAATCGTAAATAGTATTTACTCTCAGTTCCTTTCTTAATTGTTTCATATTGTAATATTAATTTCATTGTATTATTTATTTTCATTTTTATTTTATTAAATAGGATTTAAGCATATTAAACAATGAAGCAGAAAATCGTTTTACTGACTTAATCAAATATGCTCTAGACTGTTTTATATACTGTCTACCAAATAGTCATGAAGATTTCGAATTGATTGGAATTATCAATATTGATAAATGTCATCAAATTTATGAAATTTTTTTAAATATCCCTATGAAATGTTCTCAATTATATAAAATATGGTATGATTATTGTCAACAAATTGAATTTCTTATTAAATCTTTATCAGATATGATAGAAGCATGGCAAGTGTTTGAAATGACTTGTGATACATTACAACTTACTTGTCGTCATATTGAATATTGGTTAAAAGAACAATCTATTTCACTTGTAAGTGAATCAAAAGAAATTGAAAAGAAATTAAAATTATTACAATTTGTTTATAATAAATTAAAAATGAAATTTAATACAGATAATCATGAATCTAATGAAATATTTAATGAAAATTTATTAAATAAAGAACAAGAACAAGAAGAAGAAGAAGAAGAGAAAATTGTAGAATTTCTTAATGAATTAACATTACAGATTGAAGTTTTAAATTCTACTTTAAAACGTTTACCAAATCATCAGCATCAATTGTATTCAAGAGATACATTGACTTTTAATGATGTGATGAATAACTTGAACGAAATCAATTTGATCAATACAGTATCAAAAGAGACCATAATAGTATCAGATTCTTATGATTCAGCATTGAATCGTATTAAATATCTTATGGAAGTTTTGAATTATTTACAAAAGATGACAAAAGAAGTTATTGATCTATGGATAGTTCGTTTAAAACAATTTACACAATGGGATTCTAAAATATTGAACACAGAAGAAAATTTAACCAAGTTATGTACACGTGTTACAAAGATTAAAGAACAGTTCAGTGAAAAACTTGAAGAGATAACAACTTCAACAAAAACTAATAATGAAGATGATGATAATAATAATAATAATATTAAAACTATTGAAGATTGTTTAACAGTAATAGATGATTTAATGAATATACGTGAAGTTATTGGTGCTGAATTCACTGAACTACGTGGTCGATTGTGCAGTTTAACAACTTTTATGAATCGTATTAGTCATAATACTCAACAATATAGAATGGGTGAAATACAGCGTAATTGGGAAGAATTAGGCAATAGTCTAATGAATTTACGTCGAAATCTTCAATATAAAACTACAATATGGAATGATTTAAATCAACAAGTAACAGATCTATCCAATTGGTTCAATGAATTCAATGAACGTATCATAAAATGGTATGAAACATGTCCATGGTCTTCTGAGAATCTATCAATTGAACAGTCAATTGATTATCATCTTTTATCGTCTAATACTTCAAAAGATTCTAATAAATCATCTACTACACTAATTTGTAATGAATTTAAAGATTATTCAAAACAAATCAATAAATTTATTAAACAAAGTGAATCTTATTTGAATTTAACACGTGTACAACATTCAAAATTAATGTATTTTCATTCAGAATTAAATAGTTCTCAGTATACTAATATTAAAATTGATAATTACAATCAATTATTGTATATATTAAATGAAACAATCGATTTAAGTAATCAAATCAATAATAAATTAGATAATATAATATCGATTGGAAATAAATTTCAATTGAAAATAGATAATTTTATTAAAAATTATGAAATATATTTATCTTCTATAAATTATATTAAAGTAGAATTTAATCAATCAATAAATTCAATACCAAAATTTGATCATATTAAATCTGAAAAATATCATGATCAAGAAATTCAATCTTTAATTGAAACACGTTCTATCCTATTGAATAATTTAATTAATCAAATTGGTGATAATAAACAATTAAATGATTTATTAATTGATATATTAGAAGAAAAAACATTAGAAAGTAAAGTATCTCAAGTTGAACAAGAAGATATGAAGATAAATAGTATGTATAAAGAAAAATATGAAGTAGACAAAGTAATTCTTGTTCAACTTTTAAATAATCTTTTGAAAGAAGCCTATGAATTAGATGCATTGTATCAGTCAACTAATACTAATGAAGTAATACATCATACTTATCATACTGTAAGATATTTGATTTATGAAACAATACAATTACGTGAAATGTTATCACAAAAATTGATTATGCTAACTAATGAAACAGAAGATCAATTAAGATTAGATACAATGTTAAATCATTTTGAACAACAATTGAATAAATCTGAAAATGAAATGAATCAAATAGTTAATCAATCAGTTTATCGATCAAAATCATTTGAAAATTGTTCAATTGATATTACTACTGATAATAACAATAATAATAATAATAATAATAATAATAATAATAATGTTGTAATACCATTGAAATCATCTAATTCAACTAATGATGATAATTCATGCTTATATTGGAATCAATTAAAACGATCAATGGAGATTTGTAATGAAAGGATTATACAATTAGATAATAATTTACAATGGATGATAAATGTAGGCAAAAACGATCTATTGAATATTGAACAAACATTGAACACTTATAATAATCGACTGGGAAAAATTGATTTAAAATTATCACGATATTTTAATGAATTAAAATCTAAACATGAAATGAATTTGAATAAAATGAAAAAAATTCATATTCAACTTGATAAAGAATATAAATCATGGCAAGAATTTATTATATATTATGAGAAAGCAGAATATTGGTTATTGAATAATGAATCACTTAGTCAACGTATACTGATAAGTATTGATGAAATGAAAAACGATACAATAACAGAAAACAATAATAATAATAATAATTTAAATATATCTGAAATAGAAATAAAATTAACTAATGATAAAGAATTTCTTTCAAATCAATTAGAGAAATTAGAACAATTAGAAATTGATTTTAAAGAAAATGGTCTTAAATTACGTGAAAATGTTGAACAATCAGCACATCAATTACTATTTAATTTAATTCCTAATTCTATAGAATTTAAAATTAATAAAAAATCACAAATTATTGATTATATAAATATAGCTATTGAAAATTTATTTAATCGATATAATAAATATAAAATTGATTTACAAACAATTCATATAAATCTTAATGAAAAATATTTATATTGGTCAAAATTAGATAAAAATATTGAACAAATTTTAAATTGGTTATCTACAATTGAATTACAATTAAATACAATGGAAATGGAGACAAATTCATTATCAACTATATTAATTAATGATATATCAGTATATAAAATTAATGAACAATTTGCAATACATCAATTAAATGCATGGTGTAATTCAAAATTATATATATTAACTAATTTATTAGATGAAATACATAGATATAATGAAACAGAAATAATTCAATTACAAGAACTTATTCAAACATATAATTCAATTGATCAAGTATTTAAAGATTATTCAAGTAAACAAATGATTACATCATCATCATCATTAATAAATAATGATAATAAACAAATTGTTGTTTCATTTCGAAAAAATGCTTTTGAACAATTCAGTTGTATATTAAAACAATATGAAAGTTTAAAACAACGTATAGAGACATTAATACATTTAAATCATATAATTCTTAATTTATGTGAAAAATTTGTTCATAAACGATGTGAAATATTTCAATGGTTAATTGAACAACGTCATAAATTAAAACGTATAATTAATCAAATTGAAATGATAAATTATACACCATCATCATCTTTTTCATTCATTAATGAACTTGATAAATTATGTCAATTATTTCATAAGACTACTTATGATTTAGAAACATTTAAATCATTCCTATCAGTTAAATATGAAGAAGATATAACTGATATTATCAAAATAATTGAAGAGTTAGATAAGATGACACCATTACGAATGGAACCAGCAGAAATATATCTAGTTGATTTGAGACGAGATATTACAGAATTTTTCAATCAAGTCACTGATAAATTGGAATATTTTCGTGTTTATAAGGATAAATGGTCGAATTTTTCACTTGATTGTAATAATTTAATCCAATGGATAGGTGAACAGGAAGCATTGATCATATCTATATTATCTGCTGAAACTAGTATTGAACTAATGAATCCATCATTATTTCAGTTGACTAATTTAGAAGTAGTTGAAAAACACTTGAGTCAATTAACTGATCAAATAAATCGAAATTGTCAACTACGAACTAATTTAACTGCTCATCAACCAGCCATAGAAACATTGGTAGCTAATGCTCAAGGCTTAATCAAGTCAGGAATACTTTCAACAGGCGTATATTCAACTGATGATGACTCATCTAAAGTACATGATGAATCTATCAAGTCATATTGTACTGTTAACTCAACTGTTGGTAATAATATCGCATTGAATATTGCTACAAATCTTATGCAACGATATCAGACATTGATAAGCCTATATGATCGGCGTTCTGAGACAACACAAACTGCGCAAAAGATGGTTGAGCAGCTATTAACATCGTGTAGGAATTATGATCAATGGGTGTGCGCATTACGAATTACACTATCCGATGTAGAATCACAAATGAATTCATGCGATAATACCTCTTCAGATAAATGCAACTTAATTCGAAACGAAATAGTTGATCTAGTGAGTAGAATTGAATCAGGTGAAAATTTAGTTCAATTGGTCAAGACATGGACTGATCGATACATAGCAGAATTAATAACACAAGCTAACCAACGTCGTACAGAACTTGAAACCCTTCAACATTCAATTAACTTAGTTAAAACAAATTCTAATAGACAATTTGATGCAATTCAAACTCTAATCAATAAACCTAGAAATACATTAACTTATCCTGAAATGGATTATCAAGTAGTTAAAGGGATGGTTCAAGCATTACATGATCGTTTTGAGCACATCTTAAAGAATGTCAATCAACGAAGTTTATCTAGAGATAAATTTACCGCTTGGATTGAGACAACTGAGAGTCAATTAGAGTTGATCAACTCACATATGAATTTGTCTGATTTATCCAAGATAATTTTAGATACACCAATAGATAACTTTGATAAATTGATTGATAAGGTGATAAATTATATGGATATTGCTTCAGAATCGATCACACAATTGGCTATCGACATTCGAAAGAATACTACAGAGATAAAAAATTCAGATTTTATCGATACACACATACAAAATCGTTTTGATCGAGCAGCTGAAAATATTCAGTCAACTCATCAAGATATTTCAAATTGTCTGCAGTTATTGCATCGATTTCAAAATGATGCACAAACATTTTCTGCTTGGATTATTGATTGTGAAGCGAAGTTTATTCGTCTCTCCGATTGTCGTGGTGGTGGTGGTGATTCAAATGACCTAGGAATGTTTCTTCAGTCAGACAGTTTGACAGCGATTATCGATGAAGATGAGCAAATTATGCATCAATTGGATGATTCCTGCCGAAGTTTAATATGCCAATTGACTGAAGCTAAACAAAAATTATTGATTATTAAAGAGATCAGTTCAGCTATTGAAAGTCGAGGCCATCAACTGAATAAACAACTGATTGATTCAGGTGAACAATTGACTAGTAAATTGAAAATATTAGAAGAGTTTTCATGTGGAGATCTTGGGAGACCAGTCAACACATTGGATTCATCTGAGCGTTTAAGTGTGATCATTCAGAGTCATATAGATCAACTACAGTGTCGTTTAATTAGGCTGGATAAAATTCAATCTGTTTTCACTACAAATCTGACTGAATTGGTAGATTGTTGGACGGACTGGAAGAATAGTTTTGATCGATTAATTGATTGGCTAAATGGAACTGCCACCAATTTGAGACGACCGATTTTTCACTCACTAGATTCTTTGTCAACTAAACAACAGCTGGCCAACAGTCTGAAGGTATGTTTCTGTTCGATTGGCAAAAGTCTTTCTTCTTTTGTATCAGAGTTAGACCTGATATGTCGATCATTGTGTGGAGGTTTTAAAACAGAAGCATTTTTATAGGTTCCCAGAAGACTGGTGTGCAAGCTAACTTCAGACCTCTTTGAAACCGTTTCCTAAAACCTGTGTTCAAATGTTTACTAGTTCTATTTGTGCTACTTACAAATGGTAAGTAGTCTACGTGCATTTTAAAAATTAATTTTCCACGCTGCAGCAGTCGAACTTCACATGATAGGATTGTAACCATTTAGAAAATCTTGATGCCATCATTTTTACAACGCACTAATTAGCAACTGATGTTTTAAGTAATGCTCTCCATATTCAAAACTAAAAAAACATTGCAGATGACCCGAATAGAATTACACCTGAAGTATTTAAACAATAGCGTATGTCTCATGTGTTTGCCTCATGAATCTCATGTCGTTATTTGAAAGCATACTGAGACATCTGAGATTAGCTTGAGTAACTTTCATGCCAGAATGTGCTAAACTCCAAACACCATCAGATTACTGATCGACAGCTGTCTCCTTAGTTATCCTTCGTTGTTTTCACAGCATACTGATGCGATAGTCAAGTCTAATTATACTTATATTCTGAATCCCGAAGTTGTTTTCCTGTACAATGATAACTCTTTTTTATCAAGATATCATTTTAGACAATGCACTCAAGCATATACCTGAAGTATTTGATTCAGTCACAAATATACAGGACATCAGTACCACTAGTAAAGTAAAATAAATCGTCTTATCTGAAATCTAGTTTCGATATGCTGGTTAATACTGTTGAAGTATACGCCAGGGGTATTCCGTACTTCATTCACTGTTGATTAAAAGTATAGGTGAAGTGGTACAAGAGTTAGAACTTGAGGTAGGTTTCGTAATACATACAGATAAACTACATGTATTCATGATATCGGCGTCTGCTGTCCGTGAATCTGACCAATTCCCTTGATTACATATGGTAAAGGAATTGGACCTAATGCCAATAAAATATATTGTATGAGATGAAAAGTGCTGAATAATGAGTTCAAATATCTGGCTATAAAATTCAGTGGGATTTGGATAAGAAACCAAGTAGCCTTCATCACCACTTAGGGGCTGTTGACAAGGTTGAAGGGTGGTGTATTGAGTTTGTTACGATGACCGGGTGTCCTGAAGATTTTTATCTTCCCTGAATTGCTTAAAATATATAATTTTGGGTTGGTGTAAATATCACAATTATAAAAGGCTGATGTATTTACTAGAAGGCATATCAAATACTGGTTTGATTTTCTAATCACGCTGTAATGGAGATGGGATGGTCTCCATATAGAGTCCTTGAAGGTAATAATGACATTGCGACACCTAAATATCATGATGATATGAGTATCAGATAATTCAACCGTTAAGAAGAATGCTTTGTGAAAACACTTGATATAGACATCAACATACGTACCAGAATGGAATGAAAATGATAAGGGGGAACGAGGTATGTTGCATGATAGATAATAAGGCCCTGAAAGAGTTTTGGAGCAGTAACATACCTCACTGACAGACCAAGAGGTATTCAGGTGAAGGAAGAATTGTCAACTTACAAAATCTCACGAATCACACGAACTCAGGCCATTTAGCTCCTTTCGAGAGCTCATTCAAAATTCTCTACAGGGTTCGATCAAACCACTCGAAGGGAGTAAAATCAAGGCATCTGTCTATAGCTAAAGCACTGGCCATCGAGGAGTTCAAACTAGCGTTATACATGCAAAAAAGGTGCGTACAACCTTTATCTTTGCAATGGCCATCATAAACCCTGTCTACCATAGATTCGTTTTGTATCAGGTAACTACACATGTATATCTTATTCACTTTTCTACTCTGTCATTGATTTAACCTGCGTTACGTAGTTACAATCTTACAATCTTACATCATGATTCCCTGTTCATTCTCATACTCTGTCATAGGCTTATCCTGTATTAATCGCAATTTTATCCTCATAACCCTTCGTTCATTTTCCTACTTTGCCATATATTCATCCTGTATTACGTAACTACATTTAATTTCATAGTCCCTTGTCTATTTTCCCACTCTAAACATAAATGTGTATTAATTAACTTCCCTTAGTTACTCAGTATATTTTGCCTCCCTGACCGGAAACAATTCTAGAACATTCTGCCCACTGTAACATATATTCACGAATGTACAGATGACTTCATCGAAAAGAAAAATTTTTCTTCGCTGAAATCACGTCTTGTCTTTCCCCATGATTTACTTTCATTGTAAATCACGCTGTTGCAACGTGAAATTCTTCATCCATATACTCAGAAGTGAACAAGTACTGGTATAAATAACCCCGAAAAACTGAGGCGTATACTGTAAACGAAAGTTGAATGAGAATAAGAATTTTCACTAGTCAAAACCGCCTAACACGAATGTTTTCTCCTATGAGATGAAAGGAAATTTAGTAACCCCGGTGCGCAGTAAACAGTTCAAGAGGACCAAGGCAAGATCACTGAAGGTATATAATGCGGACCATTTCCCAGTAGTCATAACAACGTATAACCTGATTGTTGAAAAAAAATTAGAGAACAGCTTATTCGATTCACCATCCGTACGAGTTACCTGGTTGTATGAGTAAACAATCCATAATTCTTTCTCTAAGTGTTACAATGGTAAATCCTACTTTACTAATGACTAATGCACTGTTAAAGTGAATGACTGGAGCAGTGGCTCACTGTTTTACGGGGGTCGAACAATTACCAAGGTTTCGACAGCCGGATGATAACATTAACCGCCACACAATATATATGACTGAGTCCATTTCATTCTTCACGTTCATATCAAAATAAATAACTGTGATACATGAATTGATTCATATTTATCTCTTCTTCTCACCTTCCTTGCTGACTCTCTTGAACACAGGCTTTCTATCAGGATTGTATTGGGAAAAAAGCTGATTTCGACCTATGTTTATTAAAAGCCAATCATGTGAAGAGTTTAGCACCAAATTGTAATCTACCTGATCAAAGTGAACAGCTGTTCGAGCAGTATAAAAACACACTGGATACTGCATATGTGAGTTGATCAATCCGTTAATATTCTTTCTTAAATTTAATTTTCATGACTTCGTTACATCATTACTGAAAAGTTTGTTGAATTTAGTTGTCGTTTCTATCAAGTTCCTCTTTAGATAAGTTTAACTACGAAAATAAATTGTGAAATCGAGTTTAATAATATCGTTGAGGCATTTCAGTAGAAACTTAAGGTGATTACTATAAGCATTATGAGAATGCCATTCGTAGATGATTCTGGCCAATAAAGTATAACCTAATGCTGACCAATGAAAGCCAAGGCTACTGTCAATAAGCCAATGAGAGATGAGGGTCAAACAAGTCATCATCATCATCATTATCAACATAGGACCAGGCATTACTGCGTAACGGTCCGAGTTGCCACACCTCATATCAGCACATCAAGTAAAAAGGTAGTGAGGTGAAGGATGAAGATAAGTGAATGCAGTCAAAAGAAATATAAAGTATGAGAAGAAAGGAAAGAGGAGTGACAAAATAGTGAGATTCGGTATAGCGTTGTTAAGATGAGGATAATGTGTGTATACATCTGCGCCACTGACTTCGGTTCTGAGCCATATCACCTAGGGTCTCCAACCACTGGTTCCTCTTGTCCCGTGGACCCCAACCACCTAGTCTGCATCGTCCTACATGGCTTAAACCAACAGTCAGAGACTTCATACATTGGTGCCATGTTTTAGTCTGGCCACCTCGGGCCTTTTTCCAGCCTGAACCCACCTCAGCCAACATTGTGTGACGAGGCAATCGGTGACTAGGCATACGTAGTACGTGTCCCAACCATCTCAGTCGATGAAGGTTCACAACCTCGTCGACTGACTTACCTCTTCTCCCTAAAACTCTACACCTAACTTCTGCATTACTCACATGGTGACACCACGGAATACGTCCTATACTACGAAGGCAACGGTGGTCAAATACCTGTAACCTTCTCATGTCTTCCACTTTCAATGGCCATGTTTCACAGCCATACAGTAGAACAGAGCGGACTGCTGTGCAGTACACGCGACCCTTAATAGACAAACGAATATCACGGCGGCGCCATAGGTGGCGCAAATTGGCAAAAGCCAATCGAGCCTTTTGTATCCGTGCAGAAATCTCATCGGCAACTAACCCACCGGGTTGATCCTACTTCCCAGGTAAGTGAAGTGGTCAACACACTCAACCACTTCACTCTCTATTGTTAACCGCGGTACCGCTGAAGACCAGTCCTGGAGCAAAAATTTGCATTTGGGTGGTGAAAATCGCATCCCAAACATTCTCAAATTCCCACTCAAAGTGTTCAGAAGACTCTGCATCTTGTCAGCGTCTTCACCTAACAGGACTATGTCATCTGCATATTCTAGATCTAAGGAAAATTCACCTGTTCCGGTCAACGTCTTTGTAATTAGGTGACGAGAGGGAAACCTCCATAAGAATATCTATGATAAAATTAAATAAGAATGGGGATAGTGGGCATCCTTGACGGACACCACTTGATGAGTATAGCTCCCTGGACAACTCACCATAGGCTCTAACATGCCCACAAGTGTTCGAGTAGAGAGCTTTCAATAAGGTGATGTACTTACTAGGCACGCCTTTCAGTGACAGACACTGCCATAAGACTTCTCGATCAACGGAGTCAAATGCCGCCTTCAGGTCGAGAAATACAGCTATTGTCGGGCGTCTGTAAGCATGCCTATGTTCCAGGACCTGGCGCAGTGTGAATATTTGGTCGATACATCCACGGCCAGGTCTAAAGCCTGCCTGGTTTTCTCGGGCTTGCTGTTCCCGAGCTCCACTCAGGCGTCGGAGAATTATAGAACTTAGGATCTTAGACACTATGTTTGTCAGGCTGATTCCTCTGTGGTTATCACAAGAGGACTTCTCGCCTTTCTTGAAGACTGGGATGATAGTGACTTAGACCAGTCGGAGGGGATCGTATTTGATTCCCATATACTGGCTAACACTTCCGTTAGCCTGACTAAGAGAACTCTACCACCATTCTTGTATACCTCAGCAGGTAGTCCGTCTGGTCCTGCTGCCCTTCCCGTTTCAGGCTACCTACCGCTTTCTCAACTTCTTCTAGTGTTGGGGGACCTGTCTCTATGTCCCATTCAGGGTCCGACTGGATAGCGGGCAGCGCAATGGTGGCTGGAGGCCAGTTAAACTGTTCCTCAAAGTGTTCTGCCCATCGTCCCAGTCGCCTTCCCTGCGAGTGAATCGCCGATCCGTCCTTCTCCGCTATAACCTCACTAACTGTTGTTGACCATTTCCCCCCAGTCTCCTTAATAAGTCTAAATAACTGTCTACTGTTACCGATCGCCGCTGCCTTTTCCATCTCTTTAGCCTTTGCTGCCCACCACTGTTCACGATCGTTGCGCAGACTTTTCGTCAGTTTATTTTTAAGTTGCGCTCGCTCTTCATTGTACTCAGAGCCTGCAGGGATGCATTCACGTGCATCCATTAGTTTGGAAGAAGCTGCTGATATCCACTGGCTCTTTTTAGCCATTATCTTGGAGTCGGCTACAGTCTCCAGTGCTGCTTTTACAGTAGACTGAAGATGGCACCAAGCTTCTTCTGGATGAGTGACAGTCTTTTGTTCCGATAACTGCCTAGCCAACTTCTCACTGAACACGGCTTTGGTGTTTTCGTTGTCCAGCAGAACTCGTAGTGGTTTTGTTGCCAAATTTTTTCTACGTCCATTGAGACGCAGGCATATACGTGCTCGGACCAACGCATGATCGCTGTCCAAACACGTACTCCAGAAGGAGCGGCAGTCTTCCACCGATCCTCTCCAGCGATGACTAATAGCAATGTGGTCTATCTGTGTCCATCGCTGAGTCGAGCTCGGTGGACGCCAGGTCAGACAGTGCCTTTCTTTATGTCTGAAATTTGTGCTGGCTAAAAATAGGCGGTTATCTGAGCATAGTTGTAATAGGCGATCACCGTTATCTGTACGTTCAGCTGGGATTCCGAAAGTGCCACCTAAGTGCCTTTCTGCCTCACTCAGTCTACCCACCTGTGCGTTGAGGTCACCTGCAACAACCACTACGTCCGAACGTTTGGCTTTCGAGAGGAGGTTAGACAGTTTATGGTAGAACTCGTCCTTCACTTCATCCGAACTACAGTCAGTGGGTGCGTAAGCAGAGATTACAAAGAGACAACGGCGAGTCTCACTATTCCTTTTAGTTCTCACTGTGCCGTTCAGCCTCATAGCGCAGAGGCGACTATCAACTGGGATCCAGTCTAGTAGTGAGTTTTCTGCCCTGGTGCTTAATGCTATACCTACACCTGCAAGACCACGAGAGCTAGCTATCGAATCTCCAGAAACTCGAAGGGTGAATTTTGCAGATTCACCAGATTGGTCAGGAGAGGTCAGGTGAATAACCACACTTGGGTCCTGTATGCGTGTCTCACAAACACAGCACACATCCATGCCCGAGTTGCTAGAGTCTTTGCCAACGAAGCCTGTTGGCCAATTTGACGGAGGGTGCGGACATTGAAGGCTCCAATATGTAATTTGGAGCGTGGTTTAAGGAGACCAGGGACTGTTCTGTGGACTCAGATCGTTGTCGAAGGCTGCAGAGGTAGGAGAAATTGAAGATGATGCAGCATCATTAATTAAGAGACGTGAAGGAAGATTAGAAGGTAATGATGGAGGAGGAGGATAGCAGTCAGAAGAAACTTGGGTGCTGACAGAGTTGTGAGGGCGGTTGACACTTCCCGGCTGCCCACACCGTGGAAGGCTATTTCTTCTTAAGGTACCTGAAAGAGATTTGTGTGACCGCAGAGCCCATCGGACATCTGCTTGAGGCCTGTCACACCCAGCCTTTGAGTATGATTATTTTGAATTTTTGTATTTTTGGGGCCGGATGAGCGAAAGGAAACGACAAGTGAACCAACACCGCCGGCCCGGCAGACCGTGGGGCGTGGTGGAGTGTGTTATTTTTGGGCCGACCTTTTCTAACCCCCCCTTCCACTGAGAAGGCAGCATCAGCTTGGCACTGCTGGTCATCCAAGGGAAACACCTTACTGCTGTCACACCCCATCCAGCTAGCAGCAGTACGACTTCGCCCTCAGACCCCCATCATAGTAGCAATTTACACTATGACGGTAACTGCTTTTCGTCTAACCACTACCCAACAGACCTTTCTGGTATGGTAGGACCTCGAGGGAACAAGCGTTCCACCAGCATAGCTCGTTGGGTCATTGTGATATGCAAGCCCGACCACCACGTCAAGGTAGCAGCTATCGGTCGGTCAAACAAGTACTATAAAAAGGTCACTGGATAATGTGTAGTACGGTCAAATAGATATCATATGCAAATGTGACAGTTGTATTGTCATGCAAAAAGTTGTACATTGCATGTATTCCTATAAAGTTGTCAAAATTTATAAGAAATGGAACTGATACAACGTTTCTCTACGGTCTTACATTTCGTTTAGATGCAGTTTGAGATAAAAGCATAAAAGACTTCTCTTTGATCCGTAACACTTGCTCTGTACACTACTGAATCATCAACCAGATTGAAAATTTACAACTGAGTGATATCCTGAGGAAGATCGATTCTTCCTGCTGTGTATACAGAAAAAAGAATGGGAACTGTCTAAGCGTGGTTTATGCCTGAACTAGATGTACACAAAGGCTAGTGAAGATAGATATAGATTTCAACTTTCATTGAAAATTATCCCTTCACTTAGATCTTTACTGAAATGGTACATTGACATAGTCATCGGCTATCTGTTTAGCTTTTATTCAGTGTTGCCATAAGGAATAGACATGTAAGCAATGCTAAAGACTACACCTATAAATCGTTTTTAAGTATTAAAGACTAAACTGTATGCAACAATTCATTTAACTAAATCATTCATCTTGGGAAAAGTTGAAAGATGGATTGTGATCTCATTTTCAATCTGAGTACTGATCCTTTTCCGTTTTACTGCGTTATTTACCTCAATTAGAAATAGTAATTGACAAAACACTTATATTGTATCCAGTGGAAAGCAACTGAAATCTTTTATAGAACTTCGATATTTCCTCTGTTTGGAGCTTACCATTCATCCTATAAGTCAAGAGTGAAGTACATTAAACAGGCAAACACTGATATTTCAGCTAATCATGGGGGCAGTGATACGTAGCATTTAAATTGTGTCCGATGCAGTCAGAATGACAACAACAGCAGAATGAGAATTTGCAGTTTGTTATGTATAGTTGGTGCAGTTGATAACAAACGCATTCTGCTGAGTTATCTCTTTACTAGAGAAAGAGAATCCACAAAAAGTGCCTATCACTGATAGACAAACAGATTAAGTAGATGGAAAAAGTGATATCAACGTAGAAAAAGGTATGTGAGAAGAGGCGGAACTTAATAATGAAAGTTGGTGAAAATATTCAAGCTTTAGAAGACATCAAAAAGTAAATACATTTACGCCACTGCGACCGATTTTCATTCATTCTATAAAGGGTCTTCAGCTATTGTTTCCTATGATCAAGGAGTCCACAGCCAAGCAGTTTACAACTCCCTACACAACTCAGATCAAGAGACCGAGATTTCATAGACTAGTACTGCATCTTAGTCTCGTCACCCTGAGCCTTCTCCCAACCTAATCATACTTCGGATAACATTACACATCGAGGTAGGCAGTGGCTGGGGATTTGAAACTCACACCGAAACCACTTAAGTCGTTGAAGGTCCACAACATTATCGACCGACTTGCATGTCATCATGTCTGTTTCCCGTCGCCTAGCCCAAACATTGTCCACTTGATGATCTCACTATGCGCGAGTCCTGTTACATAGACATTTATGGTCGATAACATGTAGTCTCTTCATATCTTCTGCTTTTAACGGCCATGTCTCACAACCGTATTATAGGACAATGGAATACAGTGCAGTATACTTGTCCATTAACAGGTAGTCAGGATATTTTGTCACCCATTAAATTCCACAAACTGAAAACTGACAATCCCTATTCATTTTCGCTCATAGATGCATCAGTTAACCATCAAATAACACTACTTCATGTCTCATAGCTGTAACAACGAATATGAATGTGAAGATTCGAAGTTAGTCAAACTCTAAGAACAGAAAAGAACTTCTTGAAGCTTGACACTGAAGTCGATTAGCAGTTGACATAGGTCTAGCTTATCAGCTACTGAAAACATGGAGGAAAAAGCCACTGAGTCACATTATCTGCCACAGAAATCAGTAGAATTGTAATTTTGTGACAACTTTCTATGGAGAAGAGGAAAGACCTAGTTCGTTTTCAAATTTGCACTAAGGATGCTATTTTACACACCCACCAGAATCGAATGTTCGCATATGCGCATAATGCTCATTGTCGTTAGTATCATCTACACTGTGAAATGAAAGTGAAGATGGGTCGGGCATACACTGAGAAGGCCAACTAGGGACATCATGCGCCAGGCCAGTCCCTCGAGTGGAATCCGAATGGGAAACGACGAGTTGGGCGTCTGAGCCGGGGTGACATGGAGGAGATGATGTGAGGAAGAAATAAAACCTTGTTGGCAGTGGTGGGGAGAGGTTGAAAAGATTGCAGACAACAGAGTGGAATGGAGACGTGCTACTGAAGTTGTATGTTCCACTAGGAACCCTAGGGAAAAATAATAATAATACACTGTGAAATTACGTTTTTCACAAAAGGGTTGTAAAGTACATCATAGAGGGAGCATTCAGATTGAGGTAATTTACCGAATCATAAAACTGCGTAACTAGACCATAGGCCTCAAAAATAAATTGACCAAAAAATTTTCAATGTTCATTTACTGCTTCATATTCATCTTTAAAGGCTGCATTGCAACAAATGCAGAATTCGGTTGAAATTCATGAACAATTCGATCAAGATGTTTCTCGTACTACTCAATGGCTTGAAGACATAACTTATAAGTTGACCAGTCTATCAACAGATGAAAATACAGATCGTTCTACACTGGAGCGAAATCTTCTAACTTGCCAAGTGAGCTTTCACCATTTACTTTTTTCTTAAAATCAAATGTATATATCGCTTTTTTAAAATTCTAATTGGTCGACAGATTAGGCTTTCATTTGCTGTCGACCATCATCATGTCTACACTATCAACTAATCAGGATCTAAGTAAAAGCTGTAGATGAATGAAATTTTCTTAAACCCAATCACTTTCAAGGTCAACAGGTGTTGAATAGACATTTACGCAGCTTACAGCTTTTTTGAAGTTTGTATAAATTAAGATGCGGCCTATTTGAGCACATATATTATGTGTTTACGCAATACGTTTGTAGTAACTTCATGAGACATTTACTTGTCTGTCAAAATACACTTTATACAAAGAATAGAAAATAGAATTAAGTCAAATGATTAAATAAATGTAATAAAATAAATTTCAAAATAGAAGGATGACAAAGAAAGTGTTCACGGATTGATTTCACTTGAGCAATCGTTGGGAGCGCCATCCTGTTAAGAAGTCTCTAGGTAGAAAGAAGCAGCTGCCCAATGCTCCAGGGCTTTCAGTGATTTTCAAAGGAAAAATATTATTTTCACTTCACTCATGGGAAAAGAACTCCTGAGTAAGGTTTTAGGATAAGGAAAGGTTGTTTTCGAATACACAAAAGGGAGTGGTAGTATTCAGCTTTTGTATAGCCAAGTTCTCAACCAACCTAAGCATACGATACTGATGGTTCGAGGTCAATCCTATGACCTGTTTCCATGAAATGTTTATCAGTAGACTGAAATGTCTGTCCCATATACTGTTCAAGAGTATTTGTTTCTCCAGCCATTTATAAATACTTGCTACCACCCTCAACATCATAGTACAATTACTCATCTGAATGTAGGTGTGGCATATACAACGGAATGTGTTACATGGATTACCAGTGTAGTGATGACGTATATTTTGAAGTATGGATCTTGTTCTCTTGGTTGTATAGGTCATCCTTTTAACAATTGAACTAAATCTTCGTTTCAATATCATGTTGTTCAATCACCGTCTTCAAAACGCAATACTGACCAATTCTCAGTATTGAACCATTTTCTTACAGATTTATGAACTTCAGGGGATATTCAGTATTTGTTGATGTTTCGGTCAGACATTTAATTTCTTTCAATTTCTTTGTTGTTCTGATATCTTGATTCCTCTTAAGTAAGCAGTTTAATAATATACTGAATTAGGCCAGAGCTGTAAACATCTAGATACTCTTCTCCAAATAAGCTTCCTGTAGACTAGTATTCCTATTTTAGTGTATCTTCTCCTATAGTCAGCAGTATATCCAGAAACGGTGGGTGATTATTATTTTCTACTTCATATGGTATACTGACTGACTTTTGACAGTGATGAATCTCCTTAGTAGGCGTTTCGTATTATTATGCCTGTTGCAAGTTAGTGAGATTTCATCAACTTATCTCCTATACAGAGAAATTTTCAAATGTGATACACAAACATTGGATAATTTTGGTTTCCTAGGCCTTTTCTGATTTCCCAGGCAGATCGAATCGAATCAAACTGAAATGTACTCAGCAACCTTATGCACATTCATGCAGTAGGCATTGAACCAACCACATTTATTTTGTGAGGGTTAAGGATGCTAACTAGCTGTATTCGTGGATCTTATCCCGTCACAAGCATTTTCTTGGATTTATGACTAAAGTTTTCCTGTTAACTTCAAACTACTCATAAGTAATAAGACGAAACTCGGCAATAAGATATTTCATTTACCCCCCAGATTTCTGATTCAATATACTGATATATATTTTGAGGGAACTGTGGGGATTTGGAAATATTCCAAGTTGTTATTCATTGTGACCGGTGGGGGCAAAGCCTGATGGTCATGAGGACAGTTACTCAATGATGACATTAGATGGCGGTTGCGCTATATCGTGAGCTAACAGAAGTTGGAAATATGGACCATCGGATTCTGACCCACTGGCTCAATGGTAACGTGCTGGCCGGCCAGGGAACCTGAAGGCCGCAGGTTCGACTCCTGGTGGGGTCATGGGTGCACTGCTGAGGAGTCCCGCACTAGGATAAAACAGCCGTCCAGTGCTGCCAGGTTTCCATTATTCCTCCAACTGATGTCAGTCTACGATGAATAACAACTTGAAATGCTAATATAAGTTTGATACAGACATTTTCCTTTGTCAGCTTTAAAAAAAGCAAGAACAAACATTAGAGTAGAATGATATTCATCCATTTTATTATTTCGACGGTTCTCATCAGCTGCTCAACACCCTAATTAAATGAGATCAACCAGTTTGCACAGTTTTCTTACTTCACTATATCACTGTCCTGTGTTTCACTTGATCTCAGTGAACTTACACTGTAAGCAGTTGATAGAAACCACCGAAATAGTAAAATGTCTTTATATTATTCTACTTTAATGTTTTTTCTTCCTCTTTTAAAATAATAAAGTTCTCCGTTTTAAAACAAATGTTGTTTTTTTCTCTTTGCTTAGAATCTTTCAGAAACTGTTGCTTGTCAATCAGAGACATTTATATCACAATTAGTATTAATATCTGATCAAGTTTGTCGTACAACAGACTCACTTACAAATAAGGCAATATTAGATAAAGTTGATGTGTTACGTCAATCGGTTCGACAAAAGATTCAACAGTTAACTGATATTCAAACAGATATTGAAGTAAAGTTGAATATGATAAATGATTGGGAAAATGCTAAATCTAATGTTGTCAATATGTTGAATTCAATCTGTCAAAGTATACTGACAACTGTTTCACAGGAAAAAACATCTATTCAACAAGTTCAACCGATAACAGCCAATATTCTATTGACAATCAAGGAAGAACATTTAAAACAGCTTCAAGTAAGTTGGTGTTAATAGACTTTTCAATAACCAGTAGGTACCTTCTTGTTAGTATTGGGGGTTTATATGGATGGTTGCACACACACACACACACTTTTAACTCAACAACCAATGGATTATACGCTATCTTCAGCTTATACGAGATCTTTCGGCTAAGTATACTCATCTGTTTATTGTTACTCATCAGTAATAGCCATTGTCATATGTGCATACTATTGTAGTGGGAGTTGGTGATAAGAATGAATATAAGTAGTATATGTTGAGATATCGGTAGAAATCATAGACAATTGCCAGCAGTGGGTAAAGACTCTCTCAAGGGAAACGCAAGAAATAATGTAGGCGTATAAAGAGCAAATCAAGATAGGAGCAGAAGGGAAAATGAAGCACATTATGCAAATGACTGTCTTAGCGGAAGGTGTACAGTATTTGATGACTACTGTACAAAGTGTCACTAACAAACATTCTGTCCTGCATCTCAGTCCTGTCGTTCCCTATACAATTTTCTTCAGTATTTCAGTCAAGAATCCTATAAAAATCACTTTTTGCCGATTTATTAAACAGTGAATTCTTGTAGAAAAGTGCCTACGTATGCCACTCCTACTGAGTTATTATTAATTCTTAGGATGGTTTGCAGTGTACTGCTAGAATAGAGTTGAAGATATTTCATGCTGTGTTATTCAGTGTTCCTTGGAATGTTGGAAAATCGATCAATAGATGCAGCAGTATAACTTCACTTATTCTACTTGAAAGCATTTCCTATTATCTGATAATTATTTTCATTTACCATTCTGTTTATTATCTTTGAGATATTATTAACCGCTGAGGCTAGATGTCACTGTTTTGAGTCCATTCCTGAACTGTTTTCCCTTCTGATTTTGTAAATATTTCCTTAACTTAAAATCTCATTTTCTAATCAATGCCACTTCAAATATCTTACTTCAATGTTCAATGTCCACTATTTGATGTAGCATGGCAAGTTTAAAAGTATTAGTTACTCCCTTTCTAATGTATGCTGGCCAATGTTCATAGGTAAGGATTATTTTTGTTGATTCATTTTAAAAACAAATAGGATGATACAGCATGGATACCAACAAATGTACTAGACAGTATACTCCTGTTAGTGGTAAGTGTACATCGACAGATATACCTTGCTGACGAGTGCCAACAAGCACTAAAACTAGGTCGAACAGGGCTCCTACCGATTACCTCCAATCAACTAACATCCATCAAAGTACACCGTGAATAGTTTACCTCCTAGCTTGATAACCACATTGCAAAATGATGCATACAATTTGCTCAGCACTTAGAACTAGGCAATAGTGATCAACCAATCCTAGGCCAGTCGCAGTCCGAATAGCTCAGTGGTAACGTGGATGACTGCAACACTGGATGACGCGGGTTCAAATCTCAGATAGCATAACAGTTCCGACGAGGTTCCAGATACGCCTTGCTGAGGAGTGCCAGTAAGCTCGACTACCTCTAACTAACTATCAATATATATCTAAAAATTCGAAAGCTGTTTAGACAGACAAAGAAGGTTGTCTCTTACATACGCTTACCAAGTTTTAACGTGGGAAGCAGAAAACTTTCTTCCTCTGATGACAAGCATATCATAGAAATGGGTCACAGAATTAGTATCCAAACAGCTTTCAAAGTTATATAGAGACAGTTAGGGATAGGCATACTGAGATTGGCGGAGGCGACGGGCAGATGCAAATAATAACCACCTTCGTTTGATGAGTATCTTACCAACCAACTGATATGTACTTAACTGTTTTTCCTATCAGAGAGAGACATTCGAGAACCTTTGAACCATCGTGATATGATTGATATGTAGATGAACTGACCATTGTCAATCATTTACTGTATTCAGCCTTTCTAAAAATTAGCAAACTTTACCGGTTCTGTGGAAGTGCAAAGATTTTTCCTATAATACTGCAATAATTGATGTATTAGTCGTTGTAGGAAAATAAAAATGTCATTAAGTAGTTTTTTCAGTGGATATCATCAGATGCGAATTCAATTTCATTTACAGCACTATATATACAGGTGTGCGTAATTCTTTGACACAGATGTTGACGTGACCGGTGGAGAATTTTCATTAGACCTAGAATATGTACATGACATAGTCCTGTTAAGTGAAGACGCTGAGAAGATGCAGAGTCTTCTAAACATTTTGGGAACCAATTTGAGAATGTTTTGGGCTGCGTATGTCACCACGCAAATGCAAATTGTTCCTCCAGGATTGATCTTCAGCGATGCCACGACCAACAATAGAGAAAGTAGTGGTTGAGTGTATTGACCACTTCACTTATCTGGGAAATGGGATCAGCCGTACTCTGGTGGGTGAGTGGCTCAGTGGCGATGAAATTTCTGTATGAATACAAAAGGCTCAACTGGCTCTTGCTAACTTACACCACCTGTGGCGCCCCCGTGATATCCCATTGTCTATTAAGAGTCGTGTGTACTACACACCACACCACTCCACTCCACTCTCTTCTACTGTATGACTGTGAAACATGACCACTGAAGGTGGGAGACATGAGACGGCCCACCAGGTGGTTGACCATCGTTGTCTTCATAGTATAGACCGTATTCCGTGGTGTCGACATGGGAGTAACTCAGAAGTCAGGTTTCGGGTTCTAGGGAGGAAGGATAAGTCAGTTGACATGATTGTGAAGCTTCATCGAGTGAGATGGTTGTCTGGCTGGCTGGCTGGCTGGCTGGGACATGTGTCACATATCCCTAGTCACCGATTGCCTCGTCACACAATGTTGACCGAAATAGGTTGAGGTTGGGAGAAGGTTAGAGGTGGCCAGACTAAAACATGGCATCAACATGTTATGAAGTGTTTGACTGTTGGTTTGAGGTATGTGGGACGATGCAGACTGTGTGGCTGGGGTCTGGGGTCTTAGAGGAACCAGTGATTGGAGACTGTAGGTGATGGTATGGCTGGAAACGGATGTCATTGGTGCAGATGTACCCCCCCCTCCCACACACACACACCATCCTCATCTTAACGACGCTTTACTGAATCTCAGCATTTTCTCACTCTTCGTTTCTTTTTTCGTGTACTTTATATTTCTTTTGACTGCATTCTCTTATCTTCATCTTGTGCCTCACTGCCTTTTACTTGATGTATTGATATGAGGTGTGGTAATTTGAATTGTTACACAGTAATGCCTGATCCTAGGTTGATCTGGGAGCTCTTCGACGTAAGCATACAACTACCATCTGAAGGGTTTACCAGTTTGAAGCCAGCTGCCGAGGTCTTAGGAATCAGGTAGTTGGTGCTACTGATGAGAATGGTTATAAGTAGTATATGTTGAGAGGTTGATAGAAATCATAGACAATTACCAACAATGGATAACACTTCCGCCTGGAGAAACTCAAGAGACAACATGGTTGTATTAAGAGCAAATCAAGATAGGAACAGAAGAGGAAATGAAGCACATTGTGCAAGTCACCGTGTTAGTCGAAAGTGTACAATATTTCCTCAATACTATACAAGATGTCACAGTAAACATTTCTTCTTACGTCTCAGTTTCTTTCGTTTCTCATAGTATGATTATCCTGCATACAGTAGGTGTGACTCGTTGCCTTCTTCATGGATATGCATTATTTAGTTGCTATGTTCATTTCGATACAATTTCAAATATGCAAAAAGAAAACAATCACAAAAATATTAATTTTTTGAACACCTTCTTAAACAATCTTATGTACACTAACCGTCTTAATGAAAGCTATCGACATAAAATACTGTTTAGATGGCAGAATCAATAACTGGGTGATGATTTTTATGACCCTTAATATCTTTCTACAACTTTCACAAAGCAGCTATAAATTTATCGAATTCATTTATCAGATTATCAAGAGGTTTATCTTTGAATGTTTGGTTGAATTAGTCGTCGAAACCGATGGCTCTAAACCTTCTAGATTTGTATGAAATGTCACATAACTACGAGTAAAAGTTATACATATAAATAGTACTTTGTATATAAATAGCCTAGTAAATATTATTATTATTATTATTAGTCCTTTGGGTTCCTAATGGAACATAGGGCTTTACTAGCACGTCTCCAGTGAACTCTGTTCTCTGAAATCTTTTCAACCTGGCTCCACGGTAGTCCAGAAGCTCTCATTTCCTCCTCGCACGATCTCCTCCATGTCACCCTCGGACGTCCAACTCGTCGCTTCCCATGGGGATTCCACTCGAGTAACTGGCCTGACGCGTGATGTCCCCAGTCGGCCTTCTGAGTGTATGCCCAATCCATCTCTACTTCCTTCTCCATATTTGTTGGGTGATAGGTTCTTGGTTGGTTCGTTGTCAGCCAGAGTTCCTTGTTGCTTATTATTTCTGGCCATCTGATCTTCAGTAGCGAGTGGGCGTAAGCACTTGTTGATAAGTGTCTGTAGTTTATTGGAAATCCCTTTCGTAAGGCGCCAAGTCTCTGAACCATACAGAAGCACTGACTTGACATTGGTGTTGAAAATCCGGATGTTGTTTCACATGCTGAGTTGAGTGCAGAAGATCTCCACACTGGTTTCAGGCTAATGAACGCCTGTTTTACTTTTCCGATCCTGGCTGCTTTGACATCCTCATATGTTCCTCCTGTAGTAGAAACAGTGCTTCCTAGATAGGTGAAGGAGGTTACTCCCTTCAAGTTTCTCCCGTTGATGGTGACTGGAGTTTGTTGTTGTTGTTGGAGTTGTTGGTGCGGTATCTTCATCACCTGTCTTCTCTATATTCACCTGAAGTCTCGTCTTCGTTGCCCTGCCTCACCTCTTCTGTCAACTTGTTAGTTTTCGCCTGTAGATCCTCAAGTTTGTGTGACATTAGACACAAGTCATCGTTGGCGAAATCCAAATCTTCTAGGTTCTTTTCCGCAGTCCAGCCGGCGTATCCCCCTCTTCTCGCTTCCCACTGTTTGCTGCATGATCCAGTCGACCACAATCAGGAATATCATGGGGGATAGTAGGCAACCTTGTTCCACTCCTGTCTTCTTTTCAAAGGCATTACCGAGCTTCCCATTGTGAATCACTTGGCATGTGGCATCTTCATGTAGTTGTTGAATGAGGCTGATAAAGGTTTGTGGTATTCCGTAAATCATGTAGATCTAATCACACATTCCCAAGACCATTCTATAAATCGTTACGATGTTCAAAACTACATCCTAATGTCTCAAATCTTATTCGTCTTACGAACTCTCATATTAACAGTTGCAGCGAGAAGCTGTGCCGATTAATTGAACTTCATGTATCTGCTTCTTCTGTGCTGTCTGACATCTCTCTAGTTTGTCATATCAAATTTATCAATTTTTGTAGTTCAGTTATGATTAAAACGAAGGTGGAAGCTAAAGAAAAGTTATTGAAATCATGTATTAGTGACCTTCACATAGAGTCATTTCCAGTAAATCCAGATAAATATGTGACGAACTTGTCTTCAGTTGAACTTTCGGTATGTGAGAAAGAATCTCTTTCCCTTGGATTTAATTTTTCTGTCCCATACCATCATAACAATGATTTAGCCATCGATGCCCATTTCGAAAATTTATATGATCAGTTAACTTCTCTAGTCCCTACCTCTTCGGACAACCAGAGTTGGTTGAAGGCTAAACTAGTTGATATAGCCCATCAATTCCATAACCCAGGTCCGAAACAGAGATGCATTTTAACTACGCAACACTTCAAGTCCCTGAAAAACTTACAGAGGAATCCTGATGTGATAATTCTTAAGCCTGATAAAGGATCAGGTGTTGTGTTGATGGACAAAGTAGACTACAAAAATAAAATGTTGTCTATTCTTTGTGACAAAAGTAAATTCTTGACAGATGTTCCATCAGAGGATATAAGAAAATTAGAAAGAAAAGTAACAACCAGTCTAGTTAAACTCCTTAACACGGATGTCATTGCTAAAGCGGAGTTTAATTCCTTGAAACCCATGGGATCTAATTTCCCAAATCTATATGGACTTCCAAAAATTCACAAAATTGATAATCCACTACGCCCAATATTGTCAATGTGTCAGTCTCCCACACACAAATTGGCGAGGTGGTTAGCCGAATTACTGAGCCCGATTCGTAATGATTTATGTAAGTATTCACTGAAAGATACGTTTGAACTTGTTGATTATCTTACTGATTTGAATATTAAAAATAAGAAAATGTATTCTTTTGATGTTAACTCTCTGTTTACAAATGTGCCTCTAACGAAGACAATTAATATTCTTTGTGACCACATATCTTCGAATTATCCTTCTTTCCCTATTCCTTCAACTTATTTGAAAGAACTGCTTTTATTATGTACTGATAAGGTTCATTTCACTTTCGAAGGTGAACACTTTCGGCAAATTGATGGTGTAGCCATGGGGAGTCCATTAGGACCGTTATTAGCTGACGTATATATGTCACATACTGAACTAATGGCCCAAGATTTAATCACCAATGTCACACTTTATAGAAGGTATGTGGATGATATCCTTGTAATATGTGACACAGATGAGGATGCCAAGAGGTTGTTAAAAAGGCTTAATACCGTACAAGATCATATCAGTCTGACATGTGAGGAAGAAAAAGATCATCAACTTGCATTTCTTGATATACTCTTGTGCCGGAGGGAAGATGGATCTATTAAACGATCAATATATAGGAAGTCTACTTGGACAGGACAGTATTTGAATTTCTATAGTTTTTGTCCGATGAAATATAAGAGAGGCCTAGTAAGATGCTTGTTCAATAGAATCCAACGTATTTGTACATCTGATACGATGGATGATGAGAATAAGTTTCTGACAGACACTCTAGTGGAAAACGGTTATCCATTACAGTTTGTCAACCATTGTAAAAAACAGTTGACCCCAAAGCCTACAGTTTCCTCGGTCCCGAAGAAAAGCATATTTCTTAAAGTACCATACAGAGGGGAAACAAGTAGTATGATATTGAAGCAGAGATTAAAATCTGTTATCAGTAAAACATACTATGCAGCTCAGCTTATCATTGTTGAGACGACAAAACACCTGCTTCACCACAAACCTCAACCTCGCACAAATGATTACATCACATCCCACTGTGTTTACCAATTTACATGTATGTGTGGGCACACATACATAGGGAGGAGTAATCGTTCAATGCAGACTAGGGTGGGTGAACACATCCCCAAATGGCTAGAAAAACAGTTTAACACACAAACTTTGATAAGTGCAGGTGACAGACATCCATCGTCATCTATAGCAAAACATATTATTGAAATGAATCACAGGGTTAATACGAAAACAGCGTTTAAGATAATATACAGGAATAATCAGGGGTGCATACTGAAGTTTGCCGAAGCGTTAGCCATTCGTAAACTTAATCCCCCGCTGTGTGTACAAAAACAGTTTGTTGTTTCACTTAATTTACCTTGGTAACTCTTATCTGATTATGTTACCAAGACTAGTGTCACAACCTTTTCATATTCACTATATTTGACCTTTAATTTTCATATATAAATTGACTTGACAAGTAAATGTGTGATCAGATTGTTCGAAATGTATTGCGTAAATACATCACATTTTTCAGATAATCTTCGTCTTCTAATAGCGTTATCGAAATATGCTTTTAATAATTCAATTCTGTGAGCTATCGCTTCAATCCGAGTTTATCTCAATGATGAACTCATTCTCAAACTGATTTTTGCAGGTTATCCTTTCATTTGACATGGGTAACTTTAGTTGTGAATGTTACAAAGTCAATTAATTGACAATTGAGGAAACTTATGCTTCTACAGTGCTTGAAAATGCATCTGAGCAACCATATGCTTTCGACTATCAACTACATCTATTGTTTTTAGTGCTTATGATACTACAAAACTGCCCAAACTTTGATAAATGAAGAACGATTCAAATTGGGTTACCCCACTGACTAGATTGGTAATCTATACATATGTGTTTCCCCGATGGTTCGAGACCGCATCACTTAGTGACGAATTCAGAAACTTTATAATCAATTTATCAAGGTCAGCTATCTTTAGCCACTTGTGTTTACAAGCATTGGTATAAATTATGCAACTTTCAAGTTGGAGGGTAGATGGCCATTCTGTATGCTTTTATTGTTATATATATATATATATATATATATATATATATATATATATATATATATATATATATATATATATATATGGGTTCTTTTTATTCTGCCTAGTGGTAAAATTATGTGATCATTTTTGCCCTACATTTCAGAATATTAAACAGGAATTTGAACCAGTTCAAATGAAAATCGATGAACTTAAGAAGTGCAGCGAAAAATATACACAATTTGAACGTAAACTCGACATCATAAAACAAGTTGATCAGCTGACTGACAAATATGCTAAAATACAAAGTGAAATTGAAGTAAGTTTACTTTTGACCACTTATATGTGTATTGTTATGCAGCAATAATAATAGGCAATAAGATGTGACGACTAGTTGTCTTTTGACGATTGTTTCGCTAGCCATTAGGTTCTCTCTGCGCAGAACGAATAGAAAGACATGGATTAGGTTGGTGTATGGGAGTTCATTCAACCATCACCTAACCTTTGTGCACGAATACAAAAGGCTCAACTGGCTCTTGCTAACTTACACCACCTGTGGCGCCCCCGTGATATCCCATTGTCTATTAAGAGTCGTGTGTACTACACACCACACCACTCCACTCCACTCTCTTCTACTGTATGACTGTGAAACATGACCACTGAAGGTGGGAGACATGAGACGGCCCACCAGGTGGTTGACCATCGTTGTCTTCATAGTATAGACCGTATTCCGTGGTGTCGACATGGGAGTAACTCAGAAGTCAGGTTTCGGGTTCTAGGGAGGAAGGATAAGTCAGTTGACATGATTGTGAAGCTTCATCGAGTGAGATGGTTGTCTGGCTGGCTGGCTGGCTGGCTGGGACATGTGTCACATATCCCTAGTCACCGATTGCCTCGTCACACAATGTTGACCGAAATAGGTTGAGGTTGGGAGAAGGTTAGAGGTGGCCAGACTAAAACATGGCATCAACATGTTATGAAGTGTTTGACTGTTGGTTTGAGGTATGTGGGACGATGCAGACTGTGTGGCTGGGGTCTGGGGTCTTAGAGGAACCAGTGATTGGAGACTGTAGGTGATGGTATGGCTGGAAACGGATGTCATTGGTGCAGATGTACCCCCCCCTCCCACACACACACACCATCCTCATCTTAACGACGCTTTACTGAATCTCAGCATTTTCTCACTCTTCGTTTCTTTTTTCGTGTACTTTATATTTCTTTTGACTGCATTCTCTTATCTTCATCTTGTGCCTCACTGCCTTTTACTTGATGTATTGATATGAGGTGTGGTAATTTGAATTGTTACACAGTAATGCCTGGTTTTTCGTTGATCTGGATGGATGAATTAAGGAAATGCAATGTTAGAATCACGTTTGATTTGTCTCAAATAAATGCTTCTTGGGCTTTGCAACTCTATTTCTAGTGTAGGGATGATTAAAGTTGAAAGTAATATCTAAGGTGTGACAGAATTCGACTCCTAGGCTCATTCATTTAAACGTTGTCTCGAATCATGTCTACGTTTCGACTTCCATGATCATAGATAAAGAGTATGTGTTTATGACTTCTTACGTCATTGAGTTATTCCCTTTTTAAAATTCTTTATACATGAGACCATCACTACTCCTTCTCTCCACCCTTTATACTTTTCACTTCTTGTTTCATTTTGATTTTAGATACATCTTGTTAAAACTGATAAAGAATTACAAAATCTACGTGTATTTCATACAAAAATTGATGAATGTAAAAGTTGGATCTTACAAATCTCTTTAAAGTTAATGGCTATTCATTCAACAGATCCAGATGGACCACAAGGTGTTATTCAGTTAGGTCAAGCTGAAACTAACCTAAGAAAACATCTTCATACATTTCGTGAAATTAATTTATTCAATTTAAAATCAATTATTTCAAATTGTCCATCAGAAAAAGATTTTGCTATAGAAACAGATCGAATTATTCAATGTTTATTTCAAACATCTAGTGGTATATCAACTCAAGTTGCAGAGCAAATTATTGATAATATGAATAAATTAAAACAGTCTACAGAAGAAACAATAGAAAAACAACAAATTTTAAATGATGAAAAAGAGACTATTGATCATTTTCAATCTAATCAGAATGTTACTTTATTAAATGATCAAGTTCATATGAAAACTTGGAGAGAATTATTTCATCTTGAAATTGTTGAATTGGAATCAAATTGTGAAAATTTAGAAATGATGTGTAAACGTATTAAGGTAAGTTTGTTTTGTTTTTTTATCAATTTTAAGGTGGTTCATATTTGTGGATGCCTTCTCTGAGGCTTTGTTTGACAATTTCTATGATAAGTTGTTTTAACAGTCTGGAAAAAGGCCCAAGGTGGCCAGACTAAAACATGGCACCAATGTTTGAAGTCTCTGACTGTTGGTTTGAGTCATATGGGGTGATGCAGACTAGTCGGTTGGGGTCCGTGGGACAAGAGAAACCAGTGGTTGGAGACTCTAGGTGATCACATGGCTGAGAACGGATGTCAGTGGTGCAGATGTATCCCCCCACACACATTATCCTCATCTTAACGACGCTATACTGAATCTCAGCATTTTTTCATTCTTCCTTTCTCTCTTTTCGTACTTTATATTTCTTTTGACTTCATTCTCTTATCTTCATCTTGTGCCTCACTGCCTTTTACTTGATGTATTGATATGAGGTGTGGTAATTTGAATTGTTACACACTAATGCCTGGTTCTATGTTGATATTGATGATGATAACGACTTATCAGAACATTTACATTATGAGCTGTGTGAATGCTCCTCTATTGGAGTGAAGCGATTGGCCTCAACAACTGGTAATTACCAATTATAACATGAAGACTATACTCATTGTACAAGGATTAGTTACCGTTGCTCAGTAGCTTATTGGATAACGCCGTGATATTGAAAGTGTTGTTCTGGGTACTGGTCTTCATGGGAAGATCACACTACTCACTAGGATTCCACTATTAACCACTAACTATCACTTGTAACAAAGCGAACCATACTGATGTTTTTGAAATATCCACATAAAACTTCTGTTCGCCGCTATTTCCTTATGAATTACACCTCAGTGAACCGTGGAAATATCAGACTATGACGGGGTATATGTGGCAATGTTAATCGTTTTATTGAGTAAATAGGAATATCTTAACTACTTCGCTGCATAAATGACTATTCGAAGCTGGAATCCTTGAGCTATTGATTTCCCTCAACTTATCTTCCATAAATATGTTGAATACTTTAGAGGGTAGTTTTTTCTAGCATATCATTCTCAATGAATCAGTCTATAAATGATCACTAGTTCAGTTCGGGTTCAGCTACATTAGATCTTAACAGGGTTTCGTTCGATATAAAGTTGAACTACTAAGTCGCTTAGATAAATTTGCACAATGTAGTAAGAAGATGGCAGTTTATCTGAGAAGTGTAATATGCTTGCGTTGTGTATGAGGTGGGGAATCCGACGGTATAAGTTTGAGACAAAAGCTTAATTCAGTTGTTAAAAGAACATAATATGCAGCTTAAATTGCTTTTCTAGAGAAAACAAGAGCTTATGCTCTAAAACAAACGTCATCACTATATTGATGATCAAGTTACATCCCATTGTGTATGCTACCTTATATGTTTATGTAGACACATATACATTGGGAGGTTGAGGGTGGTGGGATATATCCTCTAAATGTCTGGAGAAAACAATGCACTTGAACAGTCAGATAGATACAGGGAGCCGACAGACACCATCATCTACATTATGGAAGCAGACAATAGGATTGATTCCGAAACAATCTTTAGAATAACTTAGATGTAGTTCATCCAAAAAATGTGATGTATTTGTACCATACATTTCGAACAATTTGATCACGCATTTACTTGTCAAGGACAAATATATTATAATGAGAAATGAAGGGAGAATGGTGATCTTTAAAGTCAGCCTTGATAAACGGATAAGATAAAAACATTTGACAAAACAATACAAACTGAGCATCGAGACTCAGCTGATAACCAAGTTTCCATTTCATCTTGAATCATCACTCCGTATCAATAACACCAATCTATCAAAGCACCGACATCTTCAATAGTCTGACTAATGATATTTTAATGTTTAGTTGCCAGTAATATCTGAATTCTATCGATCAAGTTCTTGTGGTGTGACGTGAATTGACAGTATTGTGCATTGTATTTATTGTGTTAGAAGACTTCGTCTATATTCCACATACTCCTTTTTGGTCATTATCAACACTGATACAATCTACTTCAGATGATTGAACTCAGTGGCTTTATCGCACACTGTATTAGTAGTATTTTTCCAGCACTGAGGACTAGAAGAAGCATAATGTCTTATTTACTATATAGCGACCAACTATTTATTGAAATATTTGTAATTCTCCGTTGTTTTATTGGATCGAATTATTCGATCTCTAGTGGCATATGGGCTCCTATAAGGATTGGTTGTGGCTAGAAGAGGAATCCAGGACCTGCATTTTGTCCTATTTGGAACTCGTTATCTGGATGTACATGCTAGCCATAACCAACCAAATCACCATAATTAACACAGACAATATCTAGACATCCGCATAAGGAGCCCATATGTCAATAGAGGTCAAACAATTCGATCCAGTAAAAAGCAACGGAGCACTACAATTATGTCAATAAATAGTGATAACTACCACCCGTTGTACAAGAAGTGACTATCGTGCCTTCGTGACAAAGTGAATAACGTCTTGGCGTTTTAAGCGATAGTCACGAGGTTCGTGTCCCAGTGGGAACAATTATTCACTGGGGTGCATGTATATCCAGCTGACGAGTCCTAAATAGGACGAAACGCGTGTCCTGGATTCGTCCGCCAGCCACAATCAACCAAATTACCGTAATTGAACCCTACAAATACTTGTTTGTATCTTATTCCCTAAAGTGGCATGGATTCATCCTAACCCAGCACAAAATCTACACCATGCAAAGCTCTCCTATCGATTGTATTGGCTCATTGATTGTCCATTCACTGTTACACTAATGTCTTTTTTTCAGGATAGGCTTATGGAGCAACAACAAAGATGGGCTAAATTTGTCTCAGTTCTTCTTCGTGTAGATAAATTTTTACGAGTAGATCTTTCAGAATGGTGGCGAATAACAAACTCTAACAAATGGCTTACTATCAATGAAGGCGTGAATCATCATGATGAGGACAATGTTGATGATGATGGATTGACAGAAAGTGACTCACCTCAATCTGAAAGTTCAAAAGAAGTGCAACTAGTCTTTTTTGAAGAAAATACAACACCTGGAAAGACTAGAAAGACACAACTACAACCATCTTTATCCATTCACGAGCTCTTAGCTGGAATAACAAACGCTAAGGCTATTCAAGCTAAGATACAGGTGAGTATTGAGTATTGTTCATTTATTGGTTCATTTTCTAGCTATTTTATAAGTAGCGAGACTATCCCTTAGACGATAGGCATGATCCTTAGTAATATAGGGACTTGTTATCGCCCAGTGTTCATTGGTTTGATAGGTTTCCGTTTGCATACGGCCTCCTGTTTGAATGCCTCAATGTAGTCAATGATTTCATTTCGATATTAAGGATGAGTATTGGCTAGCAGTGGAATCTAGGATGTGTTTCGTCCTGTTTCAAACCCATCAGCTGGATAAATATGGAACCCAGTGAGTAATGGTTTTCGTTATATCCTTGTAGTGACCACTTTGATTACACCCGTTGACGGTCGTTTAGTTCCTCGTTAATGGAGAAGGCAGTAATTCATTTTTGGCTTTTCGACCAGTTTGATTTTAACACGTTAGCTCACGTATTGTTTCTCGAAGCTTCTGAAGGAAGCGATTGGTTATAAAGGACTTCAGGGGTTTATAACTTCTAACAAAAATCATGGGAATCTTATTTCACATTATAACAGTGATCCCATTGAGAATGGAACCCACCATCCATCGTTGCAAATGCCGGAGAGTTATCCACCATCACTCTCTGTAACTAACGTAGGTAAATCATGTAGCTGATGACCTCCAAATAGGTCAAAACACGCGTGCTGGATTCCATTACTAAGTGATAATCACCCTCAGGATTTATTGTCTGTAAATACTGACAAACTATAAGGTTATGAGTTTCTACAAGTATCTTTGAAATACAAATCCAAATAGAGATGTCGTGACCCTCGTTCCTCCTGGATGCTGAATAGCGACTGTTATTCAGTTTAGAACATAATAAACACCGGAATCAATCGGTAACTTGTGATCCAACTTTAAGTTTACTGTTTTCTCTTCCATAACAATAGACTAAAGGATATTAAACTAATAGAATAATCCTGTCAATAATTAAAATTGTCAGTCACTTTCAACTGATTGACTAGTTCTACTACAGATAATATGCTAAGTTGAATACAGTGTATTTCGACTTCACTATAGACACAGGCGAATCAAGTGTTAACTGCAAGAAGATATTATTACTATTTATCCCTTGGGTTCCCAGTGGAACATAGGACTTCAGTAGCACGTCTCCATTCCACTCTGTTCTCTGCAATCTTTTCAACCTGGCTCCACCACTCCCCACAACCCCTCGTTTCTTCCTCAGACGATCTTCTCCATGTCATCCTCGGCACCGACGCCCAACCCGTCGTTTCCCCTTCGGATTTCACTCGAGGGACTGGCCTGACGCATGATGTTCCCAATCGGTCTTCTCAGTCCATGCCCGATACATCTCCACTTCCTTCTGCATATTTGTTGAACGATAGGTTCTTGGTTGGTTCGTTGCCAGCCAGCCAGCCAGAGTTTCTTGTCGCTTATTCTTATTATTCTGGCTATCTGATCTTCAGTATTGAGTCAGCGTAGGCAGTTGTTGATGAACATCTGTAGTTTGTTGAAAATGCTCTTTGTAACGCGCCAAGTCTCTCAACCATCACATGGAAGCACTGACTTGACATTAGTGTTGAAAATCCGGATCTTGTTCCACATGCTGAGTTGAGTGCAGAAGATCTCCACACTGGTTTCAGGCTAATGAACGCCTGTTTTACTTTTCCGATCCTGGCTGCTTTGACATCCTCGTCTGTGCCTCTTGTAGTTGAAACAGTGCTTCCTAGATAGATGAAAGAGACTACTTCCTTTAAGTTTCTCCCGATGGTAGTGATTGGAACTTGTTGTTGTTGGTGGTGGCATTGGTTGGGTATTTTCATCACCTCTGTCTTCTCTACGTTCACTCGGAACCCCGTCTTTGCTGTCTCGCCTCCTCTGTCAACTCGTTGTTTGTTGCCTGTAGATCTTCGAGTTTGTGTGACATTAGACATAAGTCATTGGCGAAATCCAAATGTTCTAGTATCTTTTCCCCGGTCCAGCCAGCTCCTCACTGTTTGTTGCATGATCCAGTCCACCGTAGAACCAATCCAACCGCTACAGAAACTTCAAAGCCGGAAGATATCCCGAAATCAAACGAAAGAACTCTCTTCCACTACCTATGAAATTCGTTGAAAACTCTATAGAAACAGGGTAATCGGTTTTTAATACCTTATTAACATGTTATTATCTTTTGTGTTATTCATTTATATCAAAATTGATAGATCCATTCCTTTATATGCTTCTTCATCAGATTTATCTTCAAGAGCTGTCAGCTGTTAGACATCGATGTTCTACACCACCTCCACGTCCTACAACGTCTTTAAGTTTAGCTCCATTAACTAAGTATTATGATCCTTCAACTATGCTAACTGAAATATTGGATAATGTTACTGTTGAACAAAATGTTAAACCATCTTTAGCTGTGGATACTACAAGTACTACTTATGAGGTATCAAGTAGTAAAGTGCACATGTCTGAAGAAACAATGAATGCACTGAGTGGTTTAGAATTACGTCGAAAAGCTTCACATATAAATGAACAACTTGAAGTAGAATTAAAACGAGTGAGTTATTAGTTATTGTTTTTTAGAGAGTGGAATTGGTTGTGGTTATTTTCCTTCTATTTTTCACTAGTTAGCTTATTTATTACTTATGCATATGTTGCGTTCAACCTATACAACTACTGATAATCCCTATTTGGTTAAATATTAATTGTTATGTTTTATATTTGTTGACTGTGAAATATAAATTTTCAAATATTTTCACTTATTCAATTACCTATCGAATATCAATTCAGAGTTATTTTGGGTTGATATTTAGTATTTTATCCATCTTCGTTACTGACTATGTTTTATACTGAACGGGCACTGAATACTGTGTAACTTTTCTATAAATTTTACCAATTTTTATTGGTTCCTCATCAAGTTATGTAGTATAGATAGACAGATAGGCAAAAGTATATAGAAGGAGAGTGAATGAATAAATGAAGGTTAAGGGATATAGTCAAGACTTCAGAGATAATAAAGAAATGTATATATTTGCGCCATATCACGGAGAGACTCCAATTGTTGATCCCTATTGTCTGGAGAACTCCATTCAAACAGTTTAAAACTCTCTGCGCTGCTCAGACGAACAGTTATTGACTTCATGGACTAGTGTCACGTCTTAGTTTAGTGTGATATGCCAAGATTACAGTCAGTTTGAAAACATGTAGGTCACTGGACCCTCTATTTTTCGTACTTTAAGGATATGTTGAACAAAAGCATCAAGATGAATGGGGGAATGGACTGCTTAAGACATACAAGTGTTCTGTAGGCCCAAAGTGACATACTAGGGTTATGATAACCAATAACCGTTGGGATTTTGATACTGTTGAATGTTTGCTGCCTTTTGGAACAGGTTAGAAGAAGTGACGAGGAGACCAGTGGATGACGTGGTGCTATCAGACTAAGTAAGTTCAGTCACATATCAGGGGGAGTTGGATTAAGTGGGGAAGGGGTTCAGGGTGACCAGACCAAGTCACAGCATCTTTCAATGAAGTCTTTTACTGTTGCTTTGATCCGTGTTCGGAGATGTAAACACTACTTGGCTGGGGTCTCCGAGACGATAAGAATCAGTGGTTTAGGACTCTTGATGATTTGGCTGAAGATTGGTCACATTGGCGCTGATGTATACACTCCTTGACATCCTCTAAAGTATGAATAATCGCGCTAACCTTCATCTTCAAATTGTTCATTCCCTGATATACCTTTCTCTACTTTGTTCTTTGCATGGTGTTGTGAAGTGTAGCAACTGATTTTGTCTGTCTGTTTGTGTTTCTATCACCTATCAATTGATATACTAAAACTCCCCTGTTTACAGTTCAAGTGATTATGCAACTCAATGAATTGAGAAGTCACATAACCTTTTGTTTCGAAACTGATAAATGATGCTGATGAAGTGGTGAAAGTTTGTCAAATGTTTCATGCGACTGCTTCTTCTGCTCTGACTATTGTTTTATTCTCTCACTCCCTTCCTTTTTCTTTCATCTCTTTATGATATTTTATTATATCTTGTGTGATACATTTCTTGAAGCTCACACTTCACCCACTGCTAGCAGCCAAGTAGACTATAATATAATGTATGTTTGAGGAGTAACGAGTCCTCTTCCTGCGAGTACATTGGCTAAAAGAGTTCGATCAATTCGACGCCATATACCTACAGGAGTTGAAAAGTGTCAGATAACAGCAGCAACAACATCTGATATCCGTTGCACAAGAGGTGGTTCTCATGCCCCTAGTGACCTAGTGGATAACCCTTCTGCGTTTGAGGTGGTGGATACTGAGTACTAGTCTCAGTGGGGATATCATCACTCACTGGGCTGCAGGTACGTCCGACTGACAAGTCTTAAATAGGATGGAGCACGCGTTCTAAGTTCCACTGGTAGCCGCCAAGTAGATTACAGCATGACAAATATCCAGGCAGTGTCAAGGCATCCACATGGGGGGAGGGCCATCTGTCATCAGAAGTCGAACAATTCAACCTAGAAGACATTCTATCTAGTTTGTGTTACAATGTTAATAATCAGCCACTGTTATATTCCTTTCCGTGGCCTTATTCGCCTAGTGCATCAAACTGCATGTTGTTGTTGAATTATACCTCTGTTCTCTCTTCACTCACCATCTCTCTCTTTTATTAATACATAATTGTTTATTATTTTCTATTCTAGCTGGATAAACATATTGAACGTTTACAAGATTTGAAAGTACGATGGGATCAACAACATCTTTGTGAAACTGAATTTCTTAACTGGTTACATCAAAAACAAAATGAATTTGATCAAATTATACATTCTCAACAACAATTTCAAACTGATAAAGTTTATTCAAGTACATCATCATTAATGATCACCACCAATCGAAACATGAATCATTATTCTCAATTATACAAAGCAATGGATACAAGTCGTTTAGAAAGCTTATTAAATGAATTAAATACTAAAAAAGCAATTATTGAACAATTGAAACTTCAAAGTCAATCACTTATTGGTAGTAAACTTTATTCATCAAATATTCGATTAATTGAACAAGAATATATTCTACTTGTTAATAAATTACAAGATAATCTTAATCATCGTCGATTACTTACTAATCAAGCATTAGAAGCGACTAGATTAACAGATAATTTACATGCTGATTTACATGATATTGTGAAACGTTCAACAGGTATTGACACTGTTCAATGTTCAACAGATGTTGAATTGGAAAAAATTGGAGTAAGTTATTGACTAATGATATGTATCATTTGTTATTATTAGTATTATTGTTTTATATGTTGTTATCATTGTATTGTTGTATTGTTTTACTAATGATTTTTTTTTGTCCATTTTTTTGAGTTTTTTGTTGTTCTCAAAGTGTTATCGAAACATTAGATTGGTGTAGTAACATAGATATCTCTTGCATATATATGTATTGTTGTCATCCTCTTTGTTGTTTTAATTAATGTATTTACTTTTCTTACCGCTTTATTTGTACTAGTCATATTTTGATTGTACTTTTTCTTTCTCTTCCTTCTCTTACATATATATGCAAATATATATATATTCATTCATCTAAATATGGCATATCTGTCCATATGTTAAGTGGCAATATTCAAATAGAAAATGGACTGGTAAAACTTGTAATTATCAAAAGAAAATATCGAAATATCCATCATTTAGTAGAAGTAATAGTTCAAATCAATTAGTTACAAGTTCAGGAATAACTTCGAAACCCTATGATAGAGTATCAACTCCTATACCAATGTCAAGTAGTATACAACCACCTATACTAACTAGTCAATCCGAATACAATGTACATTCAATATCACAGAAACCAATGGATACAATAACAACAGGTGTTACTGATTGGTTATGGTTTTCACCATCATCTATTCTGCCTGATTCATCTTTATTACCAATAGATGTTAATGAATCTTGGGAAATGGATCTTACACCTAGAGAAATACACCAATATGATAATGAAGAGCATAATTTAGATAGATCAAGATCATCTTCTAGAGTTTCACTTGTTATACAACGACCTTGGACTACTTTTAGAAAATATGATCGAAAAAATAGACAAGAAGGTATTGATGAGTCAGATATTGTAAGTGGATCTAGAGAAGTAGACTTTCCATTTAAGAAGCATGAGGTAAAAACAAGTTTTACACAACACTTGAAACCAATCAAAAATGTATCTACTAAAACCTCTAGTTTATGGAGATCTCAATCGGTAAAAGTGTTACCACTTGAATCGAACATAGATAAAATCACTAGTCAGTCAATTTGGAATATTTCAGGTGTTGTTGATCCGTTTGATGATTTGAATTTGTGTGTTGGAAGGCGTTCAACGCAAAGTCCTATGATACCAATGTTATTACGTCGGAGTATATCGCCAATGGTTAGTCGAACTCTTAACCATAGAACTCGTATGAAAGATACTGATAATGGGATGATGTTTCAACTTGGCAACTCTATTAGACATAGTGGAATAGTTGATATCCGACCATCGTCTGTTTCAAGTCAAAAACAAGCGTATTCAAGTCATCCAAATCTGTTCGATTCTCCTACTACTTCACATTCTCGTGTTAACCAACATTCTCTTCTCGATAAACCCAGTACATCACATTCATTTCTGTTCAGACCACCGTTAGCTTTATCTCAACAAAGTTTACATGAACCATACAGGCCGTTGCATTCAATTCGTGTCTCAGGACTTAGTGGATATGAGTTTCCTTCTCCATCTGTTTCTGAATTTGGAAATATTTTTTGTTATAGTCGTCCACAGCCAATGGGTGCTTCAATATCTGATAATCTCTTATCGCCTAAAGTTAAATCATCAACAAGTGAACAAGGTATTTATGATTTGACCAGACGAAGAGCCACTGAACCATTCCAACTTCAAGAGGGTATATCATCGAGTATTATTCGAAATTTGCATACTACTACTACTACTATTAACACCACTGCTACTATAACTAGCACTGCTATGACATCACCATTTCAACAACCAACCACTTCTTCAATGGATCCAATTCGTGTAGTACGACCACAGACTATAGCTCAGTTAGCAGTTCAACGTTATCGTAATCAACAACAACGCCAAATTCAACAACAACAACAACAACATCAATTCAGGTGGAAACGTTGAGAATCTGTCCATATAATCTTCCATTATATTATCATAACTAGAATAAATTGAAAACGCTTTCCTGATCTCACTAGTACATTAAAAATGCTGATAAAATACCAAAAGGTGAATTCATACTGATTTCGAATGAAATCTTTTCATCATTATTTGAAAAACCCGCTTGAATTTTAAATGGTATCAAGTATATTTAGATTTAAAACAATTTCTATCAATCGTTCCTTTTTTGTATTTTTATTTCTTAATGCATGTGAAACGTCTGCTGTACAATAAATTGTTTATTTTCAGCTGATTTTCTACTATTCTTGTACCCAATTCCAATGTCATCGTACTTTTTCTCTATGTTTCTTCCCCCCCTCTACCCAATGTCTCGCGCCCCCCTCCCCAGCCTTGCCTCTATTACACTCCTTCCTCATAATACATATTCTCGGGGGGATGGTTTTTCATAACTGTGATTTTCTAAGCTCTACATGATATCATGTTGATCATGATGGATAGTTGTGTATATACTGTTGCTGGCTGTGAATCTACCATGAATCTTCTCAAGAATTAATAACATATAAACAGACTTATTTGTTTGTTTTTTATCCTGTTTTTGAAAAGCTTTCAAGAATTCTTTCTAGATAACATTGTAACCTCTGACTACTTTGTGTTTTAGATTTAGATTACACGAGAAAGTTGAATACTTCAGTCTTACAAACTCCGTTTATACACTTTGAACTGAAGATATTGTGTATCTTCGTATTTACATGTGTATGTATGTGTGAGGTGCGTGCGTGCGTGCGTGCGCATTCTTTTATTTCTTTTCTGTGTACATTAAAATCATTCTCTTTTTGATAGGATTTATTTTATTGATTTATTACTTTGATTTGATTTCTATTTTGTAAATTATCAATACTATCACTATTTTAATTGTTGTATGCAATCAAGAAATGACAAGGTTGACATCCAAAATTATCAAACATTGAATAGATTAATTATTTACTTGATTCAAAAGAGATAATGTTGCCTGGAACAACTTCTATCAGGAAATTAATGAACATTTTTATACGTGAATCGATATAATGAACGTGTAGGTTTGATTAGTCGGATTTTTTTTCTCGAACAGTTTCCTTTTTATTTTAGTGGTCTTCTAGCAACCCCTGATGGTTAGATAAACGTATACGTCGTCTGTAAAGTGTTTTAGATCACATCACCAAAACATAGTGAATAATAATTCGTGTCAAGCTACCCTATTAAGATGATAACATTCATATGGATTTCTTGACGTTTTCCACTGGAAATGTCAACAATAACTTCCTGTCATGGCAGATAGGGAAAAATAGACGGCATATACCGAATTCTTGCCTGAATGTTTACTGTTACTAGTAAAATATTTAGTTATAGACATAAGTGGTAGCTCATCCTTCATGCATTGTTGAATCAGACGGCGGCTGGAGAAAATCAATCTCAGCCTAACAGTATAAAATCTACTATCGATACACTTTGACCAGTGGTTTTTCAGCACTTCGGAACTTCATTTATATAAAAGTTAAGTTGACTATACTTTTCTAGTTTGTGATGAAGCATGTTCAGTGGACAATCTGCTAAGATGTTTCAATGATTATCACTCGTTCATTAAATTTACTGTGGAAGAAGAGTTAGATTCAACGTTCCACTTTCTAGACGTACTGATGAAGAGAAGGGATGATAGCTCAATCCAAAGGTCAGTCTATCGCAAACCAACCTGAACCGGCCACTTCAATAACTCTAATAGTTAAGTACCTCTTACTCTTAAAAGAAGTCTCATTCACTCGGTGTGAACCGGAATCTATAAAGTCTGTTCAGAAGACTCGGTGGATGTTGAAATTGGAAATATTAGAACAACACTATTGAATAATGGATACCCTAAAAGATTTATTGATAAAAATGTGAAGCAACAAATCACTCCTCATCCTATTACAGTTTCTAAGAAAATCTTAACCATGAATCTGGAATTCAAAGGGGACACCACAGCCGAAGTGCTGAAAAACTGTCAAATTGTATCGATAATGCCTTTTATGCTGCTAAGCCGAGATTCATTTTTTCTAGCCGTCGTATGATTCGACAATGCATGAAGGATAGGCTACCGCTTATATCCACATCTATGTGTATCTACAAATTCACATGCTCCTATGGAGCTGGCTGTAGTAGACGTTGAAAGCGGGCTCTCCGAAAACGTGTTGTTGAACATTACCCAGTTCGGTTTACCAAAGGCGGGCGAACAAAATATTTAGTCAGGAAAACAGATTTAAAGTTTTAAACTATGGTCTTACTATAGCCCGGTTGATAATATTATTCATCTTTGTGATTAAGATTGATAATGGGTTGTATCAGCTCGAATCTTCAAATAATCCTGTAGAAATGTATCGAGATCGAATTCCACTTATATTCATGCAGTAGGAAATACGCCACATGTATTGTGTGATAGCTAAACGATATTACCTGACCGTCCGAATGTTAACAGGTGGAGCGGTGCTTGAACTCGTCATCATTAACCAATTAGCCACAATGTGTTCAACTTCTTCAATGAGTCATTTCAGCCATCAGCATTTTCATGGACAAATTTACACTTCCAGATAGATGACAGATTTCCATTCCACTTTATTCTAAACATTCAGTCTAACTTCTACATGAATTGCTCGATGACTTCCATCCATCCAACTAGATCAATGTACGATAAGGCATTACTCTGTAACAGTCCAAATTGCAACACCTCACATCAGTACATCAAGTAAAAAGGCAGTGAGGCACAAGATGAAGATAAGAGAATGCAGTCAAAAGAAATATAAAGTACACGAAGAAAGAAACGAAGAATGAGAAAGTGCTGAGATTCAGTATAGTGTAGTGAAGATGAGGATAACGTGTGGGGGGGGATACATCTGCACCACTGACATCCGTTCCCAGCCATACCATCACCTACAGTCTCCAATCACTGGTTCCTCTAAGCCCCCAGCCCTCAGCCCCCAGACCCCAGCCACATAGTCTGCATCGTCACACATACCTCAAACCAACAGTCAAACACTTCATACCATATTTTAGTCTGGCCACCTCTAACCTTTTCCCAACC